GTCACAATTCGGGTTGTCCTGCGAAACCCTAAACTGTCAGACATTTTCGCTGGCGTAAGACTGTAATTGCGACATAAAAATGATAAAATGTGCGAGGATAGAATGTATTCGAAGGTAGCCATCCTTCTTTATAAAAATTATGAAGCGAAGCTGCGCGTCATTGTCATGTAAAATCACTTAAAATCCCGATTTTGCCACTGGAAACTATAATGTTTAAGAAATTTTGACCGGGGCGTCGAGAGGTTTGCTGTTAAGGCGAAAGTAATTATTACAAAGCTAGTATTATGTATTAAATGCCCAGTGTTATAAATTATGTGGTCGTCCCTGTGGTGTACCATTGTTTGAGAATTCTTCTATATTCAGTCATTTGTTTATGATATTTGCAAATATCAAATTATCACACAAAGTATGAAATATGTAAAACTTTCCGTTCTCTGTGTAGGGCGTGATTGTGCTGCGGATAAATCAAGTGGTGATGATGACGACGATGATAACACTGTCCCAATTGCCGTCGGAGCAGCTCTTGGTGGACTGGTTCTAATTGTTTTAATTGCATACGTAATTGGCAGACGTCGTTCTACGAGTGGTTACGAGCAAGTTTAATTATATGATATAAAGTAGCATTTATCATAGATATTTTCCAAAACAACTCAGTTTTGCAGCAATTTGTAGTGTTTTAAAAGTGAATGTAAAAACTGCACTATATTCTCTGTGCCTTATTTTATAGATGATTACTTATTTTTTCTCTGTTCATGTGAATTTTGAATATGTTGCATAGGAGATATGTACGACAGGTCACAATGGAACCCTTTTAATGATTTTTTCCAAACTTAAATATGCTTCACCAAGTGGCCCTTATTTGACAAAGTGTTGCGAACTTGATGATCTTTTTCAGCTAATTTTTTTAAACCACAAACACGACTCGTCGTATTTTAAATTTTCACGAGTACAAGTTGCACACTTGCACCTTGGGCGCATGTCGTACACATCCTGGAAATTGGTAGTTATTGTCTCGTAGAACGTTCAACAACAGGTTTTGAACGGTTCAACATGATTGTTAAGGATTTCTGTATGGTAATTTGTTAATAAACTTGATCTAATATAGAACTGGTTAAATCTTTTGTTTGCCTTGTTTCATGATATTGTGTCCAGGTGCATGTCGCTGTTATTGGTTGTTGGATAATTGCATTCTTTCTTTCGGATCATTGCATTTACCTCGCCATCAGCAAGTATATAATTGTTTAAAATTAGTAACGAGACCGTACCTTGCCAAGACTATTTTTTCAATATTTTTTTGGTAATTTGTGTTCAAACTACATGAAGTTTGACATAAACCTATTTTTCATCAAGGCAGCGCAGGCTCGCTGCGGCAGAGTTCACTGTTGTCATGGACGGTGAAAACAAAATTTTGAAAGAAATTTGTTGAAGTTCTTCGTATTTTGTTTAAATTTATGGATACTAATTTAACTATCGTTGGTGGAGTATAGAAATATCGATGATGAGAATAAACGTGCAACTCACAAAAGAGTCCAAACGTATCTTTATAATGTTAGAAATGGTAAATAATCAGTGACTGGATGTTGGTATATAAAAATGTGAAATTAAAATTTTCAATCAAACAAGACAGTATATTTTTCCAAGACATTCATGCTTGGTATAATTAATTTCACTATTTTTACATTGATTTAAGGAGCAGACTACATTTTATATTAGGAAATTACAATTACATTTAATAACGCATTTTTTCAGTTTTTCTATTAAAGTTGTCCTCCAAATCTCCAATAATGTCAACCAAGTTTGATTGTTGTTGGGCAGATTTAGTTTAAGGACGAAAACATCTAAGATTGAAACAAGGGTGGAAATTAATGTTTTCTTTAATGTTTTTTTAACAATAATAACAATGCTCCAGGACATTATTTTATATGTTGCTAACATATGAAAAATATCAACATTTGCCTTAATAAACATCAGACAAAGATTTAGTTAGCTGTGTTGGTTGGACTGCAGTTGATGAACTATACTCTTGTGGGTAAGTCAAGTCGTAGCATTTTCAAAGCCTGTACATTCTTGGCTAAACAAATAACTTGAGTTATAATGAGTTATATTTTTATTGCAGGGATGATCACAAACTCTTAAAGTGGAATTTACTATCTGATGAAACATCTGAAGTAAGATGCAATGAAATATTTGTCTGGATGAAATGAAACATGACATGAATATATCAAGCTGATATCATATTATCAAGCTGAAGTTAGCTCAGCCTTTTGCTTCAAACATCTTGTAGGTGACAAAATTGCCTGATGAACTTTATCCAACTGACATTCACTGGTTTCCAAAAAGTATTGGTGCAAAAAAACAACCACAGAGTGATGTATTTGTATTGACAGCAACAGATGGTATAGAATATGATGTTCTTTTTAATATGCTAGCCATTATGCCGTCTAATATTCATCTTCATTGAGCAAAACGCTAAAAATTCTATGTTTTATGTTAAAAAAAAATATTTTGTGTCCCAATGATGGTAAAAGTGTGTTCTTATATTTTTAAAGGAAAGTTTCATTTTGTTTCACGAAATGGTCGTATTGAGAAATCTGTTGAAGCACACAGAGGTGCCGTACTTTCTGCTCGGTGGAGTCATGATGGTTCAGCTTTAGGAACAGGTTTATCTAACAATGCCATTTTTAAATTCTTTTTATTGATTTACCATATTGTTTGTTCATTCAAAATAACATTTTGTCATTTAATCCTTATTTTCTTCTAACAAGCTGTTGTAATCCTTCCTTGTTGTTTTTTAACCTCCAGTACTTGAGACCTTTGTTTGTTTTATTCATTTTCTCTGTTTCACATCCTGATGTAAGAATAGCATGGCTAAAATTGTGTTTCTTTTTCCAGTTGGAGAAGATGGTCATGTAAAAATATGGTCTAGAAGTGGAATGCTTAGATCAACATTAAGTCAAATTGGTAAGTCAGATCCCTCAAATAAACATACTACCATATATTGTGTGGCAATAGCCTTTCAGCTTGTGGAGCTGGGTTTACAAATCTTCATTTCAAGGTACACCAAATTTTATAATATAATAATATACCCAATAATATATAAAGTTTTTATGGTGTTTTGATTCAGAGCTCTGCTTAGTGAGTTTTTTGACTAAATGATATAACTAATCTGTAGATTAAAATTTTGCTACAAATGCTGTTTTTCTGCTGCAGCACATGCCTATAAACATATTGTTAAAGAAATTGATCCTTCAGTCCCTTCAATCCCTTCAGCCCATGTATTTACACTTATGTATTCATTTGCAAGGTACCCCTGTGTATGCATTATGCTGGGCTCCAGATTCTGATCATATTTTGTACACCAGTGGTAGACAGTTGGTGATCAAACCTCTTCAAGCTGCTGCAAAACCTTTACAAGTAAGTTGTGATAGCTGTGATAGCTGGCTGGTACAATCTTATCCATGTCTTGCAGTAAGCTGACTCGTAGTAAGTCGTGATAGCTAGCACAATCCTATATATGTCTTGCAGTAGCTGACTCGTGTTTCAGTTAGTCTGAGAGACGCTACACATTTCCAGATATAGCTTTGTAAATAATAATACATTTGAACAACGATCGTCAGACAGAAGGCAACTGTCAATGTTTACCAATTGATTCTCTCTATTTGTGTTAAAGTGGAAGGCTCATGATGGTATAGTGATGAAAGTTGACTGGAATCCAATTAATAACATGATATTATCTGGTGGGGAAGATTGTAAATATAAGGTAAGCTACATATGTATGTAATCTGGCAAAGACTTCACGAACATGTAATGCGAAGTTCGAAGAAGTTTGTACTTCTCTGAAATACTGCAAGGACTTTGTGGCGCACGTTTCATGGTTTCGAGGGCGGTGTTTTCGTTTTTCAAACCAGAGTTGCAAAAAAGCTGCGTGTACGCGGGTACCACCCGAAGGAAGGTTTGCTTTGAATGAGGTTTCATCACGTGCATGTACCAAAAAAACAAATATTTCTTTATAATGGTAGCCATTTGACTCAGTGACGTAACAACATTTTGAGGAAGGTTTTCAAAACTTGAAATCCTACCGGAGGAAGGTTGAACTCTTTTTTCAAACACAAGAAAAAACTTTCGGATCCTGAAAGGAAATTGTGAATTGGAAAGCTAACGATTGTACACGCTGTGTTACACGCTGTTCAAAATCACACGAGAAAGCGATCTTTATTAATAATAAAAATTGAAAAGTGATGCCGGGTGTAGTTTTAAATGTAACGTTGAAAGAAAGTAATATATGCAAACACTAGCTAACAGCAGAGGACGTGACGACGTGGTATATAAGAGGCTGGAGAGCTGTTCAAAGTTAATAAAAACAGTTCTAATATTGTTCTATATTATGAAATTTCCAATATGGAAACTCAATAGACCAATAGAAACGGTCGGTTGTGAAATTGTAATTATACAAGTACATATATAAATTAAATTTGCAATAAACCACATATAGTTTTTATATTTGTTTATAACTTCATACATTTTTCGTAAATGTTGTTTATTAAAAGATGGCTTCATTTGTGACACAAAATGTTACGAACAGTTCAAACCAAATCGATGAAAGATATTTTGCATTACTTGCCCACGATAAGGCAATCTATATAACAGTTTGTGTGATTCAATTCCTACTTGGTTCTTCACTAAACATTTCTGTTATCTTCGTATTTCGTCGAAATTGTCACCTTCTCGACATCCCGGCCAATCTTATTCTTCTCAATATGTCGATTATGGATTTCGTCTCATGTTTCATACTTTTGCCTTGTGAAATGTGCGTTACTCTTGTTGGAGAAAACAGTCGTGGTGAAATGTGGAAAATTCCTTATTTTTCTTTATTTTTTACATTAAATGTCAGCATTCATGGAGCTATTTTAATGAGCGTGGACAGACTACTGGCGATCATTTATCCTCTTCGCTATCACGCCATTGTAACGGTCTCGCGAACTCGTTTGATTCTCGCGCTTAACTGGTTTGTTTCATTTCTGCTTGCAATATTGTACTACACACAGTATTTGATAGCGGCGAATAACACATCATTTGAGTATATATTGTCAACAAGAGATTTACTTGGCTTCGCTGTCATTTGTGTATCGTACGGCACCATCTCTCGTATTGCAGGAAAGCAAGTTCGTAGAATAGCTGTTGACGATGGAAAGACGACTTCGAAATATTGTAGTTTGGTTTGTAAACGATCTCTGAAATCAGCTAAGAAAAGTGGAGCAGTTGTATTCTTCTTTCTACTTACTTGTTTACCATATCCTTTGATAGAAACCTTTTCCCACTTTTCCAGTAATAAATACAACAATAAGACCCTTTTCTGGTCGTATACTCTGCTATTTTGGCAATCTGTTTGCAACCCGGTGCTGTTTTGCGTGTTTTCCGAGAAACTGAGAAGGATCGCACGGAAGACATTGTGCTATCCATGTTAAAGAACCTAATGAATCTCAGAATTATCCTTCGTGTAATTGTTACCAATTTGGTCGACTGGAGGGATTTGGGAACACAGAAATACTTCGCGCATCGACTGTTTCGTTATAATAAGATGCAAACCAGCGAGAAATAATTATATCAGAAATGTTTCGTGTCAACTTTGTCCCACTTGTCAACCTTCTCAATATATATATCAAGGATTCGGAAATATTATGAAGTTAATATAGATATAGATATAGATAAAAAGTCGATTGGTAGCCTGTAATTAAAATAAATAAAATTAAAGTATATTTCAAGCAAGGATTCTTTGAAATTTTGCATGGTGCATGAATTAAAAACGTATAGATCAATTTGTTGAAATGCCACGTGTATTGTAATTGTTATATGCAGAGCTTTGATCTGTTAACCCTGACCGTAGTTGCGCTGATGAAGCCTACAAATGGGTGTTTCTCTCAATTTTTCTGGTCATACCTGGGTCACACACGTCACCATTACTGTTTCTTCAGGCTTCATTGCATGTAACAAAATAGAATAACATTGTCACGTGTGTGATCAGAGAATCACCCTAATGATGATCTAAGGAAATGTTTTGTTCAAAATGTTACTGTTATATTTTGTAGGTTTGGGATAGTTACGGTCGTGTATTGTATTCCAGTAGTTCTCACGAGTATCCAATAACAAGCGTTGCCTGGGCGCCTGACGGTATCTTATTATCTTATAGAGGATTAAAATACACGAGAACTTCTCCTAACCTTGATTCTCGCCCGAATGTTACCTTTGCTGCGATTACTGGGGTATTAATTAATAGCTAATTTTCTTTCAGGAGAACTGTTCGCAATTGGATCGTTTAACACACTGAGGTTGTGCGATAAAACAGGGGTTAGTTTAGTTTAAATATATTCATGCACAATTGTTGATATATTTGGCAAGCCTCATCGTTGATAGTACGTGCATGTACACGTGTGTGTGTAGTGTTTAGGTATTGATTATTTCATGCGTAGTTCCCTATTTCGACACACCACCCGAGTGGTCTTTCAAATTTTTACCGTTCTATACTAGTGGTCTTATGCCTTGGCAAAACCCAATACTGGATCATTATTCAACATTGCTTGGTCCAGCGACGGTACACAGTTGGCTGGTGCATGTGGAAATGGACATGTTCTGTTTTCTCATATCCTTGGAAGGTCAGTATATGTGTCATTAAAAGCGTGTTTTCGTTATAACGTTTCGTTCGTGAACGACGTTTTTAACTTTTTCCTTTAAGACGTTTGGAATGGAAGAATTTGGAATTGACAATCTCGCAAAGAAAGACGATCTTAGTAAAGGATGTTACTAGTGATGCTAAAGAGAGTTTAGGTGAGGCAAACTGTTTTACGAAAATTCGAATACTGCGAAATTAAAACGAAGATCTAACGTGGAATAAAGCTCTTCAACAATTGTAAGATGGTTTTCTTTCTATTTAGATTTTCGTGACAGAGTTATTAAGGCATCTTTGGCATTCAGTCATCTTGTTGTTACAACTTCATCCCAGTGTTATGTCTACAGGTATGCGAAAAAAAATCTAAAATTGCCATTTAGTTCACTGAATAGGTAGAAAGTCTGGAACTAGAAACATTTCGCTGTATTCATTAACTTTCAACCTGGTTTATTATTCCGAATGCTCGCAGTGTGAGGAACTGGAACACACCCATTATTTTTGATCTCAAAAATGGAAGCACGAGTTTGATCATTCAATCAGCGAAGTAAGATTTTTTCTGTGTTTTGTCAAATTGCTCATTTGATGCATCATTATAATGTTTCAAACTCACTGGAAGGGAAAACCCATGCATGCATGCACGGGTCATATTGCCTACTATAATCTAAATCTTTATTAACGCAGGTATTTCCTTCTGGTTGATGAAACAGGAGTTCAAATTTATTCCTACGAGGTTAGATGAACTTAAATTATTGCTTATGCATATGTGGTATTTTCATTTATTTATTTATTCAGCAAGACGTTTTTTATAGTTTCAATAATTTAGTGATTTCATTCATTTTCAATGTAGGGTCGCCTTATCAGTGCCCCCAAACTTCAAGGATTACGACCAGACTTATTAAATGAACAAACACTTTCTCTGAGCAATGATATTCTGGCCGTCAGAGATCAGAAAGATGAGAAGGGTTAGTATATTCTGGTGAATATTTTAAATCTCATCCCAGATAAAAGGTCTTTGTTCAATAAAAAGTAACTGACTGCTATAGAAAAAGTAACTGACTGCTTTTTGATACTTCAGCAATCCATGTGTTTGAAGCAGCATCTGGCAAGCCAATGGGGGATGGAAAACCAATTCAGCATTCGGTAATATGAAATTAGTTTCATTAGTCAAAATAAGCTTTTTGAAATTTTTAAAGATACATTGAATCTTCTTATCTATAGAATATAGTTAATAGTATTTATTTATTGAAAACCGCACTTATTCTTTCTTACCAACCAACTTGACCTCGTAGCTAAGTTACCATAGAGTTACCATATTGAACTAACAAACCAAACACCTAACTTTCTATTCCATCCAGCACGACGTTCTCGAGATTGCTGTGAACCAATGTGGACAAATCAACAGTCGACAACTGGCGATAATTGATAAGAATCGAGATTTGTTTATCACTGCTGTACAACGTTTTGGATCAGCACCACGAAGAGCGAAGCTAGGTTATTACATATGTAATGAATTATATCTCTAGTTCGTAGATTTCCAGGAACGGCATCCTTCATTCGTCCAGTGTTATTTCAGGAGAAAGTTCTACGTGCAAAACTTTTGTTATAAGAAATTGATTCCCTGAGGTTCATCCAGGGTTGGTGGTGGAGACTCTATTAATTCATCTATATACTGTTTTCAAAAACGTGAAGCATAACTCCTTGTTCATTCTGTGATTGCCATTTGCAGTTATCTTTCATTTGTAGAGTTTTTGCTTAAATCATTCAGTTTTAGAAGATCAATATACGCATTTTTATCTCTGGCGTTGGTAAAATGTAAAATTAGAAACGAGAGACTTCTTTATCAAAACGCTGTTCAAAATGTTTTCTTAACAGGAACCATGGTTACATCAATGGCGTGGAATGATTCATCCAATATGTTAGCTGCATTTCAAGATGGCGTCTTTACTGTGTGGTGTTATCCTGAAGCTGTACTTGTTGATCAAGATAGCCTAAGTGACACATTAATAACTAAAGACTCGAGGTACAATATATATTCTGCATTTTGGTTTCCTATACAAGCTTTCTGTTTGTGAATCTGGTTAATGATCTATAATTATGTGCATGGATACTAAATTTTGATTCGGGGTTTTGGTTTTAATGCCGGGTTTAATCAGTTTCTCACTCCATGGAAAAATCGTTATGTTCAAATAATTCTGTCCAACAATGCTGCCCAGTTTCTTTACTTTCAACTGATCCACGATCATTGCATCACGTATAATATTCATAATTGTATCTAATTAAAGTGACTTCGGCAAGAATCCTAATATCGCTAGTTTTCTTGGCAATGTTTGTGCAATGAGACGAGCTGATGGATCACTATGCAGTACTGTGTAAGTACAAAGAAAGACCCGGCCGTTATAGAGCTGGCAGTTCAAACTATGTGAAGCCAGTGAAGGCATTAGGAATTTTTCGTATCAAGCAAACCCTAAGTCTTCAAGGATTTGCCGGAAGGAAAGAAAACAATGTTTGCTACATACGTACATTACTTTTCTAAAATGATGACAGAAACTTAGACAGAGTAAATCGGTCTTTAAGATCGAACAGTTTCCTATCTGTGCGCATGCATGCATCAGTGTTATGTTTAGGTGATTATTTTATTTGTTATACAGAATTTCCCCTTATCCTATGATGTTGCATAAGTATACAAGTGAATCAAAGTGGCCAGATGCTGTGCGCCTCTGCAGATTTGTTAAGGTTAGAATCATAGATGGATCGAGTATGCATGATTTTGTTTGGTCTGGTTATAGAATTGAGTAGTCGTTGGTCATTTTATCATCCCTTGTGGGTGTTACCACTAGATTTTAGTTCAGTTCAAAAGGCATCAATATAATGTCTTATATTAAACATTTTTTTCTCAGGAAAAGACTCTGTGGGCATGTCTTGCAACAATGGCGGCTTATGGCAAAGAGTTGAACACGGCAGAAATTGCTTATGCTGCTATTGATGAGGTAATATATGGAAATGTCTGTGTTGTGACGTAGTTTGTGGACAAAGCATGCTTCTGATTAGCCAATGCGTCCAGATGGTGTATTTATTGCTGCAACTTGCAACGCTTCTTCCTCCAGTGTGTGATGTTATGTCTAAATAATGCAGAAAATCGTATTCTAATTTTGGTTCCTATGCCGGCCAATGCACAAGAATGATGCCAGGATATATCACGAAGTTTTGTGAAACACCACACGACCATGTTCTGTCTTTTTCGTTATATTCTTATTTCTGAAGAATTTATTTCCATATTTTCCATCAGAATTTTAAAAAAGAATGGCATGATATATTTCGCCATGATATTACAGTGAAGATAAGTTCTAAACATGTGTTTGAAATATAATAGGCTGATAAAGTTCAATACATCAACCACGTCAAAGAAATCCCAACTAAAGAAGGACGAAATGCCGCTATGGCGCTTTTCTGTCAACAAATTCAAGAAGCAGAGATAATTTTACTTCAAGCTGGCCTGTTATTCAGAGCCATTCAAATGCACATTGATCTGTTTAACTGGGACAGGTAAGTAATTTTATCCATGTACCTGTACCATGCTTTGAACAACTCGTAACAAACTCGTTTAATTGTCGGACGCCTTTCCAAGTTGTTGTGATTGATGCAACATGCAATCTTGTTTAAATTAACCCTGTACGAATTGTTTGTACAGGTTCCTGTTTATGTATTTATTACAAGATAATTTTGCCCTGCCATAGCATTATGTTTCGACCAGTGAAATGAAAATAACGGTATTAATTACGGTTCACTGGTTTCGACAGAAGTTATTTTAGTAATTTGCTCAAGATTTTTGTTTTCTGTTATCAGAGCCCTTCAAATAGCAGTAAAACACAAAACTCACGTGGACACTGTCATTGCTTACCGAAATAAGCATTTGAATAGTTGTGGGAAGAAAGAAGACAATAAACGATTTCTTCAGTTTGCTGAAGGTGTAAGTATATAGGTCCACACGAGGACACCTCTTGTAAGCCGACATCCTTGCATCAGTTGCATGGTCTGTATCATAATGTTCATCCTCCTCCCGATAATTATTTCAGTATACTCTATAGGAGTTAGGAATATTTGATAAAGTAGATGTTTTTTTAGGTTGACATAAACTGGGAGAAAATAAACGCTAAAATTGATATGGAGATGCAAAAGGAAGCGTCAAGACCTGGAGCAAAGCCTTACTCGACATAAACATGTTTATTACATTGTTTTCAATTTCACTGAGATGAATATAGAAAACGGGCCATAAGATGGTTGCGTTCCTCGCTAGTTGTATTAATACTGCAACACACGTGTACATACATATATATGGAGATGCCCTAATCAGCTATTGTGTTGTCCACCCACCTGCTACTAACGCTGATTTACATCACATTGACTTGTGAAGCCTGTGACTTAAAAAGCGTTTGGTTCATTCAATGGTAGTCAATCTAAACCTCGCTAGTCACCTCTCACGTACGACGGCTACGAGCTAGCCTGCGTATTTGTAAATATTTGGGTTTCAATATTTATTTAAATCAATATTAAATGCGTACAATTACACCGCACAAACAACTTTTATATTATATTTCATTATATAACTTAATTTATCGTTGTAGTGCACCACCTTCTCCGCCTACATTCTCGCGCTCAAGGTAAGACCACCTCAACCTCGTACCCAGGGTCTTTACTCTACGAGTAGAGTAAAGACCCTGGGTACGAGGTTGAGACCACCTGTTTTCATCGTCTAATTTGCTCAAATCGCTGTTTACTAGTTATTAGCCAACCGATGTAGATTATGAAATGTTGCATGGAACATGCAACTCCTTATGCACGTGGCGTGAATACACAATATTTATATATTCCAATCAGTTTGAACCATATTTTGGATTTATTTTATAAATAGTTTTCTTCTAACATAGCACGCCTACACGTAAAGCTATTTGATAGTTATTTCATTGCATCTTGAGGGAAAATATTCTGCTGCACATGCCTCAAGCAGTGGCTTTTAAATTTTTTCTATAGACAAAGAAACAGAACATGCTTCTTCAAAATGCATGAGAAATATTTTCTGACTCGACAATCGTAAGAATTATTTTTATAGCATGAAATTGAGGCTGGTGGCTTGTGATCTACAAGCCTCGACCCTCGTCACGCATTATTCCCGAAAGTTGGTCAGGTTTTTTATCTATCTGTTACATCACAGGTTACATCACAAGTTCGTTCTTGAAACTTTTTCTCATCGTTCGTATGATAAATATCTCAAAGGTCGGACTTTATGTCATATACCTATGCCAAAATCCTAAATATAACGATTCATTTTATAACTAATTTCATAAAGTTCTATGATAAACTCGACTACACGTTCAAATGCGTATTCTAAAATTTAAATACATTTGTATGCATTTTTCATTGTAAATCTTCAATATGGGCAACCGCCCAATTATGTGAACATTACGTAATTCTATAAGATATCTCATGACAAAATTTCATAAATAGAACAAAATTACAGTTTTAATCAACGCTGCATGCTTAATATTATCTTCTTGTTATTTGGTTGTTTAAGGCCATGTAAGGTTTATCGGGTTGCTTACCATTCTCACAAACCTCCTCCAATAATTCAAAAGATATCAATTTGTTTGCGCTGATTCCGAAAATTTAAAAATATACTATCTCATCTCATTGAGGCATAGATTGTTATCTGTTTAGTTCAACTACGACTACCTCGCTCAAATAGTAAGCACCTTGTCCTTGGTATAAGTAGGAGAGAGTAGAGTTGGTCGGATTTTGAGGTTTTGTTTTTCAGATATATGAGCAACAAATAGCTTTGTGTAGACGATTTTAAAGCGTTAGTAGTTTCCTCTCGTAATTCATCGTAAAGGACTGCTTGTTGGTAGTTTGATAGTGAAATAGTGGTGAATAAAACGCTTTGTCTGTCGAAAAACTTTTCTTGATATGAATTACAATAATGAAAACCACAATTAGGTAACAACCAGGTACTTAGTGAACTCATTTAGGAAAATCACAAAAGTTAAGATGTTTTCTCGTGTGATTTTTCGTGTAACAGTTTCTCATGTGGCTTAGATGGTGCATCAGGTACAATAATTGTAAGTAGAAAAAAGACAAGAAGCAGAATGTGCCCATAATAACACATACTTTTCCAACAACGTAATGTTAATGAGAATGTATGGACCCAAACACCAACACCAAAGTACTCTAACAAGCGATAGCCAATAAACCAACTGATCCAGAAATACCACACTTGTTGTCGCTCATTAAGATATGGAAGAAATTTCTTTGCACATCTTTCTTGAATCTTTTGAGCAAATGGAATAAATAGGAAAGAAAGATAATATCCAGGTGCTAGACCATGCCAAAATGCACTAACAGCAGCCACAGCAAGGTACCTGTGTAAAAGAAGAGGCTAATTAATTGTTAGTGAAAATATGTTCAGTTTTATCTTAACATAGCTTAAATGATACTACTTATCACATGCAGGCAATAGTTTGATGCTTGGTTAAGTCTTCTTGAGGAATTGTAGAGATCATCATTATTTAAAAATGATTATATATTTCCTACCTAACTAATTTTTGTCTAAATGGGAATTGTTGATAAACATAAGCAGCCATCCACCACTGAACTGTTGTATTCCAACTTCTGATCATGTCTTTTAATGAAGAGAGCTCCACATTTCTTACATACATTCCACGGATTGTTTCAAAACTGCATAAAATCAAAGTTTACATCAACATGTTAGATTATCAGCATCTATATGCTAAATGTTTTGGAACAATACATATACACAGAAAATAAGCTACCTGTATTTCTTGTCTGCTGTTACCATATCCCAATTTCCATTCTCCTTTCCTTTCTCTGGAATGTCTTTAATCTTTTTGGTAGGACCTTGCCCTGGTATTGGGCATGATTCAACAGGATATGCCCCAAGACATAATGTCACACAACTACTTTCAGACATATGAGTACCAATGTACAGTCTACACCTGAAGCGAATGTCTGCCAAGGCTAGCATAATTATCTGAATCAGAATTGATTGATTATGAAAAAGATCGTTGCCCAAGTATGCGGGAAACCATTGACTGAAAAAAGCGTAGCCAGCAAGAAATATGGGTAAATATGTCAGCCACTTCATTGCAAGATCAAGAGTTGGAATTTCTTCAGAGTTAGACTGATTTAACATATCTGAATATGTCTTGTATTTATAGTATGGTCCAGTAAAAATACCACAATAACAGTAACCATAGCTCAAGAAATGGTAAAATGACATATCTTGTAAGTCTTTCTCATGATCACTTATTTCATTGTCTTCCTGCTCAGTTGAAGCTCTTGCTTTTATAGCTGCAGTTGTATCATGAATTTCAAATGCCAGTCCCACCATCTACAAACAGAAAGTAAATGATGATTATAACAACTGTCACAGGTCTTATATATCAGTGGTTTAATACTAGCTTGCCAACAAACCCATACTAGGATTTGCCGCATTGTTGTGAATATTTCAAAAATTCCAGTATACAAATAATCGGCCATCTAAAGATACTACAGTGTGTTGTTGAGTCATAAGTTAAAACTTTTAAATAATTAATTAGTTATCAAGAAGAATTTTTGCTTACTCTTAGAGTTAAAAATAGTTGAACATTATCACTGTAAGGTGAGGGATGGGGAAGTCCAACATACGTGCACGCTCTAAAGAAGAACAGGTAACCAAAAATGCAGAGAAAGGAGAGCCAATTACACCATCTGCTATATCTAAAAAGTAGAAGAGAAAAACGCACCAATTACAAAATTGAAAATTATAATCAGCTAGATAGCTGACTACATATCAACACACATTCCGCAATCGTATTGAAAAATTCAAAATTGTCCTAAAAATCTGTACTAAGCTCGTTATTTAAATTTATTCCATTCAACGCTTTAAATATACAATACCTGGACGATTTGCAAATCCAATATGTGGCAAGGATAGTTAAGAATGAATGCCAGAAATCCTGAACTCCATTGAGAAATAATACAAGAAATACCCCAGCAACAGTGCAAATAAGACGCTTTCGGGACGGAGATTTGACCTTTTTCACAACATGACCGAATGGTATTGAACTAAGTAGTGCGACGAAGAATATAATATCTCTCAACTGCATTTCGTAGCGGCAAAGATATTGAAAATAAATGGAATTGTTTTAAATTAAAATGTCAAAACAATTGTATTTGCTCATATTCAAACCACAATGTTATGTTTCCTCTTGTTTCCTCAGTCCTCATAATCTCACAGTCAGTGACGCTCGTTCTCACTCATGATTGGTTCAGCGTCATCTAATTAACCAATGAAACATAAAAAAAGTCGCCTGAGATTCAACAATAAGCACTTCCACTTCCACATTATTAAAGTTGCAACACTGTTGAATACTATATGAGTTATATGAGTACAGACACATCAGGCATACTACTTTTATATAATCTTATATTATGCAACTATTTAGAGCTGTTCATATCAAACTATCAGTGCTATTCTATTTTGTGGTCCGGTTAATTGGGATAGACGACAAAGAAGACTTGTAAAGTGTAGAAGGTCAAGCCAATTTGCGTGGTTCCTAAAACCAACATTACATAGAATAACTTCAACACAATTCGCATTTCAAATGTGGTTTCAAACCAAGCCAGTTTCATATAAGCTATTTTGCATTGCAAGTTGTTATTGGAAGTTGCTCTATAACCTTCAATTGTCAATTGTCGAACTTTAGAAAAACAGATAGACACTCGCTCGCCCCCGTCCGTGACAACCTATAGATTAGTATCGTTAAATAAAAAGCACTCATTGCAAGAATGTCATTAAAACCGAAATTACGTTCCAATATAACGTCAGGAGCAACCATAGATATAGTAGCAACGTTATTAAGGCCATGTTACACGGTTCTTGTAAATTGCAATGCAATCCTACTTTTAAGAGATGAAAATTCGTACAGACTATTCAAAATGTAAGCGAAAGAAACGTACATGGAGTGGAGTGTAATAAACACTAATCAGTGGTAATACTGCCAGTGTAATAAAATCAATAAACATAAAAGTTTCGTAGTTGCCAAATTTACATCTCTCAAAAGTAGAATTACATTGCCAGTTGCAAGAAAAATTGCACCGTGTAACAGCGCTTTTACACTGTTACATTCACTGTTACTGGTAACTGCACTGTTAAATCATTGAATGGTTAATTTTCTAATTATTGGATGAGGTTGAGTGTGATATCGAGAATTATCAAGCCGAAGTTTGCGTTATTTGCCGAAGCGAAGCAGTGGCGGAAAACGCAAACTGAGGGTTGATAATTCTCGATATCATGCGAAAACCGAACTCAATAATAAATAATTGTTTTATCACGCACCCCCTTTTTAGAGAGAAAGCCTGCGCCATTATTGACAACAAACTAGCTGTAAAAAATACGTCACCTACGGATAATTTTCAATGTCGTGTAGGTGGCAAGACATTGAGAATTATCTGTAGGTTTTTAGCCAATCACAATCGAGACTGCATTTGTAATGCATAATGATACCAGTTAATACCACTGGTTAATACATACGCGGAAAACCTGGGAACGGGGATATCAAAACCAAACCAACCAAACCTCGTTCTCATGCCTCGTCCTTGGGAAAAACCTGGGAACGAGGATGCGTTCTTCCTAACTGGCTAACTTCCTTCAACAAGGTTCCAGTTTTGTATTAATCAATCCAACCAATTTTCTGCTTCTGACCTGTGAGTACCAGTATTCTACCAGTACTTATTTTGGCTGTGTGATCCCTATTTTGTATAAGAAATTATGACTCTATTTATTTATCTGTAGATAATGGTTTGTATTTTTTAGCTTTACATGTAATAGTTCAATCAACTCAAGTACCAAGGGGTGGGTGCAAGTCCAAGTTTTGCCGACAATTTTTTGCTCATTTTTCTTCAAGGAAAAATTCTGGGTACAAGATTGTGGTTACAGTTGTTATGTTATAATTATAGCCATTTATCAACTCTAGCAGTTTTTTAGGGTCGTAGTTGCCCCCTAATTAAGCTGCTCCCAATTTTGCTGGCAGGCCTACATATTGGGGGGGGGGAAGGAGGGTGCCACTTTGCTACATCCCTTTCGCTATGCCCCTTTAACTCAGGTTCTAGCCACTTGAGTGAAACAAAAAAATTTAAGCAATGCATTTAATTTTTCTGTTTTTCAGAAATGTTGCATCGAATGTTGCATTTTTGCAATGATGATCGATGCTCATTTCATGATGCTTTAATCTAATTACTTTCATCCGTCATGAATGCGATGGTCAATTGAGTTTAATTTTCTTTATTTGCTTTTTTTGTAGTTATTAACATCAAGATGAGTGAAAATAAAGATGAGAATTGTAGGTTAAATCCTGTTGCAAGAGCAATACTCCAAGGTCTGTATGATGAGGACAGTCCTTTGCATAAGTTGCTAGGCTTGCATTATGTTTTGAAGGCCATTTGGAGCAACCTTGTGGAATATTGGAAATCAAAAATAATACAACCCAATGATAAATATTCTGAAGTTCATGAAAACCTGTTACGCGTGAGTTGTGTAAAAGTTGAGAGCCGTCATCAAGGAGTATTAGTTGTACGGTTTCCAAAACCTAGCAACCTCAATATTAATATGATGCCATTTGTGATGGCAAAGGAGTTCAAAGAAACAAAACTACCCAAGAAATTAAAAGGCTATTTTGATGAAATTATTAAACACTGTATTGTAAATAACGAAATGGGTGAAATAGGTTATCTTACCATCCACGAGAGTTATGTTGATGAAGGTACCTCACAAAGAAGACCTGGATTACATACAGAGTCACCTGGTGTTGTTATGATGAAAGATGCCATGGGATGTTTGATCCAAAAATATATTTATTGGGCTGGTGGCCAAGATTATCATAGATTTGTTGAAACGGACAGGGAGTTAGAAGGTGGTATTTACATGGTTTCAAATGTTGCAAATTCTTGTAAAGTTTGGAATTGTGAGATAGTCAGACCAGGAGTTGATTCCATTGATATTGTTGGAAAACATGGAGATATTGAGCATTTGCGAGAGTTTTTACCTGTTGAGGGTGAAATGATGGAGGCAAATACTGTTTATTGGATTACAGATCGAACACCTCATGAATCATTACCACTAACCCAAGGAACATATAGACAATATTTCAGGCTTGTCACAAGTCTAGTTTCAGTATGGTATCAAGATCATTCTACCGAAAACCCGAATGGTGTTGTCCCAAACCCAAAACTAACAAAAGTTCTCAAAGGATCGAAGTTTGATGGAATTTGTTCTGTGGTTGATCCTTAAAGAACTATTTTGTAAAAAGTAGAGGCTTCCTGTCACCTGCTGTGGTATTTGTTTCATATTCAGTGAATGAATTAACATTTCACATGTAATCAACTGTACAGTATTTATACATGTACAACATGTACAACTTGATCTGCTTTTTTATTAGTTTGAATGCCATTGACGAAATGCCATTGCGCAAGCTAGCGCAGGGAAGGTGCTTGGGCTTTTCCTCTGCTGTCTTCATTTCATTTATACACATCCATGCAGCAACCCCTCGCTATTTCAAACCAAGTAAAGAATTTCCTGAGCTAACCTGACCTTAACTTATACTATGAAATGACTCAAAACTCAAATCAATCTATATTATATTTCATTGAGTATATTATACTCCAAATACCAGGTGCACATGTGAGCCCAAGATAAATACTGAACGTTATATGAACTCTTTGTTTTAATCGATTAACTAATGTGTGTGAGTATTATATATAGTTTAAATTGATGCAAATATAGGGAATTATAGCTTTTAAAAATTGAAACATAGAATATGTATAAATTTGAAATTTTTATTCTGTGACAATAAAGACCTATCTATTGATCGATTGAGAAGAGTATTGATCATGAAAGTTCAAGTTCAATCAGATTGGTCGAACGATGCGATAAATGATAATTCAAAATGGTGGTGAAGAAAATGTTATACCTCAAACCATTGAACTATATAGTTCAATGACCTCAAACAACGCAAGAAGCGAAAAAATTTGGGTTGAATTATTACCAGATTTATTATGTATTATGTAGCCAAATAGTTTAATAACTACTTTTTGTTCCAAAAATAGCTGTAGTGATAACGAACTTTTTGTAGTGAACCTATCCTAGGTTTTTTACGGAGACTGGGGTCAACAAATCTATCACATCTCAAATGAGTCATTAACAGGGTTGCCAACTTGGCTCTTTTTAAGCCAAATTTCTCGATTTTGGCTTATTTTTCTTGCGCTTGGCTTAGGTAAATTTCGTTTGGCTTAAATTTATTATCTGGCTTATTTTGGCTTCTTTTTATAAAATGGAGTTAGAAATCTCATATTCGTATTTTTCAATCAAATATAGCTTTTTGTTTTATGATTGATTCAATTTGACCCACTTCCAACCAATGACAGCAAAGCTCAGACCCTTCTTACTTCGTTGCTGCTGTCATCGTGGACGTCCGACAATCACAAAAAAATATTAGATTATGAAAAAACTAATAAAGTCAGTGTTGCCAACTGTAATTTTGTAAAAATCCCAAGTAACCGCCTGAAATATCCCGAGATTCCCCCTAAAATCCCGAGATTCTAATTTCGACCCCAGTCCTCAGCTTTGGCGCACCCTAGTACCAGGTCCGCTCAGTGTGCGTTTATAAAGCGGTACTTCTCTGCATAACCGATTGTACAAATAGTCTTTATTGAGTGACTTTAAGTAACGTTTTTGCCGCAAGTATTAATTTACGCTATATATTATTTCAATACCTTGGATTTTTAATATGTTTATTTATCAATTTAACGAAAACATTTTTTCCCAAATTCCAAACTTCCCTCTCCCAAAAATCCCTAAAAAAATCCCGAGATTACCATTTGAGAAATAAATCCCAAAAAAATCCCAACTGCTTCAAAAAATCCCGAGATCTCGGGATAAAATCCCGAACTTGGCAACACTGAATAAAGTACCTTAAGAACTCGATTGACCTTGCACAGGCGCGATCTGAACGCGCGCATTCGCGCGTAAATGTTTGAGACTGTGGAGTTACTTGAGTAACAAGTCGACAAAACTGTATGCACTAAATATATACTGGGCGATGTAATAAGTTACACAAAGATAAAGTCATGAAATAGTAAATTTGTAGTTTCATAGATAATATAACAAAGTCACAACATTTCGAGTGTAAGTTTGTAGTCTGCTAATCTTTTTGTCAGACAAAACGGTATGAAAGACTTCTCCCCAATCCCCTCATCATAATTTAGTGTTTGGCTCTTTTTGGCTTATTACTCCGCCTGCGTATGCGCAGCGGAGTCTTAAAATGCCATGGTCTTTTTTCCTTTTCGTCGTTTTGGGCGACAGAAGTTGGCATTTCTACAGGTAACCCAAAACATTTTGACCGAGAAGCCCTGGGTTACACGGTCCACGGATGAATTGTACATCAGTTGGCATGCAGGCGGAGTGAACGCCTTGAGCAGGCGTCTTGTTTTGATATTCGGTTTGGCTTTTTCTGTCGCAGAAGACCTGGCAACCATACTGGCAAATAGCATACCGAGGCAGGTTAATAACCTGATACAGAGGTTTGACTTTGCATTAATTATGCGTTCCTGGCGGCCATGTTGTTAGCCAGTGCGCTAAAGAGAGGCTCTATCCCCCCCGAACATTATAAATAGCCATCGCTATATAAATAAATAGATCGCTCCCACTTCTATACTCTTCTATACTCTTCTAAAGGATAAGAACTAACAAAATCTGGTTTTGAGAAAAAAATTGAGCAACGTTTTTGTCAAAAATACGATTTCTCCAGATAGTTCTGTCTCGGCTGTTTATATTCCATACATGTGTTCAAGCCGCCGCCATATGCATGCTTCCCGTGGGGAGAAGGCCTCTCTTGAGCGCACTGGCTAAGCCAGGGGTACGCAAAATTAACGGCAGTCAAACCTCTGTATGCTCTGTGATACTGGATACTGGCAACCCTGTGAGTCAAATCCAGTCAAATCCACTTCCTCGTTTATCAGGTTTCAGTTTTACATCAATTTCCTCCTCCTCTCTAGCAGTAAATATTCTGGTGATATTAACCTGTAAGTATTAGTATTCTACCTAATTTTGCTTTATCTTTATTTTGCATGTTTTAACTAAACTTTGTATTTACTAGTTTACTGTAAATTAGTTACCATAAAATAGGTTATAACATCCATATTAAGTCAAGTCCGTATTTATTAAACAATGGGTTGTTTACATTTTGAACTTCAATACTTTTAAAATACGTCGACGTTGTGCTGTGTGAATAACACCATCAAGGTTCGTTACGCTTCAATTAAATGAATAAGAACTAGTGTTATCTTCGGAAAAATTCGAAACATGCAAAATTTGGGCAGTTTTTGCACCATTGCATAGACGAATCCAAAAGTCTTTTGGATTGTCTATGATCAGAGACGGAGGAACCTCATGTTGTCATGTTGAGCAGACATGAGCCAGTTTAAGATGCATGTGTTCAAATCTACGAAGTGGACGAGACATGAGAACAGCTGTTGGTCAGTAGCAACTCTGTTTAATTTGCTTTACATACGTAATTAATAATTTTCATTCCTGTTGTGAAATTTTGGAAAACAAGGAGTATTTATATGTCATGTGTCCTAAATTAAGTGTTTTAAGGCAGACTCCACTTCCACTTTAATCAGTACTAAAATATTTCTGTTACCTATTGAACAATTAGCAGTCTGATGTCATTATCCTTTAATCAGCCATCTGCACTGGAGTATATTTAAATTTGGAATATTTTCTAAGATTGACCTTCTCCAACTGCTTATATGTTCAGAAGGCCTTTTGTATAGTTATGGGTGAGTTTGATTGCCTCTTTTTGTCATTATCTAGATTAAGATGAGTGAAAATAAAGATGAGATTTGTAGGTTAAATCCTGTTGCCAGAGCGATACTCCAAGGTCTGTATGATGAGGACAGTCCTTTCCATAAGTTGCTAGGCTTGCATTATGTTTTGAAGGCCATTTGGAGCAACCTTGTGGAATATTGGAAATTAAAAATAATACAAGCTAATAATAAATACCCACCTAAGGATTCTAAATACATTATTAAGTTGTATGTGAGTTGTGCAAAAGCTATGAGCTACCGAGACGAAGAATTAGTCATTCAGTTTCCAAAACCTAGCGACATCAATATTAATATGATGCCATTTGTGATGGCAAAGGAGTTCAAAGAAACAAAACTACCCAAGAAATTTAAAGGCTATTTTGATGAAATTATTAAGCACTGTATTGTAAATAACGAAATGGGTGAAATAGGTTATCTTACCATCCACGAGAGTTATGTTGATGAAGGTACCTCACAAAGAAGACCTGGATTACATACAGAGTCACCTGGTGTTGTTATGATGAAAGATGCCATGGGATGTTTGATCCAAAAATATATTTATTGGGCTGGTGGCCAAGATTATCATAGATTTGTTGAAACGGACAGGGAGTTAGAAGGTGGTATTTACATGGTTTCAAATGTTGCAAATTCTTGTAAAGTTTGGAATTGTGAGATAGTCAGACCAGGAGTTGATTCCATTGATATTGTTGGAAAACATGGAGATATTGAGCATTTGCGAGAGTTTTTACCTGTTGAGGGTGAAATGATGGAGGCAAATACTGTTTATTGGATTACAGATCGAACACCTCATGAATCATTACCACTAACCCAAGGAACATATAGACAATATTTCAGGCTTGTCACAAGTCTAGTTTCAGTATGGTATCAAGATCATTCTACCGAAAACCCGAATGGTGTTGTCCCAAACCCAAAACTAACAAAAGTTCTCAAAGGATCGAAGTTTGATGGAATTTGTTCTGTGGTTGATCCTTAAAGAACTATTTTGTAAAAAGTAGAGGCTTCCTGTCACCTGCTGTGGTATTTGTTTCATATTCAGTGAATGAATTAACATTTCACATGTAATCAACTGTACAGTATTTATACATGTACAACATGTACAACTTGATCTGCTTTTTTATTAGTTTGAATGCCATTGACGAAATGCCATTGCGCAAGCTAGCGCAGGGAAGGTGCTTGGGCTTTTCCTCTGCTGTCTTCATTTCATTTATACACATCCATGCAGCAACCCCTCGCTATTTCAAACCAAGTAAAGAATTTCCTGAGCTAACCTGACCTTAACTTATACTATGAATGACTCAAAACTCAAATCAATCTATATTATATTTCATTGAGTATTATACTCCAAATACCAGGTGCACATGTGAGCCCAAGATAAATACTGAACGTTATATGAACTCTTTGTTTTAATCGATTAACTAATGTGTGTGAGTATTATATATAGTTTAAATTGATGCAAATATAGGGAATTATAGCTTTTAAAAATTGAAACATAGAATATGTATAAATTTGAAATTTTTATTCTGTGACAATAAAGACCTATCTATTGATCGATTGAGAAGAGTATTGATCATGAAAGTTCAAGTTCAATCAGATTGGTCGAACGATGCGATAAATGATAATTCAAAATGGTGGTGAAGAAAATGTTATACCTCAAACCATTGAACTATATAGTTCAATGACCTCAAACAACGCAAGAAGCGAAAAAATTTGGGTTGAATTATTACCAGATTTATTATGTATTATGTAGCCAAATAGTTTAATAACTACTTTTTGTTCCAAAAATAGCTGTAGTGATAACGAACTTTTTGTAGTGAACCTATCCTAGGTTTTTTACGGAGACTGGGGTCAACAAATCTATCACATCTCAAATGAGTCATTAACAGGGTTGCCAACTTGGCTCTTTTTAAGCCAAATTTCTCGATTTTGGCTTATTTTTCTTGCGCTTGGCTTAGGTAAATTTCGTTTGGCTTAAATTTATTATCTGGCTTATTTTGGCTTCTTTTTATAAAATGGAGTTAGAAATCTCATATTCGTATTTTTCAATCAAATATAGCTTTTTTTTTATGATTGATTCAATTTGACCCACTTCCAACCAATGACAGCAAAGCTCAGACCCTTCTTACTTCGTTGCTGCTGTCATCGTGGACGTCCGACAATCACAAAAAAATATTAGATTATGAAAAAACTAATAAAGTCAGTGTTGCCAACTGTAATTTTGTAAAAATCCCAAGTAACCGCCTGAAATATCCCGAGATTCCCCCTAAAATCCCGAGATTCTAATTTCGACCCCAGTCCTCAGCTTTGGCGCACCCTAGTACCAGGTCCGCTCAGTGTGCGTTTATAAAGCGGTACTTCTCTGCATAACCGATTGTACAAATAGTCTTTATTGAGTGACTTTAAGTAACGTTTTTGCCGCAAGTATTAATTTACGCTATATATTATTTCAATACCTTGGATTTTTAATATGTTTATTTATCAATTTAACGAAAACATTTTTTCCCAAATTCCAAACTTCCCTCTCCAAAAATCCCTAAAAAATCCCGAGATTACCATTTGAGAAATAAATCCCAAAAAATCCCAACTGCTTCAAAAATCCCGAGATCTCGGGATAAAATCCCGAACTTGGCAACACTGAATAAAGTACCTTAAGAACTCGATTGACCTTGCACAGGCGCGATCTGAACGCGCGCATTCGCGCGTAAATGTTTGAGACTGTGGAGTTACTTGAGTAACAAGTCGACAAAACTGTATGCACATATATACTGGGCGATGTAATAAGTTACACAAAGATAAAGTCATGAAATAGTAAATTTGTAGTTTCATAGATAATATATAACAAAGTCACAACATTTCGAGTGTAAGTTTGTAGTCTGCTAATCTTTTTGTCAGACAAAACGGTATGAAAGACTTCTCCCCAATCCCCTCATCATAATTTAGTGTTTGGCTCTTTTTGGCTTATTACTCCGCCTGCGTATGCGCAGCGGAGTCTTAAAATGCCATGGTCTTTTTTCCTTTTCGTCGTTTTGGGCGACAGAAGTTGGCATTTCTACAGGTAACCCAAAACATTTTGACCGAGAAGCCCTGGGTTACACGGTCCACGGATGAATTGTACATCAGTTGGCATGCAGGCGGAGTGAACGCCTTGAGCAGGCGTCTTGTTTTGATATTCGGTTTGGCTTTTTCTGTCGCAGAAGACCTGGCAACCTGGCAAATAGCATACCGAGGCAGGTTAATAACCTGATACAGAGGTTTGACTTTGCATTAATTATGCGTTCCTGGCGGCCATGTTGTTAGCCAGTGCGCTAAAGAGAGGCTCTATCCCCCCGAACATTTAAATAGCCATCGCTATATAAATAAATAGATCGCTCCCACTTCTATACTCTTCTATACTCTTCTAAAGGATAAGAACTAACAAAATCTGGTTTTGAGAAAAAAATTGAGCAACGTTTTTGTCAAAATACGATTTCTCCAGATAGTTCTGTCTCGGCTGTTTATATTCCATACATGTGTTCAAGCCGCCGCCATATGCATGCTTCCCGTGGGGAGAAGGCCTCTCTTGAGCGCACTGGCTAAGCCAGGGGTACGCAAAATTAACGGCAGTCAAACCTCTGTATGCTCTGTGATACTGGATACTGGCAACCCTGTGAGTCAAATCCAGTCAAATCCACTTCCTCGTTTATCAGGTTTCAGTTTTACATCAATTTCCTCCTCCTCTCTAGCAGTAAATATTCTGGTGATATTAACCTGTAAGTATTAGTATTCTACCTAATTTTGCTTTATCTTTATTTTGCATGTTTTAACTAAACTTTGTATTTACTAGTTTACTGTAAATTAGTTACCATAAAATAGGTTATAACATCCATATTAAGTCAAGTCCGTATTTATTAAACAATGGGTTGTTTACATTTTGAACTTCAATACTTTTAAAATACGTCGACGTTGTGCTGTGTGAATAACACCATCAAGGTTCGTTACGCTTCAATTAAATGAATAAGAACTAGTGTTATCTTCGGAAAAATTCGAAACATGCAAAATTTGGGCAGTTTTTGCACCATTGCATAGACGAATCCAAAAGTCTTTTGGATTGTCTATGATCAGAGACGGAGGAACCTCATGTTGTCATGTTGAGCAGACATGAGCCAGTTTAAGATGCATGTGTTCAAATCTACGAAGTGGACGAGACATGAGAACAGCTGTTGGTCAGTAGCAACTCTGTTTAATTTGCTTTACATACGTAATTAATAATTTTCTTCCTGTTGTGAAATTTTGGAAAACAAGGAGTATTTATATGTCATGTGTCCTAAATTAAGTGTTTTAAGGCAGACTCCACTTCCACTTTAATCAGTACTAAAATATTTCTGTTACCTATTGAACAATTAGCAGTCTGATGTCATTATCCTTTAATCAGCCATCTGCACTGGAGTATTTAAATTTGGAATATTTTCTAAGATTGACCTTCTCCAACTGCTTATATGTTCAGAAGGCCTTTTGTATAGTTATGGGTGAGTTTGATTGCCTCTTTTTGTCATTATCTAGATTAAGATGAGTGAAAATAAAGATGAGATTTGTAGGTTAAATCCTGTTGCCAGAGCGATACTCCAAGGTCTGTATGATGAGGACAGTCCTTTCCATAAGTTGCTAGGCTTGCATTATGTTTTGAAGGCCATTTGGAGCAACCTTGTGGAATATTGGAAATTAAAATAATACAAGCTAATAATAAATACCCACCTAAGGATTCTAAATACATTATTAAGTTGTATGTGAGTTGTGCAAAAGCTATGAGCTACCGAGACGAAGAATTAGTCATTCAGTTTCCAAAACCTAGCGACATCAATATTAATATGATGCCATTTGTGATGGCAAAGGAGTTCAAAGAAACAAAACTACCCAAGAAATTTAAAGGCTATTTTGATGAAATTATTAAGCACTGTATTGTAAATAACGAAATGGGTGAAATAGGTTATCTTACCATCCACGAGAGTTATGTTGATGAAGGTACCTCACAAAGAAGACCTGGATTACATACAGAGTCACCTGGTGTTGTTATGATGAAAGATGCCATGGGATGTTTGATCCAAAAATATATTTATTGGGCTGGTGGCCAAGATTATCATAGATTTGTTGAAACGGACAGGGAGTTAGAAGGTGGTATTTACATGGTTTCAAATGTTGCAAATTCTTGTAAAGTTTGGAATTGTGAGATAGTCAGACCAGGAGTTGATTCCATTGATATTGTTGGAAAACATGGAGATATTGAGCATTTGCGAGAGTTTTTACCTGTTGAGGGTGAAATGATGGAGGCAAATACTGTTTATTGGATTACAGATCGAACACCTCATGAATCATTACCACTAACCCAAGGAACATATAGACAATATTTCAGGCTTGTCACAAGTCTAGTTTCAGTATGGTATCAAGATCATTCTACCGAAAACCCGAATGGTGTTGTCCCAAACCCAAAACTAACAAAAGTTCTCAAAGGATCCAAGTTTGATGGAATTTGTTCTGTGGTTGATCCTTAAAGAACTATTTTGTAAAAAGTAGAGGCTTCCTGTCACCTGCTGTGGTATTTGTTTCATATTCAGTGAATGAATTAACATTTTACATGTAATCAACTGTACGGTATTTATACATGTACAATATGTATAACTTGAACTGCTTTTTTGTTAATTTGAATGCCATTGACGAAATGCCATCTCGCAAGCCAGCGCAGGGAAGGTGCTTGGTTTTCGTTTGCTGTCTCCATTTATACACTGATCTTGTTTTGATCCCTCGCCCTAACCAAGGTCTAAACCATGATTTGAGAAATTTTGTCTACCCAAATTAATGTCAACGAGTAATTTAAAAAAAAAAGTGTATAGGTGAGAAAACTGAAAACAGTGTCCTGGACGGAGCGAGTGAGCTACATGAGAACGCAAAAAAGTCCAGGAAAGCTCGTAGTGGGAACAAACAGATCCCATCGTGAAGTAGTTCGTTGCTGTACCGAACTTTGAAAATAGTAGCTTTAGCGAACTATTTGGGAATTACGATTCTCCATTACGCCGTCACGGACTCACGGTCGCATTGCCCCTCTAGGGAATTATAGCTTTTAAAAATTTAAACAGAATATGTATCAATTTAAAATTTTTATTCTGTGACAATAAAGACCTATCGATTGATTGATTGAGAAAAGTATTGATCATGAAAGTTCAAGTTCAATCCAGTTCAATCAGATTGGTCGAACGATGCGATAAATGATAATCAAGTGAGCGGATTTTTTAAAATAGTGGTGAAGAAAATGGTATACCTCAAACAACGAAAGAAGCGAAAAAAATTGGCTTGAATTATTTCCAGATTTATTATGTATTATGTAGCCAAATAGTTTAATTACTTTTTTCCAAAAATAGCTGTAGTGATAGCGAACTTTTTGTAGTCAACCCATCCTTGGTTTTTTACGGAGACTGGTGTCAGCAAATCTATCACATCTCAAGTGAGTCAAATCCACTTCCTCGTTTATCAGGTTTCAGTTTTGCATCAATTTCCTCCTCCTCTCTAGCAGTAAATATTCTGGTAATATTAACCTGTAAGTATTAGTATTCTACCTAATTTTACTCTATCTTTATTTTGTATGTTTTAACTAAACTTTGCATTTATTAGTTTACTGTAAATAGTTACCATAAACTAGGTTATAACATCCATATTAAATTAAGTCAAGTACGTAAGTATTAAACAATGGGTTGTTTACATTTTTGAACTTCAATACTTTTAAAATACGTCGACGTTGTGCTGTGTGAATAACACCATCAAGGTTCGTTACGCCTCAAAACTAGTGTTATCTTCGGAAAAATTCGAAACATGCAAAATTTGGGCAGTTTTTGCATCATAGCAGAGACAATCCAAAAGAGGAACCTCACATTTGTCACGAGCAGACATGAGCCAGTTTAAGATGCATCAAATCTACGAAGTGGACGAGACATGAAAACAGCTGTTGGTCTGTAGCAACCCTGTTTTAATTAGTTTCACATACGGCTCTAACTTTATTTACCAAAAGGAGAAATTAATAATTTTCATTCCTGTTGTAACATTTTGGAAAACAAGGAGCATTACCTCCGCGTCGTAAATTTAGTGCATTAAGGCATTAATTATATGTTCTGTTCAGAAGGCCTTTTGTATAGTGATGGTGTGTTTGATTGCCTCTTTTTGTCATTATCTAGATTAAGATGAGTGAAAATAAAGATGAGATTTGTAGGTTAAATCCTATTGCCAGAGCAATACTCCAAGGTCTGTATGATGAGGACAGTCCTTTACATAAGTTGTTAGGCTTGCATTATGTTTTGAAGGCCATTTGGAGCAACCTTGTGGAATATTGGAAATCAAAAATAATACAAGCTAATAATAAATGCCCTGAAGATTCTGAATGCTGTATTGAGTTGTATGTGAGTTGTACAAAAGTTATAAACTACCAAGACAAAGAATTAGTCATCCAGTTTCCAAAACCTAGCAACATCAATATTAATATGATGCCATTTGTGATGGCAAAGGAGTTCAAAGAAACAAAACTACCCAAGAAATTTAAAGGCTATTTTGATGAAATTATTAAGCACTGTATTGTAAATAAAGAAATGGGTGAAATAGGTTATCTTACCATCCACGAGAGTTATGTTGATAAAGGTACCTCACAAAGAAGACCTGGATTACATACTGAGTCACCTGGTGTTGTTCTGATGAAAGATGCCAAGGGATGTTTGATCCAAAGATATATTGCATGGGGATTGGGCCTATCGTATCATAGATTTGAAGGTTTGGACAGGGATTTATTTGAAGGTGGTATTTACATGGCTTCAAATGTTGCAAATTCTTGTAAAGTTTGGAATTGTGAGATAGTCCGACCAGGAGTTGATTGCCTTGATATTGTTGGAAAACATGGAGATATTGAGCATTTGCGAGAGTTTTTACCTGTTGAGGGTGAAATGATGGAGGCAAATACTGTTTATTGGATTACAGATCGAACACCTCATGAATCATTACCACTAACCCAAGGAACATATAGACAATATTTCAGGCTTGTCACAAGTCTAGTTTCAGTATGGTATCAAGATCATTCTACCGAAAACCCAAATGGTGTTGTCCCAAACCCAAAACTAACAAAAATTGTCAAAGGATCCAAGTTTGATGGAATTTGTTCTGTGGTTGATCCTTAAAGGACTAATTTGCAAAAAGTGGAATTCTTTCACCTTCAGTAAAGAAATCAACATTTTACATGTTTATTGTTATCAACTGTACAGTATTACATGTACAACATGTAATTGTAGTATAATATAATCATACAATGAATCACCAACTCTTTAGTAGCTAGTGTGTGTGAACCAGGGTACTGGTAGGCAGTGGCTGCTCCATACCCAGTTTATTCCACACTTTTGCATAAAGAATGGCTTTTCAAGTCAGACTAGTCTTCTTGTTTTACTATGCATATGTGTAAAACTAAAAACACTTCCTGCTTTCCCGACTACCATCGCCACCGGTGTGCCCGATACCCATTTCTAATACTTCTTTACACACAAAAGCCTCTTGGAGGAAAGTGCACTAAAGATTAGACTAGGTCCTGCAGCGTTTAATAATATATTAATGACGGAATGACCCAAACGTTTAGCAAATTGTTAATAGGGAAAGGTGAGACACCTTTATTAATCAAAGAGGATAAAGGTTTCCTATAAATTTATAATTTTAGATTTATATACTTCTTTTTCAAATTTCTTTTTCTAACGCAAGAGACTGAAGAGTATCATTTGAGATAAGTGAACGGCACAGTCCACAGGCACTGTAGTCAGTCTCAGTAAAGGCTGTTTTCCACTTACGCGTTTTTCATACGCACGTACAGGCATGTAGAAGTCTAAATCCTTATACATGTTACCTTTGAAAAAACTAAGTGAATAAATCGAAGGACATAGTTTTCTGCATATTTTAGTATGCATTATTTGACCTAGATGTTACATAATAAAAAATTAAAAGCAATTAAAATTTTCCGTACGTGTACGTGCGTATAAAAAACGCGTAGGTTGAAAGCAGTTATAACATTTGGAATAAAATTTCAATATTACCGTAACTCAACTTTTCACAGTATAAACATAATTTTACGTGGTAAGAGAGCGAATTACACAACAGATGCCGAGATGGTCGCTATTGCTGCTTATTTCGATTGAAAAATTACAAACAAAAAATATTTTTATCAATATCAATGTTAAATAGGTACCAAATACTAAATTGGACGTGGTACGTTGTTACAAAATGTCAAAAAGGAACAGAGTAAATCAACTAATAAGTTTGTTGTTTTGAAAAGTTAGAACAAGTAAACGTGTAGACTATAGTGGTAGTTGTTTTTTTACTCCCTTCTAAATGGACACTCATTGCCTGTATTCTAAAACAATAAATAAATCTTTCTAACACTTTTTGACGGAGAGAAACACTGACACTAACAAAGTCCCAGTGTAGCCTATATATAGCCCAAATTGATTTATTTAAGTCGGGTATTTACGGCTAAATTTGTACTTATTTGGATCAGTATAACTATAACCTATAAGTGAGCTCTAGAATACAGACAAACGGTAAAACCGACTCATCCCGACTCATCATAAACAATTCTTATTTTCGACCTGCTACCTTGGTAAGAATAAAATATGAATCAGTCTGGTATAACTATAAAATATTGGTCTTTCCACAATACCAAATATCGTAATACTACAGATACTGGATTTTGAAGTGTTTCATCTGTATGATTGAGACATTGAGTTTAGCCATTGACAGACACTGTAGTGCTGTGAATGTTCTTATAGATTTTTTAAAATAGTGGTGAAGAAAATGGTATACCTCAAACAACGAAAGAAGCGAAAAAAATTGGCTTGAATTATTTCCAGATTTATTATGTAGCCAAATAGTTTAATTACTTTTTTCCAAAAATAGCTGTAGTGATAGCGAACTTTTTGTAGTCAACCCATCCTTGGTTTTTTACGGAGACTGGTGTCAGCAAATCTATCACATCACAAGTGAGTCAAATCCACTTCCTCGTTTATCAGGTTTCAGTTTTGCATCAATTTCCTCCTCCTCTCTAGCAGTAAATATTCTGGTAATATTAACCTGTAAGTATTAGTATTCTACCTAATTTTACTCTATCTTTATTTTGTATGTTTTAACTAAACTTTGCATTTATTAGTTTACTGTAAATAGTTACATAAACTAGGTTATAACATCCATATTAAGTCAAGTACGTATGTATTAAACAATGGGTTGTTTACATTTTTGAACTTCAATACTTTTAAAATACGTCGACGTTGTGCTGTGTGAATAACACCATCAAGGTTCGTTACGCCTCAAAATGAATAAGAACTAGTGTTATCTTCGGAAAAATTCGAAACATTCAAAATTTGGGCAGTTTTTGCATCATAGCATAGACAATCCAAAAGAGGAACCTCACATTGTCACGAGCAGACATGAGCAAGTTTAAGATGCATCAAATCTACAAAGTGGACGAGACATGAGAACAGCTGTTGGTCAGTAGCAACCCTGTTTTAATTTGTTCTACATACGGCTCTGACTTTATTTACCAAAAGGAGTAATCAATAATTTTCATTTCGGTTGTAAAATTTTCGGAAATAAGGAGTATGACGTCATAACGGCGTCGTAGATTTATTCAGAAGGCCTTTTGTATAGTGATGGTGCGTTTGATTGCCTCTTTTTGACATTATCTAGATTAAGATGAGTGAAAATAAAGATGAGATTTGTAGGTTAAATCCTATTGCCAGAGCAATACTCCAAGGTCTGTATGATGAGGACAGTCCTTTCCATAAGTTGTTAGGCTTGCATTATGTTTTGAAGGCCATTTGGAGCAACCTTGTGGAATATTGGAAATCAAAAATAAAACAAGCTAATAATAAATACCCTGAAGATTCTGTATACTATATTGAGTTGTATGTGAGTTGTGCAAAAGCTATGAGCCACCGAGGCGAATTAGTCATTCAGTTTCCAAAACCTAGCAACATCAATATTAATATGATGCCATTTGTGATGGCAAAGGAGTTCAAAGAAACAAAACTACCCAAGAAATTTAAAGGCTATTTTGATGAAATGATTAAGCATTGTATTGTAAATAAAGAAATAGGAGAAATAGGTTATCTTACCATCCACGAGAGTTATGTTGATGAAGGTACCTCACAAAGAAGACCTGGATTACATACTGAGTCACCTGGTGTTGTTATGATGAAAGATGCCAAGGGATGTTTGTTCCAAAGATATATTCGATGGGCAGGTGGCCAAGATTATCATAGATTTGTTGAAACGAGGAGGGAATTCGAAGGTGGTATTTACATGGTTTCAAATGTTGCAAATTCTTGTAAAGTTTGGAATTGTGAGATAGTCAGACCAGGAGTTGATTCCATTGATATTGTTGGAAAACATGGAGATATTGAGCATTTGCGAGAGTTTTTACCTGTTAAGGGTGAAATGATGGAGGCAAATACGGTTTATTGGATTACAGATCGAACACCTCATGAATCATTACCACTAACCCAAGGAACATATAGACAATATTTCAGGCTTGTCACAAGTCTAGTTTCAGTATGGTATCAAGATCATTCTACTGAAAACCCGAATGGTGTTGTCCCAAACCCAAAACTAACAAAAGTTCTCAAAGGATCCAAGTTTGATGGAATTTGTTCTGTGGTTGATCCTTAAAGGACTAATTTGCAAAAAGTGGAATTCTTTCACCTTCAGTAAAGGAATCAACATTTTACATGTTATCAACTGTACAGTATTACATGTACAACATGTAATTGTAGTATAATATAATCATACAATGAATCACCGACTCTTTAGTAGCTAGTGTGTGTGTGTGTGTGAACCAGAGTACCGGTATCCACACTTTTGCATAAAGAATGGCTCATCTAGTCAGACTAGTCTTCTTGTTATACTATGCTTATGTAAAAAACTAAAAACACTTCCCGCTTTCCCGAGTACCATCGCCACCGGTGTGCCCGATACCCATTTCTAATACTTCTTTACACACAAAAGCCTCTTGGAGGAAAGTGCACTAAAGATTAGACTAGGTCCTGCAGCGTTTTAATAATATATTAATGACGGAATGACCCAAACGTTTAGCAAATTGTTAATAGGGAAAGGTGAGGCACCTTTATTAATCAAAGAGGATAAAGGTTTCCTATAAATTTATAATTTTAGATTTATATACTTCTTGATCAAATTTCTTTTCTAACGCAAGACACTGAAGAATATCATTTGAGATAAGTGAACGACACAGTCTACAGGCACTGTAGTCAGTACTCAGTAAAGGCTGTTTTCCACTTACGCGTTTTTCATACGCACGTACACGCATGTAGAAGTCTAAATCCTTATACATGTTACCTTTGAAAAAACTAAGTGAATAAATCGAAGGAACATAGTTTTCTGCATATTTTAGTATGCATTATTTGACCTAGATGTTAAATAATAAAAAATTAAAAGCAATTAAAATTTTCCGTACGTGTACGTGCGTATAAAAAACGCGTAAGTTGAAAGCAGTTATAACATTTGGAATAAAATTTCAATATTACCGTAACTCAACTTTTCACAGTATAAACATAATTTTACGTGGTAAGAGAGCGAATTACACAACAGATGCCCAGATGGTCGCATTGCTGCTTATCTCGATTGAAAACATATAAACAAAAAATATTTTTATCAATAACAATATCAATGTTAAATAGGTACCAAATACTAAATTGGACGTGGTACGTTGTTACAAAGAGTCAAAAAGAACACAGTAAATCAACAAATAAGTTTGCTGTTTTAAAAGGTTAGAACAAGTAAACGTGTAGACTATAGTGTTAGTTGTTTTTTTACTCCCTTCTAAATGGACACTCATTGCCTGTATTCTAAAACAATAAATAAATCCTCCTAACACTTTTTGACTGAGAGAAACACTGAAACTAACAAAGTCCCAGTATAGCCTATATAGCTATAGCCCAAATTGATTTATTCAAGTCGGGTATTTACGGCTAAATTTGTACTTATTTGGATCAGTATAACTATAACCTATAAGTGAGCTCTAGAATACAGACAAACGGTAAAACCGACTCATCCCGACTCATCATAAACAATTCTTATTTTCGACCTGCTACCTTGGTAAGAATAAAATATGAATCAGTCTGGTATAACTATAAAATATTGGTCTTTCCAAAATACCAAATATCGTAATACTACAGATACTGGATTTTGAAGTGTTTCATCTGTATGATTGAGACATTGAGTTACGTCACTGACAGACACTGTAGTGCTGTGTATGTTCTTACCCAGAAACAACGTCTGATTTAGCCGTATCCGCAATATCACTACCGCTTTCCAGAGAAATCGTGGTCATCGCTTTATCAGCATTAGCAAGTGAATTATTGTTATTCGCAACAGTTACTAAGTCTGTGTCATTGAGTGCCTGTGTTTGACAAGTTAACATTGTTAAAACGGGTAGTTTTTCAGACTGAACGCATTGGATTGGTATCCCAGTCGAGACGAGAGGATTATTGTTCGATACAACAGCGATAGGCACACCATCTTTAATATCATTCGATATTATATGCACAGTTTGTTGTGGAAACTGCACTGCACTTGTTGTTCCACCTTGAATTGTCTGCACTAATGATTCTGGCCAAAATCTTTGAGCTAGACGAGCTTGGTTAGGTTTAGATTTCTTAGACTTGAATGCAGTTTCAGGATTACTTGACTCCAGCATTGGCTGTAGTATCCTTCGTCTGGCATTAATGAACCTTAAAGGACCAAAAATATACTTTGTGTTAAAATATTACCAATTTGATGAGTTGGTGCCACCAACTTGGTGGCATTGATAATGTACGCGTAGAGCTTTTACCATAATTTAAGATGTTGTAAAAGATTGATACAGTACTGTCTACAGATTGCATTGTGTGCGTGTTCAACTCCTTGGCACTTTTAGCAGATGTTCCCATCATGCGGATTACCGGTACATAGACAAGAAAAAGTTTTGTCATAAAGCTTACCAGTTATTCACTTGCAACAGAGAAAGATCTGTCTGATGAGCCAAAATTCTTTTTTCCTCTTCTGATGGGTAAGGATGCTAAAAAATAGAAAAGTAAAATTCTGCATTAAAGGCTGGAATCAAAGTATTTTTTTTTCACATGTATTCTGGCACTGGTCAGGACAATTCTAAAAGCTATATATATGGCTCAATGTATAGGCATGGCTAACTCAAAGTATAGTTATTATAGTTTGTCACCAACATATGTTGTTTGGTGATTATGCATATATCAGCATTACCGCAATATGTTGGAAAAGCCATGCTTTCATTGTATTTGTTGCATGCTTTGGCAATATACTACGTCTTTGTTTCTTGTTAGGTGGTGATGGTGATAAACTTGATAATGGTACTGTACGAAGTGACTGATTCGATGTCCCTAAAAAAGAAGTCAATCAAATTCTTATACACATTCTTATATATAGGTCAACTATAATATATGGTATTTCTAAATCAACAGATGCACCAAATTGGTAAAACAATTCTCTTTCAAATATCAATGTGAAACAATGTTAGTAAGGAAATTACATTGTGCTTGTTAGTTTCACAAAGATTCTGAAGCTGAAGGCATGGTTATTTGAGTTGTTTTGACCTCAGTTTTAAGTAGGATAGGTAACTATTTTGAAATGAAACTATTTATGACCTAGAAATCCATATTTGAAATAATGATAATGATGCCTACATTAACAATTCACATTGTACTCTTATTACTTAACTACAGTATGCAAAAAAATCCTGTCCCACAGGATGAACATTGTGTCCAGCAGGAAAAAAAAATTTATCACATGGGACGATAATCCCATTCTATACAGACTTACTGTACTTAATTTTTGACAGTTCTTTTTGAAAGTAACATAACATATAGTTTATCATCAAAGCATTTTGGTGGTGATGGATTACTTGTCAATTTAAAATTTTAGGTCATGTATAAAAGTGAATCAATTTATACAGGATTATGCAAAGATCTATCAATGGTTGAGAAACCGATCAAAAGCCATATCGTAGGAAATTCCAGTTCTATTAACTGGTAATGCCCAACAATAATAACTACTGGTAAGTGGTAAATAGTACCTAGATATTGGTGCTGAACCAAAAAGTGAAAACCTTTATCTACCTGATACAGGTGATTTGTATTGTGCATCAAGGGCTGGAAGTGATGATCCAAATATGGTATTATTACTCTGATTGGTACTGTTGGTTAAAACCATTGTTGGTAAAGTTGGTACTTCAGTGGTTTGTAATGCAGGAGATAGTTGATCATTAAAAGTTTTCACAGAGTCTGACCTCCCAGCAGCTATTGATGAACTTGATGTTGATTGACTAAGATATGCCAAACTGCCTTGAAGTTGATTCAGCTGTGCAGAAGAGTCATTTGATATACTACTCATAATATCATCACAGCCAGATGAGAAAATACCTAACATGTTTTCTGTTTGCAACTTTCCTTTCAAACAAGCAATGTATCGCTGACAGAAATCTTTACATAGTTCATTCACTTTCTCAATTTCCAACAGATGAATCTTAAGGACCAGAATTGCCTTTACCATCTAAAAGTAGAACACGTCATGTATGTTGCTATTTTGAGAAAATGGCCAAGCACTAGATGGGACCATGCTTTAAATTCTGTGACCACTAGTGGAATTTTGCAAAAGGAAGTTGGGGAACATATACAATGTGATCAGATGGGATACCATGGTAAAATCGAACTGTGATCACAACAACTTTGTCCGAGCCCAAGATTGGCCTGAGCACAGATAGACTGTTTACTTCTGGGAATCATTTACACAACTATTTTATTCTAAGTAAGTACACGAAATGCACTATTCAATTTAATCATTCTAATTCTTTTGCGTCTCAGACGTTCGATCTTGCACGATTCCAACAGTCACAGGTGGAAAATTGCAAATGTTGTGCAAGTGATCTAAACAGAGAATCCGCATTGCCGTTTGCCATTTACATATATATATATTTCAAAACTATAAGTGCTATATTTAGACAGTAAAGTAAATTACGTTATGTAAACGCATACGAGAAGTTTACGGTTTATAGGAATATTTATTGATATAGATTTACTGTGCGATCAATCTAACTCACCAAACTATCCGTCTCATCATTGCCAGACATGAGCGATTTGCCGTCTTGTCCAAGATGTAATAAGAAAGATCTTATATCATTTTGAAAAGCTTGACTGCTTGGACCCTCCTGGCTTCCTGTTGCCCATTCACATTTATCAAACAACATGGCAAGAAGTGGGAATAATGGATGACGGTATATCGCAAGTTTATCTGCTTGCGAGACTTCGCTAGTTTCATTTGCAAACGCGCCGTGTTGTTGCTGTTTTTGTTGTTGTGATTCCTCGTAAGAAGGAGGCGGTTTATCGTGGAGAACAAACTGAGGAAATTCAGGTGAAACCGAGTTCTCCCCTTCAGCAAGATTGCTTCCAAGCCGTGCGGTGATTCCGTCCATAATTTATCTTTGTCTTCAAACGAGAGGAAGAGAATTGTTACTAGTAACATACCGAACATGTGCGTAGAATATTTCATAATACGCACACAACTATAAAGTAAGATTTTAATTAATCCACTTTATTATGCTTTTATATATATTACATACACTACGCCAAAAAATGTATAACTAGCGTGTAAATTACACGCTAGAAACTATTTTATATTCAAGAAACAATTACTTGTTATAAATACAGAACAAGACATTGACTGGCAGCTTACCTCTGTCACTCTTCGTCAAAACTGATGGCCTTTGTCTACGAAGCGCTGCCAATCTTTCTACAAGCCCTGCCTACTTCCGGAAGAGCTGAGATAAAATATGCAAAAAGTGGCGCGGTTAAAAAGTGATTGATGGATGTTTTTGACAGCTGTTTTGGACGCACTTAATATTATCAAATGGCATGTGCAAAAGGGCTATCTGTAAAACAAGGAACGGGGAATCGGGGAAAGGAATGAGGAAAGGAACGGGGAACGGCAAAACAAGGAATGAGAAAAGCCGGAATCTGTAAAACAAGGAATGAGAAAAGCCGGAATCTGTAAAACAAGGAATGAGAAAAGCCGGAATCTGTAAAACCAGGAATGAGAAAAGCCGGAATCTGTAAAACCAGGAATGAGAAAAGCCGGAATCTGTAAAACCAGGAATGGGAAAAGCCGGAATCTGTAAAACCAGGAATGAGAAAAGCCGGAATCTGTAAAACCAGGAATGGGAAAAGCCGGAATCTGTAAAACCTGGAATAAGAAAAGTTTGTAACTAAATTAGTTACAATTTCCGCGCGTAATACAAAATATGCTAATTTGACATGGCTATATTTTCCGTATTTTACCAAATTTCGCAGCCAAACTTAGCATTTCCACTAATTCAAGTACGCTTAATTCTTTTATCTGTTATATGGAACATAAACTGCATTCTTTTGTGGGCGAAGGAAATATATACATATATAATTATACAAACGATGAAACGATCACAAGGACTGACAAGGTTAGTTTGCAAAAAGTTAAATTTGTTGATTTGGTCTTATTCATAAACCTACAAAGTGGAGCTTTGTGCGTTGCTATCTACCGTTTAATATCTACATTGCTATTGAAATTGAATATTGTTTGGTTGGAAATGAAAACTTTTTGGATCCAAATTTAAATTTCCAAATTTTCATATGAATTGCATACTGCATGATATAAAATATGCAAGAACAACTTCATTAAATACACAATATATTTTCCTTTTTCTATATTCAGTTCATTGTATTTACAACTACCTAATATATCAGTATAAATCTATGCGAACAACAATTTTGCTCCATTTAATACATACATGTTAAGCTTATTTTGCAATATATATTTGTCATAGTTCATGGTAACAGCTTATCATTATTGAATCAGATTACCCCTGAACAATGCACTACACTTTTGTTGTCCCAAATATAATATAATTTTGCTTGTAAGTAAAATTGTATAGAAAATGAAAATATTTTAGTGCATTTTGTACCTTAATTAACTCAGATTATAATTAAACAGTTACCATTCTCACCCAAGGTTTTAATGACTGGAGGCTGATTAAAAATATACAATAATAATCTGTAAGTAACTAACAGTTGCAATTAATTAAAATCTTGGCTCTTTGAGAACAACTTTGTGTTGGGATGGAATTTTGGAATATATCCTATTGTTGTTTACATACTGTAGAGTAGATTTATATTAAGTAGCAGCAATAACAATATACTGGTAATATTCTAAAATTTAACAACATATCTCAATTCTTTTCAGTTATATGGAACATAACTGAATTATTTTGTGGAGGAAGGATTGAAGGAATATATAATACATATTCATTATGCAAACAACAATTAATTTTGCTGCACTTAATACATTATTTTGCACTATATAGTCATAGTTCATAGTAAAAGCTTTTCATATTGAATCATGCTAGCCTAGAAAACCACAGCTAGGTTTTCCCTACACAATTTCTAATGCATTTTTATTTGAATAAATTATTTGAAAAAGCTAGTAAATGCTGGTTGGAAATTATACTTTTCTAAACAAGACCTAGGGTATATTCCAAAATTCCATCCCAACACAAAGTTGTTCTCAAAGAGCCAAGATTTTAATTAATTGCAACTGTTAGTTACTTACAGATTATTATTGTATATTTTTAATCAGCCTCCAGTCATTAAAACCTTGGGTGAGAATGGTAACTGTTTAATTATAATCTGAGTTAATTAAGGTACAAAATGCACTAAAATATTTTCATTTTCTATACAATTTTACTTACAAGCAAAATTATATTATATTTGGGACAACAAAAGTGTAGTGCATTGTTCAGGGGTAATCTGATTCAATAATGATAAGCTGTTACCATGAACTATGACAATATATATTGCAAAATAAGCTTAACATGTATGTATTAAATGGAGCAAAATTGTTGTTCGCATAGATTTATACTGATATATTAGGTAGTTGTAAATACAATGAACTGAATATAGAAAAAGGAAAATATATTGTGTATTTAATGAAGTTGTTCTTGCATATTTTTATCATGCAGTATGCAATTCATATGAAAATTTGGAAATTTAAATTTGGATCCAAAAAGTTTTCATTTCCAACCAAATTATTCAATTTCAATAGCAATGTAGATATTAAACGGTAGATAGCAACGCACAAAGCTCCACTTTGTAGGTTTATGAATAAGACCAAATCAACAAATTTAACTGTTTGCAAACTAACCTTGTCAGTCCTTGTGATCGTTTCATCGTTTGTATAATTATATATGTATTATATATTCCTTCGCCCACAAAAGAATGCAGTTTATGTTCCATATAACAGATAAAAGAATTAAGCGTACTTGAATTAGTGGAAATGCTAAGTTTGGCTGCGAAATTTGGTAAAATACGGAAAATATAGCCATGTCAAATTAGCATATTTTGTATTACGCGCGGAAATTGTAACTAATTTAGTTACAAACTTTTCTTATTCCAGGTTTTACAGATTCCGGCTTTTCCCATTCCTGGTTTTACAGATTCCGGCTTTTCTCATTCCTGGTTTTACAGATTCCGGCTTTTCCCATTCCTGGTTTTACAGATTCCGGCTTTTCTCATTCCTGGTTTTACAGATTCCGGCTTTTCCCATTCCTGGTTTTACAGATTCCGGCTTTTCTCATTCCTTGTTTTACAGATTCCGGCTTTTCTCATTCCTTGTTTTGCCGTTCCCCGTTCCTTTCCTCATTCCTTTCCCCGATTCCCCGTTCCTTGTTTTACAGATAGCCTGTGCAAAAGCGGATATAGTTCGACCGTATTTGGATATGTTTATCGACGTTTACATGTAAATGTTTTTATTTTGTTGCTCGTACTTCATCTATACCGCTTTCTGATAAGTAGTCTTTGTACACGTATTCGTAAAGTTATTCGTAAACATTTCTATATTTACCTTTTTACTACAATAGCAACACAGCCAACACTACATGGGGAAATTGTTAGCATTTACTTTGGCAGTTTGCCACAGCCTCGTACTGATCAAATTTCATCCTTTTACCAAAATATTCCAAAACAATCGTGACATACTATTATTTTTAAATTTTATTCAATATTGTGAGGTTACTAACATTGGAGTCTCAGTTCAGATATCAAAGTTCTATTTTTAAAATCCCTATAAAGATTCGTATTTTCAAAACTTCAGATCCTCAAATTATCGAAAAATTTTGCTGTGACCAAGCTGGGGAGGACATTCCCAGTGTTTGCCTCTTTTAATCAAGATTCAAGAAGTATTTGTTCTTCACTACTCTGGAGGTGCTTAAATCAAACAGTGGACCATGTAACCCATTCTTCCGTTGCCACTTTATTTTCCTTTTTACAGGTCTTTGTCCATGAAATAGACAGAAAGGGAGAGATTAGCGTGGGCACTGGCATAGCAGGTTATACGTCTTGAGTGGGCGAAGCTGCCGAAGCACTTGCAACTGGCCCATTTTCAGCTAGTGGAATTTTGAAGTTGATTAGTTGAAGGCCGCTTATTCGAGTATTTTGGGGCAAATTTTCTTTTCTATGGGGAGAACAAACATGCGATCTTTTGCGTCACAAATTCCCTATTCACATATTTTTTTGGTGTATAGTACCTTCTATAAGTACATATATGCGATGATAACCTGCGCATGGATTCACCCTGTTGTGGTAATTCTGTCCTAAGGTGCACTGATCGTAAAACCTACTGGCAAGCTCACTGCGAGTGGTCGCACGTAATTAAAATTAACCTAAAAGTATTTTCATTAAATAAAATAACCTCGCAGCGAGCTTCCGAGTTCATTCCGAGCACTGAGCAACTGAGCTATATTTGAATTATATTATAGCTCAGTGATTCCGAGTTCTATACTAATAAAAACTAATAAATGTCGTCACAAATGGCAAACGGCAGGAAGACTGGGCCCTAAACGGTATTATAAGTAGTTCAAGTAGTACTTGTTCTTGTACTATTTTCTCTTGAGTTCATAATTTGCTTTGAAATCTGAATATTTCCAAGTTTACTAAATGTAAAATGTTATACTATTAGATGCGCATTCTAACTTGAAAGGTATGTAATTTTACTTCCTCTATAATTTATCCACAAAAGCAATTATAGTCTATTACAAATGTTTAGTACTATACGCAAAGTTTGTCTTTATTTTGTTTTTCAAAGCAGGTAATTTAATAGGCATAACAATATACTTAATTTATATATTGACTTACATATTTTCACTTTTTTGGGAAACTCTTGCTTTTGTGTGCAGTACGTTCTTTATGAATTTATTGATTTTTATGAATTTTATTATGAAACTATTAAACTCAGAAACTGTCAATTTTCTGGCGTGTAATCTGTTGTTTCGGTCATCGTACAATAATAATATTTTAAACTCAAAGTCTAAAATACCAGAAAATGTAAAATTATTCCCAGGAGAAAAAAATATTAATATTTCAAATTTCTCCTGCGAATAATTTTGCAAGAAATGCAATTCAAGAATAATTGAGAGTCTTTCCTTTTGAAATTGTTGAGAAGCTTCACTGTTGCCGTAGCAACAAACGTATTTGCTACAGAGGTAAAATGTCGGACTCAAATGTTGAAAGCACGAATTCGGATAATAAAAAGGGCGAGGAAACGTCTTCCTCTGATAATAAGCCCTCTCTTACAAGCGTCACACACAAATTGAAAGCTGAAGCTCTTCGAAGATTTAAAATTGACAGTGAAATCGAAAACGAGCCAGAGTTCAGTTCGGACGATCCAGATGCAAATGTTGACTCGAATATAGAACGAAAAGAGCAAGATGCGATTCAGGCGGATAGTAACTATTCACAGTTGGATGAAGTTGGTTCAGGAGAAGAAAAAGATCCTCAAAGAAATCAGGAAAGCCTTGGTCCATCCTCAAGTGACACATTTAGGAATGTAAATGTTAAAGTATCAAGCGATGTCTCTGTAGAACAGAATGTTGCAAATTTGACACCATCGAGTGAGACCCAAGACAATCAAAACATATTGGCAAACTTAGAAGAAAGTGAAGCAAGTAAATTACACCCTAATAATACCTTGCTTATGCCTAATAATGATATGGTGGCAGAGTCAATTAATCATCACCTGGTAGCTTCTTCTGATACAGCAACAATGGAAGAGCCTCCTGCTGCAAATGATGATTCCACAGATACAGTTGAAGGATTTGAAGTGGTAAAGGATGTATATGAGTCAAAATGTGAAGAACCTATATCAAATGAAGGTGATGTTGTGGTAAATGTACAAAGTTCAAAAGAAGAGCCTGGTGCAACAAGTGATAATTCAAAGACTGCAGATGGTGTGTTGCCTTCGGAGATTACGAGTACATATGAATCACATAAAGAGAGTGACAGTAATTTACCTGGAGTTGATGAAACAACAAGCAGAGAAGGTGCCCAGAAAATTGGATTTACTGTCAAGAGTGATGATTTATCCCGATCAAGTGATAAAGGTCTACCTAAACCTGATTCAAATGGTTCTTCTGAAAACGGTGTTCTTGACAATAATGCAGAGTTACCAGACCAAGCTAATTTGATTTATTCAAGTATTAATGGTGGTTCCGAATCAAATACTACTGATGTTAAAGCACCTGATAGAGGTATGCAACCATCAGTTCAAACTGTGCCAGATAAAAATGTGGATTTTCCAGCTCTGATGAAGAATGAATATTCCAGTGAAATCAATGATTTGACCGTAGACAATGCCATCCAATTCGAACATACTGCCCCCAATACGTTAACAACGGATGTAAAATCTAGTGAAAACAATGTAACAAGTTCCCATAAACAGAATGGTGAAAGCATCAATGAAAAAGAAAGTTTGGAACAAAATGTTGCCATTATTGATAGTACCAGTAATGCTGACTTTAAAGGTATATAGAGGTCATATGTAACCAATTCTAAAATTTAATGCATAATTTGTTTCAACTGTTGTAAACAAGTTGTTGTTAATTAAATCAAAGCAAATGTTAGATATAAATTATATAAATCATAATGGTATTTCAAACTATAAGAACAGCCACATGCAGACATTGTGGAACTCCTAAGGTTTCCTGGTAGGTGTTAAAGTTTGTTATAATCCTCTATAACCAACCATCTTAAAAAAGTTCAGTTGAAAAGCCAGAAGTATTGACATTTACAGAATTTTCTATGAAAATAAAAGCAGTACTAAATGAAATGTTGTGGTTATATTAAATGCTGCATATATGGCTGGTAACTCAATGTGCAATGATAAAAGCATGAATGCATGCAACTACTACATGTATTATTTATTCCTTTTCATTGTTTTTCAGGTAATATAATGGAGGACGATGATCCCAGTGGAAAGATGTCTACCAAACATGATGAAGAGAATGCTTCAAGTATGTCTGCTGTGCATGATGATGTTGAGACAAAGATTCAAATCCCTCAGACAGAGTCAAAATGTGAAGAAGCTATGTCAAATGAAGGTGATGTTGCGGTGAATGTACAAAGTTCTAAAGAAGAGCCTGGTGAAGATTCAAAGACTGCAGATGATGTGTTGCCTTCAGAGATTACGCATGATCCTGATCAGGAGGATACAGGTATATTTAGTCAGAATTAAGTGAAAAATATTTTTGCACATTCTATTTTATGGCAATATGTCATTCAAATATATCATATATTACTGGGAAATATTAATACAGGTCATCCATATAACCATGCAATCACCTGTAACTGTCCATCTTTAAAATTCTTTGTCAGAAAAACCCCCTACAGATGAAGATGAAAAAGCACACTTAACTGACGATTTTTATTATGAAAGACCAGAATCATTATTCAATCCATTATTGACTGAAGGAGTTCCACATGATCTTCTCTCATTGCAGTATCCTTTCTGTTTATATTCAAGTAGTTTAATTTATAGTTGGGAAGCAACTTGAAGGGGTTCCAAATCCAGATTATTGTATGTTTTTAATCATGATTTCAATAACCCAATTATGTGTGTTTAAGGCACGAATCTTGAACGAAGAACAAGGCTTTTAACTACATCCCTCCCTGAGCATTAACCTCGATCATCATGAGCAGCATAAAATAATTTATGTGTATTGATCTCTACTCAATTGTTGCTTGAAATTCTAGTTTTTTCTTGACTTCTTTCTCAGTCATTCGTTTGGTTATGAATGCACAAAGAGAGAAAATCTTCACATATTGGATGCAAATACAGTCGTATTTTCCGCGGGCAACTTGGTTCAGATACTTAACTTGCAGACACTGGAACAGACATATATTGGTGGCACCAACGATGGTGGTATTGGTGCTATTACGGTAAGCCCAAATTGATAAATTCTGTTCGAGTACGTAGAGCAGGGAGTTGATGATTTATCTAGCTACGTATTAGTTTAAAACGAAATATCTTAAAAAATAGATGTCTGGACCTTTAAAAGAGTATATACAAATTCAACTATAAAATCTAAGTTGCTCGAGGCTCAATGCTTCATAGCCAAGACATTCCGTTAGATGTCATTCTAATGAATTTAGAAACTTCAAAGTTGTTTTTCAGAAAGACGCGTTCTTAAACTTGCAACGCCAAATTACTGTATAGTTTTGTCTACAATTTTTAGTGCATGTGTATCTGTTAATATGTAATGCCTTATGTATGTCGTGATAAAACTTCTTCTCTGACGTATTCCAGGTGCATCCAAGTCGCAAATATTTCGCTGTTGCCGAAAAAGGAGTGATGCCGAATATAAATATTTACGAATATCCTTCGCTGAAATTATTCCGTGTGTTGCGAGAAGGAACACTGGAGGCATACGCCCATCTTAATTTCTCATCCAATGGTACGAAACTTGCATCACTTGGCAGTTCTCCGGATTTCATGTTGACTGCCTGGGATTGGAAGAACGAGAAAGTGATTCTGAGAACGAAAGCGTTTTCACAAGACGTCTATAAGGTCGCGTTTTCCCCTGAAAATGAGGGACATTTGTGCACAAGTGGAAGTGGTCATATTAGGTATTTAAAACGTTTTATTGCCTTTTTCTTAGTAAAGACGAAGGATGATTTTGTTTTGCTCATTCTTATTGCGCTATTGAAACTTACACTATATAGCTACGGCTGCGTCGTTTGCTATGGCTGAATTTCAACTTTGCAAAAATGCTTTAAGATTATAACAATACAGAAATACAGAAGTTCTAAGATATTTCAGTTTTCTTACATTCCGAACGGTTTTCGCAGCATTTATTCAACTCTACAAATGTGGAAAAAAATATTGTTTAGATTTTGGACGATGGCGAGTACTTTTACTGGTCTCAAACTGCAGGGTGAATTAGGACGGTTTGGTACAACTGAGCTCACTGATATTGAAGGTGGGTAACTATTGTATAGGCTGGATTTTCACTTGCAGAGAAATAGTTCGTTAGCTAATTACGTGCATACTTGCAGTTAATAAATTGCTAATTTATGCTGTTAAAATTCAAAAGAACGTATGTTTCTTTTTACGCAGGATTTGTTGAACTTCCAGACGGCAAAGTTCTTTCGGGGTCAGAATGGGGTAATATGTTGTTATGGGATGGTGGTTTAATAAAAGTTGAAATATGCAAGAAAGACAACAAACTATGTCATAACGGAATGATCGAACAGTTCTTTATGGATGAAGGCGAATTAATGACTATTGGTGTTGATGGTTTTATTAAGGTAATCAAAGCTAAGCCATTGTGATTGCATGGCTGCAATATCATTGATGCATTTCCAGCTTTTATTAAATCTGCACCTCCCTCTTTTCTAAATCTTTGAATAGGTTTGGGATTTTGAGGCAATTGATAATGCTGATATTACTGACGAGAAGAATCGTGTCTTTGAAATGGAGCCCATGTATGAACTAAAAGTAGGTATTCTGTGTTTGCTGTAATGACGTCATCTTTTGTCATAATACATGATACTGATCTATTTATAATCAGGAGTAATCTGCCGACTAATAAACTATGTTCCCCGGCTTGTAGGTTGGGCCAGATGTAAACTTGAAATCAATGGTTAAGTCTGTCAATCTTAGCACGCCAACAATTTGGTATGGGCAGGTATGATAAACGTTCAATATTTGAACAAACAGCCACGAATTGCATCCTAGGGTAAGATGAATATTTCTCTGTAATAATATTTTAACAGGACGCATCTGGTGCAATATGGAAATTGGATCTTTCTTTTACACATACGGTAAATTGCAATGATAGGAGATTGATTGTTGAAGAGAACAAGCTAGTACTTAGTACTGTACTAGAGTATGAATAGTTTGAACCTAAGAGTATTAAGCTGGACTGTACATACAATAGGCGGATTTAGCTGGAAGACAGCAACGTGAAAGACGATGTGAAAATCACGTGGCATGTCCATATATGGGCGCATCACGCCATCTATTCGCCTTTCTCACGTTGTTTTTCACGTTCCCGTCCTCAATACCTAATATGTTGAAATAAACTGACTTGTTCCAATGCCCGCGTGTGGTTTCTCGCTGTCTCGTAGAGTCACGCTCCTGAAAAGCTGCATTCCTTTCACGCTGGTCGTATCACGGGCGTGGACGTGTCACCCACTAATCACATGGTCGCAACCTGTGGTTTGGATTGTAAGTAATATATAATTATATCACACTCAATATAGTCACTGTCACAAGTAATGGTGGGAAACTTCTAATTAAACGCCCGGGGTGATCCAATAAGATGACATGAAACTGTTATCAGTAAAAGCTCTCTATACAGTTGGTGTTTTCGTACGTTTGATGATTATTGCAGTTGCCATTATTTTATTTTGAGTCTTCATGCATAAATCAAATGATGAGGACGTTGGTTACCGATGCAATGATATATTGATATATCTCTCAGCGAAAATATCGCGGCCCATAAACGTAAATTGTCCAATATTTGTTTTGCAGGTACAGTTCGTCTTTACGACTACGTCAATAAAACTCCCCTCTGTTTTGCCAAGTACTCACGTGGTGCAACAAGCTTATTATGGCTTCCTAAGTCTGTAAGTTGGTATACGGAGTTCAGTTTGGTTACGTACGTGACTGCATGTATGCGCGCACCATGCTCATGCAAACGTTCGGCTTGTGGTGATTTCTAGGTTGATCCGAAGTGTTCATCTATTCTTTGTGGTTTCTCCGATGGTGTTGTTCGCCTTTTGTCGGTGGCCAGAGACGAAAGTTCAACTGTACGAAATAGAAGCAACAAGTCAAATTTAAGTTTTCAAATGCTTCAAGTATTCAAGCCACATACCAAGAATGTTACGTGCATTGTCATCGACAAACATGGAAAAATGCTGGCGACTGGGGTACGTCTTAATTGTATTGTTTAAAATGCATGCTGTACCTATTTTATTATTTATTAAAACACTGTAGTTTTTCTGTTCGATATTACGCGTTCATCTGTACTCGCAGCTTGGCAATTAGCAAAATTTTAAATCTTTACATCAGTGTTTTAATATATAGCACCTAAATTTCCGCAATTGCACTGTTGTGAAATTTCTACTTTGTGACATTATGCTTCTCCTTCAAATTTCTAGAGCGAAGATTGTTCCGTATTTTTCTTCACGATCGAAAATAAAGTTTGTAAACCTGTCGCTTTTATTGAAACAGCGTCACCAGTCGTGTCTATGTCGTGGTTGGACAATGCTGAGGTTAGTATATTGTTTGGTAAGTTTCTTATTGTGTGTTTCTTAATTTCACAGTTTTCAAATTCACAGCTCTGCATAAAGAAAAGTGTTTCACTGTAGTTATTATATAATTATATTTTAGACGCGTCCAAATTAAATGACAGAATTGAAAGTTTCTTCCTTGTAAAGGTTTTAAATCATATCTTATTCTCGTGTATTTCTTTTTCAGGATCCTGGGGGACTTCTGGTGTTTTGTAAGGACGGTGCGGTACTTGATGTCGATGCTCCTCGTGTTGATGTAATCGACACGACCAAAACATTTAAAATTCCTTCACAAAATCTTGTTAAACGAGAGTACATGTTTGCAAGAATAAAAGATAAATTACTGGTGAGTTCATTGACGAGTAACGCTATTTTTCCCTCCTTTTTCCGCCTCTTGCTGTCTTTCTGGGACCAATAGTCCCGTGGTTCTTACTTTTTCTACACCCCTTCCCGTCCCCTCCCTCCCCTCCCCTCCGTGACGTTAATAGTTGAAATTCTTTGTTGTTCTTCGCGTGTAGAAAGCCGAAGAAGACAAACGTAAAGCCCAGATCAAAGCAGAGAAAGAAAAACGTAAAGAAGAAGAGAGAAAACGACGTCGTGCGAGAGGTAATTACTGATCATATTATACATCATATTGTATATAGTGTATCTCTTTTAGCGCTCTTGAGGTTTTGTTTGATAGGGAAAAGACGGATGAACTTTAGTACATTAATGAGGTTTAAAACACAAAGAAGTTAGCCGAATAAAATAGTTAACTCTCTGGCTTTAAGGAACAAGGACATAATAACACTCACCTGTTTCTATCTCATGAATAACATGTGTGTGACTAGGTATCGTTGAGGATGAAGAACAGGAAGAAGAAGATGAAGAAGTAGAAGAAGAAGAAGAGGAAGAGAAGATTGTTGAAGAACCTGTTGATCATGGACCTTGTGTCGTTATACGGGGCTTTCCTTCTGTACATCTTGACAAGTTTTGGATGTTAATGGTATGTGATGATGGTACAGTGATAGTACAGTGCAGTATATGCCATGTACCGTTGTATATCCCACTGTACTATGCAACCAATATTGATCGCGTTGTTCAATGTTCATATTCTTAAAATTCGCTGTTGGTATAACGCTGTTGAGATACTACAGAGTCCTAGTTGCAATGTTTTAGTTTCACTTCACGCATTTACTATAATGTCTTGTTTTACTGCGTATCGTATACTTGCTTTACAGTATTTCATCCTGTCTTGTTGAACTGTGCTGAACTCCGCTAATTATTTTCTCATACTTGCCCATTGACATACAGAAAGCTCCACCCCGAAGTGCCTGTACAGTAGGGTGTATATATGAGTATGCATGATTGTGGTAATATACGGAATTCACACTTTTTACAGGACGGCTGGGATGCTGGGTACATATATGAATGTGAATTTCCTAAGGAGATGCAATCAGAGGATTCCTTGGAAGGCACAGAGCCCATTAACGCTATCAAATTACTAGAATGTCATGATACACCAATACGGTCTTTTACATACAGGTATATAACATGACATAATTTGGTATATGTCGTGCTTGTCACTAACAATATCTGAAGATTTAATATGACGGTGCAATTGACACATGTTACGAATATTTTAATAATCCCTGTACAAACTACAAAGCTGTTTTACCGAAAACTGAATTGTAATTTTTTTAAGATCTATGACTTCTTTGGTAATGACTATCGTTTGCATTTTCTCGAAAAGAACGTTAAATTCTTTTAAATTAAAAATTTGGTTACCATTTTCCCGCTCTTTTCATTTGGATTCATTGAAAAACCGTGTAAAAAATGTGTCTGTGTTCTTTGCAGCCATTCAGGTGATTTTGTTTTATTTGGCATGGAGAATGGTGTAGTTCGAATCCATCCTGTTCATGGCAAAAACGTGTTGGATTCGTTAACAACATACTGGGCACTTCATGCACATGACAGTCAACATGGTTCAATCACTGCTATCAGAACTAGCTTTGATGATCAATACGTGTTTACTGTGGGTGCTGATGGCAATTTCTTTGTGTACAATTTCATGAGTGATGCAACACTAAAGGAGTCAAAACCTATACAACAGATGGGAATACCAAGGATACAGGTATTGATAGATACACATAGGGATAGCTAGGATTCAGGTATTGGGTAGATACAGATAGGGATTAGCCAAGGATTCGGGTATTGGTAGATACAGGTGAGGATAGCCGAGATGCAGGTTTTGATTGATACGGATGAGGATACCCAAGATATAGAGCTTCCAAAACTACTATTCATATGACCATTAGGAAACATAGTTATGTATGATTGAAACCTGGTTTACCCAATCGTTTGAGAGATCTATCCCTTGGAATAGATTTATTAAAACTATTACAAGTAAAGTCTTTGCTAAATGTTACTAAACGCATTACTTGCATTATTACAGGACATTATTACAGGATCTTTTACTACGTTTATTAATGTTCCTCTAGACTGTGATTGGTGAAGATGGACAAGAAGTGCCGAAGACAATCGACGACATTGATGATCCGAATTACTACAGGTATATTTCGTGACTATTTTGTTGAAAAATAATGCACAAGAGTCTTTCTCTTACGTACAAGAGGGAATATAAGATCTCAAAACATAATATATGTTAAAAGTCTAACACATATTAACGATGAGCCGTGCAGTGATGTGGATTGACCATGCAACTAGGAAGATAATGCACTTTCATCTTAACTTATCTTCGTTTTAATACAGCATTGAAATTGAAAAACAGAAAGCAGAACATGACAAAATGGTGAAAATAGCTGAAGAGAAAAAACAGGTAACAAGTGAATGGATTGAATAGATTTTTTAATTGTGGTTTATTTATGGTTCAAATCCTTGATATAAACTTGTAATGAATTTTCCCAATTTAATCTTAAGAATGTTCGTCGTGGCATTGCAAAACTCAGACGATCTTTCAAGTCTCTTCTTGTTCAAAATAAAAGTCTCCCGGAGTATCTGCGTATCAAAGCACAGGTTTTGATCATATCTTGTTATAATTCATTTCTTATCCTGGGATTGTCTCTTTGTACATTCTGTTGGTACAGACTGCATCTTTGTATCATGTTTATGTTTAATACTACATGTTTATGACCTGTCGCACTACACTTGATGAAGTGTATTTCAATTTTCTATTTTTTTATATTTGTTTATTATCCAAGAATAATATATGAAGTATTGCTGTTTTGTTTATCGCATTATGACTGACCTTCACACGCTATTAATTAGTATTTAAACACGAATTTGCATGGTATTGTAGCGATTAGCCAAAACAACCAATCAGATTTGTTCGTTCCGCAGGAGTTAGAGATTGATCCAGAAATACGAAAACAGCAGGAAATCGAAACTGCAGAGAAGGTTTGTCAAAAAGTGATTCTTATCATTTGTAATTATTGTTATTTTAAGGAGTTGAACTCACTCTAAGTTCGAGACTGTCCAACATTCTGTAAATATGATATTCAACCAACACTCGTGTCCTTTTCAGATCGATTTAGTTCGCAAAGAACTTGCTTGGGAATCAGAAAAATACTCCATAGGACTACGAAAACTACGAGACAGGTTCGTTTGTATTGGATCACAGAATGTCTTTCTAAAGAGTTATTACGTTTTTTGTGCTTCAAGATTAGCTAGGTTAATGGTATTTTCTGTATTTCAGATTCCAAAGTATGATGGAATGTGATCGAATCATTGTTTACGCCTGCCATAGTCCGTACAAAGTGTCCAGCTTTCGTTCAGCGAAATTACCGGAACTATATGAATACCTGAAACAATCCTTAGAAGAAGCAACCAAAGATGGACCATCTGCAGCGAATCAGAAGAAATTTAGTATCCCTGGACTGAAAGGGATGTTGCCTTATGCTAAACGACGTTCCACTCAAGTTGATACTCGCAAGAAAAGTCAGCAGCCAGTGACTGGTATCATCACAACAGCACCTGCAACTGCTAGTGGTGGTGGTGGTGGTCAGGTTGGAGGAAAGGTTGCCAAGGCTTTAGAGAAAGCTGAACAAAGACGAATTAAACGACAGTTACGACAGGCTGAGGTACGTTTCTCTTTAATGTTTCCTTTCATATCACTGTACATACACTGTATGTTTTATCATTTCGGTATTCGAGGAATTTAATAATAAAAGCAAAAATCGGTTAACTGATGATGGTGCTACCAGTGGAGGTGTGGTGGTACATTTTCGTGCATGAGGTTTCTATATCTTGTTTATCTGGTAAAGTGCTGGTGGAATAGATAAGTTGATAGTTATGGGTTTTTTCTAGTGGGATGCATTATACAGCAGTAAACCTGACGATAATTATCAAGATCCTAAAGATGTGAATGCTATCAAAGAAGCAAAGGACAACATTGGAGATTATAAATTAAAAACAGCAGATGATTATGTCGTCCCGGAGGATCAACGTGTTAACGCTGAAATCAAACTCATGCAGTTACTACAGTTGCTGGATCAGGTATGACATGCAAAATCTGTATTCTATATTCTTCATAAATTGTGTGTACAACATTTCAACAAGAAATTAGAATGTTTCACCTGATTGCTTTTTAACCGCAATATATTAGAACACGCTGCCTTTCTTTTTGATTCATTTTTTGGGCTTCTCGATTTTTTATGTTTGTCTCTAGATTCATTACTACAAGACAAACTTTAACAAACGACTTGTTGCTCTCAGAGAGAGAAAAATAAAGATTATTGAGGAGGTAAACGTTATGTTTTACTTCAAATATGAGAGTGCCTGCTACCCTAAACAAAAAGTGAGAAATCTACTGTAGAACTTTCACATTGAATATTCTCTCTTTACAAAGGTCAAAGACTGTGTCAATAATCTGAAATTTGTTCAGTCTAAATTGGATCCATCTCTTCACAAGCCTCTGCCCGTAATTCCACAACTTAAACCAGACGAAATACCAGAAAGGTTAGAACTATATCTTGACTATTTATACCCGACAAACTCATAAGAAGAAAACCTAGCAGATTTCAAATTGAATTTGGCATTAACACTCATCGGCGGCTTCAACTTTGTTCTTGAGATTTAATACTCTGCATGAAGTAGGCAAAGTATCTATCATTCATCCATCATATCGAACAAATATTCGAGAGTATCCATATGGATACTCTCTTCATAGACTAAACTTTTTGCTTTCATATAAAGTCAATCTTGATTATTTTAGTAGCTTTGATATTCATATATTATTTTATTATAAAAATTTGTTTTCAAAGGAAAATGGAGTTTACAAAAGAAACTCTGTACGCTTTCAAGAAAAAAGAAGATAATAAAGCGGAGAAACGACATGATGATGGAGGTGGTGGAGGATTTGGTGGTTTTGGTGTGTCCGAGGTTCGTTTTATTATTGTGCATCTGATATATATGTACATCTGCTATCTGGCTTGTCTTTATCGTCATATTGATGCCTCATTCTTCTAGTATTCTTATGTTATTATTATTACTGTGCATGCAGTTATTAGTGACCATGCATACCATAATAAAAATGATAAAAATTTAATCTCTTCTAATGCAGTCAAAGCCACCAGTGTCGACCGCTGGCAGTCGTGATCGTACATTTTCCAACGTGTCTGTTCTGTCTGGAGGTCGCCCTAGATCAAGTCAAAGTACTAAGACTGATCCACATCCTACAGACACGATATCAGAAATTGTAGAAGAATCACTTTCTAGTTTGGAGTTGCAATTGCAGGAACGGGAGAAGATTAGGTAAGATAAGGGTATTTAGAAGGCAGTAACAAAGAGAGAGAGAGTTAGGGTGTTGACTGGAACGAGAAGGTGTAGATTTGACGGTGAAGAGCTGATTCGTAAATGATGCACAAACTCAACACTAAATTTACACTATCGTATGATTTCATCTAATGGGACATAATCTTTCATGCAGGATGAACTATGAACAAGATCGTGTGTTGGAAAGAGTTCAGTTTCTTCTAACTAATTTCGACGGTGAAGTGAAGACGTTGCGACATGAAAAATGTCAATATGAAGTGACGTTAAAGAACGCTGATCTCAAGTATATTTCTCACTTATTATTCTTTAGATATAAATTGCTCATATAACAAGGGGGTAGCGTGACTATCTTAACTGGGGGGGGGGGTGACACACACGTTTTACCGACGAGCATGCACTTAAAGCGTATCTAAAGCCCGGTATTTAGCTATTGGGTCAGGCAGTTTTAAAAGTGTACATACCGGAGTTATCACTTTAACAGCGATTCACCAACAGACGAATTTACCGACTCTCGTGTACCATCGTCGCGTTTCACCGACCACCATGCAAAAACTCGGGTGTAAACCCTCTGTACATTACGATACAATACCGGGCCATGTCGAGGGGAAAAAGATTAATTTTTTTTGTTTTAGACATGTTACGTTATTTGAAGAATTGGTGTTGCTTAAAGAATTTGAAAAAAGAGAACATACATTTGCCACTCGAGTGTTAACCAAGGAAGACGAACAGGAGGAAATGGAGGATAAAGTAATGTCATCGTCTTATTGTCTTTTTATTTATTTTGGCAAACGATAAATTAACAAATGAAAGGTTTGGCACAGCACTTGAGCAGTTTCTTTTTATCTTATTATATTAATTTTTTATCCGAATTCTTTTTGTTGAAATAGGTCGATGATTGTCAGATGAAACTGGAGATGAAGAAAGATGAGATTGAAAAACTGCAGGAACGAGAGAAATCTCTTCTTTCCACATTTTCCTCCATGATCGGGGAGAACAATAAGTTTGAAGGGTTTCTAACTCGCGTGTTTAAGAAGAAAATAAAGCGAGCAAAAAACAAAGACGAGTCACGTGCTGGGTCAGATGACGATAGTGACGAGAGTGAGAGTGATGAAGAATTTTCATCAAGTGAGGAAAGTAATTCTGACGAGGAGACACTTGATGATAGTGTTTGTCCTCCGGGTTGTGATCAGGTAAAACACTTTCAAATATATTTGAAATTTTGTTCTTTTGACAGTTTTTTCATAGTCCTTTTGACAGTTTTAATCCTTAATCTCATTAATCCTGATTTGAACGGCGGCGGCAAACTTTACCTTGCAAACTTATATACTTATATATTAACATTTATTTAGCCCCGACAGCTACTAGAGTTGATTTCCACGGGGCGCGAACTTTACCTTGCGAACTTTACCTTGCAAACTTTACCTTGCGCTCGGGCCTTTTCTGATCAAAACTTTTGTTTTTTTCTCATTCTAGACGTTATTTGATAACGTGTGTCAACTACGTGAAAGTCGTTTGGACATTGAAGAAAGTCTAGCAGAAGAAAAGAAAGCGTTGGAAACATTGAAGAAGGAACTTGAGGCGCTGAATAAAAAGTCTAAAGTCGTTGGATCAGCTCTTGTTGCTGCCACATCAGAATTAGAAGCTTTTCAGGTAAATTATTTGACATTACAAAAAGGTCTTTAAAACTGCATGTCTTTAATCAGGAATGTAATTAACTCCCCCTTCATATCGATGAAGATTTCTTGAGCGAGAGTTAATTGAGTTATGTAAACTAGAGAGGCGTGATTTTAATAATGTACAATCTTTCTTAAGCGTGAAAAACAGCAAAAATTAAACGAGTTGGATGTGGTGGTGACATTGAAACTACATCAAATACAATACATCGTGAACAACACGATGCCGCAAGATCTATCAACATGTCTGGTCTTTATCAGTTCCGATCAAGAACGTCTGCAGAAGAGAATCAAAGAACTAGAACAGGAGAAAGCTGAACAGAAAAAATTATTCAGGTGAACTAAATGTGACTATTATAACACTGATGGAAATACGTGATGTGCTTCGTAGCGTCGTCAGTTTTCCAGTGAAGTTTTTACCATATTGTAATTTTTATCCTTACTTATTTAGAGATAATCGGCAGATGCACGTGCAGTTAAAACGTGACAAGAAAGCAAGAGAAGCCGAGGTGATTTAGAAAATACAACTCGTAGAGGCGGGCAGTGCGTGAGAAGGGAAAGAAAGAGAGTGTCTTCCCCTCCTAGTGTTTTCTAAATGACCGTCTCCGACGCAGGCTGCCTAGGTCACAGCTAGGTTGCTATTAGTCAGAAATATCATTGTAATACTTGCTTAAATGCTTTTTGTTTTTCATCCAACTGTGTCTCAACGAATCGATTTTTTCTGTCTACGTGAGTGTAGAAACACGGACCTAATTACTATGTATACAATGATAAAAACGACTTTTTTTTAATCCACTTTTTGCTTCAGATTAGTGAACTTGAAGAGAAAGTGAAGAACATGCAAATGTTAAAGTTTGGAAGGCTGGTTGATTTAGAAAGATTGGAAAATGTCACTGTAAACAGAACAGCTGAAGAACTCAAGGAACGGTTACGTCAACAAGAATTACAGAATGCAAACGAACTGGCAAAGTGGGAGGTAACTACCAGTTATGAATCGAGGTTTATTAATTAATTGAAAAAAAACTTGTTGATATAACAATCTATTCACAAAACTGTTGACGTAATTTACGCAAACTCTTTAAAATGGACAAACCAGGCTGGATTTACACCATTCAGTGTACTAAATAAACCATTACTGCTTATGGCTTTGAGAGATGAATATTCTGCATGTGGTGGTAACCTCGATAAAAGTGGTTAAAACGTTTTCGTTGAGTCAACAAATGCAACTAAGGCTACGCTCTCGCGGGATCCGACAGCGCTCGCGGTTTGCTCCTTTGAACACGTAGAACCGGTCTTTGTATACGTTTGTACCGTGGGATTGCAGAACCAGACGAAGTCAAACACAGTGCATTCCGAATTCCACCTGTCTTGCATGTCTGAACATGACGACGAACTTTTAAAATCTTCCGGTAACCATCATAATGTGATGTGCCCTAAAAACCAGACCTATGAAGTGCTGTATTGTATTTTTATGTTCTTTCAGAAAAAGATCCAAACTTACAAGCAAAAGCTTACCCAGCGAACTCGTGAAAACACTGGACGATTGAACACATCTACTTTGTTATACCAAGAAAGGGAAGAGCTGGAGCAAAAATTGGATGGAAAGCAAAAATCATTGGTATGTTGGCGTTTTTTGTACGGTCAAATCGGATGTTAGTTTGAAGTGGAAACTATACCTTGATCTTTTCAAAAACCTTGTTTCAAAAGTTAAAGGATGCGACTAATATCGACTTGAAATTTGTTATCTATAGGGTGCTGAGTATAGTGGTAACAGGAAGACAGATCTGAGAGAAAGACATCGTCTCGTTCAACTGGTGCAATTACAAGCACAAGAAATCGATGGTTTGAAAGATGAAATAACCGTATTGTCTCGTAAGGGAGGGCATATCTTACCACCATCTCAACCGCCGTTACCGCTAACTGCTATCCCAAATATATAAATTTCATTCTTTTGTGTTAAATTTTATTATTTTCGTGTTAAATTTTGTGCACTAATTTAGACGTTAAATATGAAAATACCCTCTAGATATGCATGATTAGATAAATATTCTTTGTATATATACAGTGTATATTTTGGAAGTTGTGAAATAAAGAATCGCAATCATGCACAATCAGTTCTGTTTGTCTTAACATGCTTGCATGATAACCACACAATAAGAGGCGACAACGTTGAGTGATACTTGTTATGCTATGCTGGTTATCATCCGTGCAAAACCGCCGTTATGAATTTTTCGAAGTATTTGCCATGCATGTAAACTGAGCTAAAGAAACTTCCGGAGAACTACCGAAAATACTCGCACATCACACGAACCTCAAGTAGGATATCTCTGAGTAACTATGTTTTATTAGTTATGGCTACAATCAATCTATTGTAGCTTTAAATACCGAAGGTAGTAGTCTTCCCAAGGTTTCCTCAGCTTGTTGTATGTACAACCTGTTCTCTAATTATGCTAATCGTAACTGTCGTGAACACTGAAGCATTCTGCATTTTCGCCGATGTGAAACTGCTGAAACAGTCCTGGTGATTTCTCTATTTATGATTATAATTGTTGTGCAGAGTGCAGAGTGCACACGTAGCAATATTTCATTACTGTTCTGTGGTTTAGTTTGCATGCAAACTGACAAGGTCGTTAAAAGGTTTATAATAGAGGTGGAGTCCTGAAGACTGAAGTTCTTTATTAACGAGGAGCATTAAATTAGTGTCTCTTCCATCCACTTGGCACTTGTCATGCATCAAAGCTATCATATTATCGTCTTAGACACAGGTATCTGAGGTATGTAATTTCATAACGATGATGTCAAAGAGTCTTCAAGGTTCTTTAAGAAATATCCGGTAACTGGCGTTTTGAGAGACTGAAAATCGTTGGAGTTTAAGACCCTAACTGAGTAGACACTTGTGAACGACTACTGACTGAATTAAAAACGATTCGAAAATGATGGAGCTACTCATAATATGCAATCCCTGAAGTGAACTGGTTTACTTTTTGCGTAGTGAATGCTGCCTATGTAGAATTTGGTTAATTTGTACAATACCAACTGGTTTAGCTTTAGCCTTTCGTGAGCGGGTAGTTAGGATTTATTTATTCTAATCCCGGGCAGTTACTCGCGTGATTCGGGCTTAAGTCACTTGAATTGGTTGTACTTTTTCCTCTAAGCACAGTCAATAGAACATACATGGTTTGAAGACCACATGAAACTACAATACAACTCATTAACTATGTTGAGGTAGATTTACGCCAAAAACTGACCAATAGCAATCTTATAATTAACATATTTTCAAATCAAGGTTGATGAGTTTAGCAAGACGAATACCATCGGTAAATTTGGCTAAAATACAATAGACCCGTGACGAGGAAGGAAGCATTTTTTTGCGTAAATTTGGACAATAGTAAAATTTTTATCAGGTGAATGAGGTGATGTGCCGCATGTCAAACTGATTAACTTTTATAATTGAGTTTCGTTGTGCATTCAGCAGTCAGTCGCGCCGATATGACTTTGAGAAGCAACAGACACCATTGTCACCAAGAATACACAATGTTTATTTGAAGTGCATGATTGATTATTTACCTTACAGAGGGAACGCCTGACTGCTTGTTTAGTCAATATTAACATAGTTTGACGGTTGGCTTAAAGTAATTATCCTCACTTCACCGAACATATTAGCATTTCAACAGAATTAAAGAATAGGTCTAAAACAATTGCTTGATTCAAATCTGGTCAGTTTGTACTGGACTTTCAGCGCGCTAAGAACTAAAAAGAACAACAAGATTCGTTGTGATTTATTTCGAATTACGAGTTGGTAAAAATAAATGGATTCTCTTGTGTTTACTTTTCTATTACTAGCCTCTGCAACTGTGATATCAGCTGTTCCTTTTAAATGGCCTGCGCGTGAGTATTATCATTATTATGACAATCTATATATAGGCTATACATGCTGATCCATGAAGTGACGGCATTTCATTGGTGTGTAAATTAACAATTTAACAGCCTGTTGAGGCTGCGACACTTGCAACGATAACCGTTAGTTTCGATCGGAACCATAGTAAACCACAGTGAACTTTCCGCAATCGTGGTATTATACTATTTATTTACTTGGACATTTGATTAAAAAATACTATACTAAAATACTTCTCAATTTATTAATATTGAAAGAACATTACACTTCAAACAATATTGACTTATAACTGATTAGATCACTTTTTAATGACGGCATTATTTTAGAGTTTAGCGATGCGGGATGTCTTGATGAACACCCGACGAAAGAATGCAAAAAATATGCAGCTGTAGAAGGATATTGCGAATATGAAGAGGATTTCATGAGAAAGCATTGTAAAAAGACATGCGGATTCTGTCAGCGTAAGTTGAACTTCTTCTACGAAATTTCTTGAAATCAATGACCATGCAAGCAGATGATTTTAAACACGGGTAGAGGAACAGCGGTAGACCTCGTATTGCCCACTGCCTCTCGATTCCGTCCGTCGACAGGTCGAATCATGCACGTTACTCGCTTCTTTACAGACTAACTCTAAAACGTTTTTGCTGTGCTTTAGCGCTGTCGCAGGCTTGTTGTCGTTGAGATAAGCAAGTGAAATAAAAAATATAACAAGAACTAAATTGTAAGCACTGCAGTAGTCGCGTCAGGTGCTCTTTCATAGCGAATATTTTACAAAGGGCGTGGCTATTGCAATGAACGTATTTATTTTAGCCTGCGAGCAGGCTTCCCCCCCCCCCCGGAGGTATATAAAGACCACGTGCTTAACTCATTTACCATTGCAAGATGATGTATCAAAATATGAACCATAATTATTCTATTATTGCTATCCTTCTAACCAGTGGAAACCTTATTTAGACCCGGCGAATATTTGTTCATTGCAATTATTATAGCTGCAACTGTCAAGATTTTTTCAGTTAAGACAAAAATCGTCCTGTCTTAAACACCCTGCCTTGTAAATTCCCAACAAAGTGCATGTCCTACCAAAACACTGTTTTCGACACTGTTTTAAGGGGTGTCACATCCCTCTACATCCCACACCCGCCAATAGTTACGCCTCTGCTTATATTCAGTTTGACGACAGCGGGATAGCCAAGGACTGAGGTCTTAGTTTTTACGGGTTAAGTAAGTTAGAAGTGGGTTAGGGGAAATGAAGCTGGAGGGAATTTTGAATCGCTCAAAGTACGATTTCACTCTCGTATTTAAATAGCCCAAGTTCCTAAAGGTCCATCGGGTGAATGTCGAGACGAGATAGAGGGATGTGCCAAACACGCCGCTAATGAAGGATATTGCGAATACACTAACGAATTTATGGGAAAATTTTGCAGAAAAACGTGTGGTTTTTGTCGTAAGTATAAATTAAATAGCAAGCTTGGGATTTTATTGCAGCAAAGCTATTGGTCTAATTAGTAGTCCAGTGAATCACCTTTATAAAGCAATGGAGATAAAGAGCCTGATTTCTCCCAACGAATATCTGATTTGATTTGAAACACGTGCACTTGCATTCACCAAAGTTCATTTAGAGTGTTTATGTACCTTTTCAGTGAACGAAATCATTGTTGAAACAGTTTTCATGCAACACATGTAATAGACATGTATAATCCAGATTAGTACAAGACGAAAATGCATTTCTCACTATACTAAACGCATAGGGACTGAGTTTTACAACATCTTCTGTTAATAGAACCACAACCCCCTATCGGAGGACCAACGGGCGAAAAATTCTATTGGGACAAGACAGCCTGGGGGAAGGTTAGTTTCTTTTAAGCTTTGAAAATTTGATGTGTAAAATTTGATCACCCAACTGCTCGATGCAGTCGAATTTGTCGTTGTTATTTGTTACACCATTTAGATAGTAGACTTGGTAGACAGTGCATGTAAGTGAATGCCAGTTAATACTAGAGAGACTGGCTAAGAAACAATTTGTGTTCGCAGTCCACGAATCCTCATAGTTTCCGTAATTTAATTTTTACTCAAATGTGTGCCATTTTAGCGAATAATTTACTTCTTCGTCGTATAGTGTGAAAATGGTGTTGAAAAGAGAGGCGTCAAATGCATCCATGTTTTTGAGGGTTCAGAGTATCCAGTAGACCTCAAATATTGCAGAGATAATCTTCCCGACGAAGTTGAACCTGAAGATGAAAGAAGCTGTTGAGAGAGAAATAGCATAGAGAAATTGGGTCACCAGAAAAGGTATGATGCAGGGTAGGATGCGGGGTAGGATGCGGGGTATGACGCAGGGTAGGATGCGGGGTATGATGCAGGGTATGACGCGGGGTATGACGCGGGGTATGACGCGGGTATGATGCGTTTCTAAACTACGCCCTAATTCGCTATAGGATTTGTTAATGTTATTGCATATTGAACTATGAGTTTATTCAAATATTAACAACCTGATATGCTTTGTTCTATTCTTCTACTCTATATAGAATAGTTGGAAGCAATTCAAGAAAAAGTGAATGAAATCATAGATATCAATTAAACAAACTGTGTACTACTTCCAAAGTTTAGACAAATAAATTCATAGTCGAATGATAAAATCGATAAAAATCTAAAATCTCCCGACTTACGAATTACCACGAAACGACTTGGAAATCAATTACAGATTTGGAGCTGGCTATTTCAGCAGAAATTGCCCTCGACTTTTTACCCGGCATTACGCCCAAATCTGGGCTACACCCCTCTGAGTAAACCGCTTATAGCTAGTTAATAGTTATCTGAATCCTAACAGAGACCTAATAGTAGGTACGAGATTGCAAAGTCTAGTGGAAAATCAGTGAACAGTAAGAACTTTGGGTGCAAAAAGGGAAGCCAAAGATGGCGGAGATTGAAGCGCTATAGTCACCCACTGATGTCACCACAGATGTCATGTCAGAACTTTGAACGTCTTTAAAAATACGACGGAACTGCAACAATAACATCAACCTCGTACCCACGGTCTCAAAAACATTGGCGAACTTGTATCCTTGCTTGTATAAGAAATCCCATGTACAAGAAATGTATAAGAGTTGCAAGGGTACGCAGGTGCCACCCGGAGAAGGGTTGCTTTGAATGAGGTTTGTGAGGAAGGTTCAAAGTTGAGCACTCTAATTGATCACATGCATGTACCAAAAACCAAGTATTTCTTTATGCTGGTTGCCACTTGAATCAGTGACGTAACGTCATTTTGAGGAAGGTTTTCAAATCTTGAAATCCTACCGAAGGAAGGTTGAACTCATTTTGCAACTCTGAGAAATCCCCTACGTTCCTTCTACAAAATAACTGTTTTCCCCTATAGGTACCCCCTACTTCCCCCTACCCCTGGCTGGTCCCCTAACGTAGTCTTGATCGCCTTGATTGACTTGATTGATCAAATATTTAAATGGCATATATACGGCGAGGTCGAATTAAAGATGGCGGATCACTGGCTCACTGCTAGTCTGTGACTGTCTGTCTATCTCTAGCGTAGCCAAAATGTTTTGAATCATGGATAAGATGTAAGACGTTAAGGTATTCTTTCTTTTTCTTTTAAGGTAGAAAGTAGCCTTAGAAATTGCAATGATGCATGATACATGTAATATTTTATTCATAAGTACAGGGTGTTCCAGAATGTCCCCTCTATTGAAATTTGTTAGAATCTGATTGCCTTAATATTTTGATAAACGTTTATTTGAATGCCTCAACTTATTAACTATGCTATTTACTATCAACTGGGTTGATCATGCATTCAAATTCCAACAAAAGTTAGCATCTATCTGATACTATAGCAAATGTAATTAAAGAGGTAAAGGTGTTACCGTGTTAGGAGTTAGAATTACATGAAAACCTGCCACTTTACCCATCTCTTCAGTCTTCCTTTCCATCAATCTTTAAGACTTGAGATTTCTTATTTAGCCTCTAGACTGTGATATTCTTGCTTATGATTTTCTAGTAATATTCTTGCAACCTGTTTCTGACATTTTCTGGCATGCTTTTAAAGGCCAAAGTTACAGTTATTCCATTGTGCGCTGCAACAATCTCAATATTAAATGCCATCATCATCATTTGTCAGTATGTTAGGGTTCCCTAAACAGGCTAAACTGGCAGGGTTTTCCTTTCCCCAGGCAAAAACCTTGATGGAGATGTGTCACAAAAATGTTATTTGAACTACACATGCAGTTAAATAATACAGTTAGATAAACATTGGAAACTATTGCAGCAGTGAAAGGAAAATTAAAAAGATTGTAGTTATTAGGTTTGGTAAAGATTCAATTGCGATATTATTTAATTTAAAAGTAACTGTATCTTGTCTGAGGTAAACTAGCAGTTTGCAATATGCCTCAATACATTTATTTTAGTTACCAAGTTACAGTAATTTCTTATGATATCAGTTACACTTTAGCCACACAATTATTTACGCAAGTCTAAATATAAGCACAACCATAAAATACCACAAAAGTTAACATCAAAACGTTAAATTACATTTATATTGCTTTTATTACGGTGCTGATTTATTACGATTTTTCAATTGAGGTTGGGAATAAACTCTGTCAGTCTCTTATTCGGGCCTACAGTAGAATTATCCTGAGCATATTCTATACGCTCTAAAATGCACTATGTTCGCATAACCATTCCCAACCAACACTCCACCATGACCTTTTGCAGGATAATGTGGAGTAACTTCTCTCACGAATTTTCCTTCCAGAAATATCTTTGCCTTGTTGTTGTTTACTTCAACACGTACATCAAACCATTGACCACCTTTAGGAGGACCTTGACCTGGGCAAGGTGCTGATATTGCCGCTGTAAATGTAGGAACACCATTTACGACAAAACCAGTCTGGAAACAGCCACTTGAACTGTGGGGCCTAGCAATTTCAAATTAGGAAAGTCTTTTAGAAAAAAATTTTATGTAACATTTTAGTGTATGCATATGTCGTATATTTTAAAAATTTTTATTATTGAAACTTATCGTGTTATACAATTTGTGTTGATTCGTCACCGGGTATTTTAAAAGGAAATATGGACATTTTCTCATATTTTATATCGTTTGATTTGGAATCATACGTTGACAATCACACGAGCAGTGAGCTGATCTTAAAATGATCGATTCCATCGTTAAATAATGCAGTGTCCGTCATCTACTCTATCAACAAGACTGATGACAGTGGTCCGAATTCTTTGTCTATTCTAAACCCTTACTTCATGGAAAATATTTGTAAACTGACATGGATAATGAGAAAGCATTACCTGAAGTAGACAAAATCGTAGTTCATTTTATTCCTCGCGTTGTAAAGAAGACCAGGATGTCCAAAATTAACACTACCCCGACCAATCTTATTAAAGATCTCTGCTGAGATGGCGTACTTGTTACCCGTCAGTGTAACTTTTTCGTTCAAGGCGGAACAGAATCCACTGCTTGGCCATGATCCATGACTGGCGTCCAACACAAAATAACTTCCAGTTGATCCACTTGATGCCACAACGCAAGATGTTACTAAATAATCATCGTACTGAGTGATATCAAAATTTCTAAAATGCACAATGTTCCGGTAACCATTTGCAACCAGCACTCCACCATGACCTTTTGCAGGATAATGTGGAGTAACTTCTCTCACGAATTTTCCTTCCAGGAATATCTTTGCCTTGTTGTTGTTTACTTCAACACGTACATCAAACCATTGACCACCTTTAGGAGGACCTTGACCTGGGCAAGCTGCTGATATTGCCGCTGTAAATGTAGGAACACCATTTACGACAAAACCAGTCTGGAAACAGCGACTTGAAGTGTGGGGCCTAGCAATTTCAAAGGAATCTTTTAAAAATAATTTTTTATATAACATTTTAATGTAAGCATATGTTGTAGGGTTTTAAAAGGATTTTTATTTTGAAGTTTATTGCGTTATACAATTTGTGTTGAATTTTTTTACTTTTTGGAAAAGAGAAATTGCCAAGAGACATATGCATGTTTAAATTATGGGACTCGAATTTTATGTTTTGTACTGGCCATTCTCAAAACCATTTCGTCAATTTATTTCCGTGACGGCACAAACCTGAGACCTGAGTACGAGGAACGAGGTCATTGTCGCTGTATTAACCCGCGTGCGGGCTGAATTGAGGGTCTATGGTCCGGCTGCACCCATTGACTGCACCTGCACCTAAACTATCGTGAATACATTTTGTTTCTGTGAATTTTTATGTACTTAATATAGGCTTACCTGAAATAAACAAAATCATAATTTCCTGAGTTTTGAACGTTGTAAATAAGACCAAGGTGACCACTGTTAACTCCATTCCAGCCATTGTAGTTCAAAAGTTGTGCTTTTACTTGGTAGGTGTTGGTTTGAACGATTTTTGAATTGATTGCTTGACAAAATCCACTACCTGGCCATCTTCCATGATTGGCGTCAAGTACAAAATAACTTCCAGTTGATCCACTTGATGCCACAACGCAAGATGTTACTAAATAACCATTATCGTACTGAGTGATATCAAATTTCTAAAATGCACTATGTTCGCGTAACCATTCCCAACCACACTCCACCATGACCTTTTGCAGGATAATGTGGAGTAACTTCTCTCACGAATTTTCCTTCCAGAAATATCTTTGCCTTGTTGTTGTTTACTTCAACACGTACATCAAACCATTGACCACCTTTAGGAGGACCTTGACCTGGGCAAGCTGCTGATATTGCCGCTGTAAATGTAGGAACACCATTTACGACAAAACCAGTCTGGAAACAGCCACTTGAACTGTGGGGCCTAGCAATTTCAAATTAGGAAAGTCTTTTAGAAAAAAATTTTATGTAACATTTTAGTGTATGCATATGTCGTATATTTTAAAAATTTTTATTATTGAAACTTATCGTGTTATACAATTTGTGTTGATTCGTCACCGGGTATTTTAAAAGGAAATATGGACATTTACTCATATTTTATATCGTTTGATTTGGAATCATACGTTGACAATCACACGAGCAGTGAGCTGATCTTAAAATGATCGACTCCATCGTTAAATAATGCAGTGTCCGTCATCTACTCTATCAACAAGACTGATGACAGTGGTCCGAATTCTTTGTCTATTCTAAACCCTTACTTCATGGAAAATATTTGTAAACTGACATGGATAATGAGAAAGCATTACCTAAAGTAGACAAAATCGTAGTTCATTTTATTCCTCGCGTTGTAAAGAAGACCAGGATGTCCAAAATTAACACTACCCCGACCAATCTTATTAAAGATCTCTGCTGAGATGGCGTACTTGTTACCCGTCAGTGTAACTTTTTCGTTCAAGGCGGAACAGAATCCACTGCTTGGCCATGATCCATGACTGGCGTCCAACACAAAATAACTTCCAGTTGATCCACTTGATGCCGCAACGCAAGATGTTACTAAATAATCATTATCGTACTGAGTGATATCAAAATTTCTAAAATGCACAATGTTCCGGTAACCATTTGCAACCAGCACTCCACCATGACCTTTTGCAGGATAATGTGGAGTAACTTCTCTCACGAATTTTCCTTCCAGGAATATCTTTGCCTTGTTGTTGTTTACTTCAACACGTACATCAAACCATTGACGACCTTTAGGAGGACCTTGACCTGGGCAAGCTGCTGATATTGCCGCTGTAAATGTAGGAACACCATTTACGACAAAACCAGTCTGGAAACAGCGACTTGAAGTGTGGGGCCTAGCAATTTCAAAGGAATCTTTTAAAAATAATTTTTTATATAACATTTTAATGTAAGCATATGTTGTAGGGTTTTAAAAGGATTTTTATTTTGAAGTTTATTGCGTTATACAATTTGTGTTGAATTTTTTTACTTTTTGGAAAAGAGAAATTGCCAAGAGACATATGCTGATATGCATGTTTAAATTATGGGACTCGAATTTTATGTTTTGTACTGGCCATTCTCAAAACCATTTCGTCAATTTATTTCCGTGACGGCACAAACCTGAGACCTGAGTACGAGGAACGAGGTCATTGTCGCTGTATTAACCCGCGTGTGGGCTGAATTGAGGGTCTATGGTCCGGCTGCACCCATTGACTGCACCTGCACCTAAACTATCGTGAATACATTTTGTATTTCTGTGAATTTTTATGTACTTAATATAGGCTTACCTGAAATAAACAAAATCATAATTTCCTGAGTTTTGAACGTTGTAAATAAGACCAAGGTGACCACTGTTAACTCCATTCCAGCCATTGTAGTTCAAAAGTTGTGCTTTTACTTGGTAGGTGTTGGTTTGAACGATTTTTGAATTGATTGCTTGACAAAATCCACTACCTGGCCATTTTCCATGATTGGCGTCAAGTACAAAATAACTTCCAGTTGATCCACTTGATGCCACAACGCAAGATGTTACTAAATAACCATTATCGTACTGAGTGATATCAAAATTTCTAAAATGCACTATGTTCGCGTAACCATTCCCAACCAACACTCCACCATGACCTTTTGCAGGATAATGTGGAGTAACTTCTCTCACGAATTTTCCTTCCAGAAATATCTTTGCCTTGTTGTTGTTTACTTCAACACGTACATCAAACCATTGACCACCTTTAGGAGGACCTTGACCTGGGCAAGCTGCTGATATTGCCGCTGTAAATGTAGGAACACCATTTACGACAAAACCAGTCTGGAAACAGCCACTTGAACTGTGGGGCCTAGCAATTTCAAATTAGGAAAGTCTTTTAGAAAAAAATTTTATGTAACATTTTAGTGTATGCATATGTCGTATATTTTAAAAATTTTTATTATTGAAACTTATCGTGTTATACAATTTGTGTTGATTCGTTACCGGGTATTTTAAAAGGAAATATGGACATTTACTCATATTTTATATCGTTTGATTTGGAATCATACGTTGACAATCACACGAGCCGTGAGCTGATCTTAAAATGATCGACTCCATCGTTAAATAATGCAGTGTCCGTCATCTACTCTATCAACAAGACTGATGACAGTGGTCCGAATTCTTTGTCTATTCTAAACCCTTACTTCATGGAAAATATTTGTAAACTGACATGGATAATGAGAAAGCATTACCTAAAGTAGACAAAATCGTAGTTCATTTTATTCCTCGCGTTGTAAAGAAGACCAGGATGTCCAAAATTAACACTACCCCGACCAATCTTATTAAAGATCTCTGCTGAGATGGCGTACTTGTTACCCGTCAGTGTAACTTTTTCGTTCAAGGCGGAACAGAATCCACTGCTTGGCCATGATCCATGACTGGCGTCCAACACAAAATAACTTCCAGTTGATCCACTTGATGCCGCAACGCAAGATGTTACTAAATAATCATTATCGTACTGAGTGATATCAAAATTTCTAAAATGCACAATGTTCCGGTAACCATTTGCAACCAGCACTCCACCATGACCTTTTGCAGGATAATGTGGAGTAACTTCTCTCACGAATTTTCCTTCCAGGAATATCTTTGCCTTGTTTTTGTTTACTTCAACACGTACATCAAACCATTGACGACCTTTAGGAGGACCTTGACCTGGGCAAGCTGCTGATATTGCCGCTGTAAATGTAGGAACACCATTTACGACAAAACCAGTCTGGAAACAGCGACTTGAAGTGTGGGGCCTAGCAATTTCAAAGGAATCTTTTAAAAATAATTTTTTATATAACATTTTAATGTAAGCATATGTTGTAGGGTTTTAAAAGGATTTTTATTTTGAAGTTTATTGCGTTGTACAATTTGTGTTGAATTTTTTTACTTTTTGGAAAAACCACCACCTTAAAGAACAAGTCAATAATTCACGCTTGAAACCACCAAATGTTTTTGCCCAGAAAACGCCACCATGAAGCATTCATTTTAAGCAACAGTGCCGGCTTAATAAGTATTCAGTATTCTTGTACATTATTGACTAGTGTTTCGATTGAAACACAATTCAAGGCAGGTTTTCAAAGTGGTGGGCAGTGAAGTTGGCCAACTTCAAAATTAAGCATGAAAAGAAATATTCCCGACGAGAAGTGTCCTAAGGATTGAAAATATTCGAGATGAAACAACAATATTTCGCTGATGAACAGTTTGTCACATGCAGTGAATATATTTCGCGTCCCAACAAATATTTCTTTATTTAGTTTTGCGTCAAACGCGTGTTCTCGGGGAAATTTTGATATATTTAAAATGTCGAATGGTTCAAATGGTTAGGTTTTAAACCAAAATATTTCGACTTTCTCGGTGAAGATAATTCATCGAATCGTGAAAAAACTGGTCCAAACTTTACATTTGCCAGAACACAAATGCATGTTTAAATTATGGGACTCAAAATTTATGTTTTTGTACTGACCATTCTCAAAACCATTTCGTCAATTTATTTCCGTGACGGCACAAACCTGAGACCTGAGTACGAGGAACGAGGTCATTGTCGCTGTATTAACCCGCGTGCGGGCTGAATTGAGGGTCTATGGTCCGGCTGCACCCATTGACTGCACCTGCACCTAAACTATCGTGAATACATTTTGTATTTCTGTGAATTTTTATGTACTTAATATAGGCTTACCTGAAATAAACAAAATCATAATTTCCTGAGTTTTGAACGTTGTAAATAAGACCAAGGTGACCACTGTTAACTCCATTCCAGCCATTGTAGTTCAAAAGTTGTGCTTTTACTTGGTAGGTGTTGGTTTGAACGATTTTTGAGTTGATTGCTTGACAAAATCCACTACCTGGCCATTTTCCATGATTGGCGTCAAGTACAAAGTAGTTTGATGTTTGCGTGACAGGGACGCGACACCCTCCACTAGTGTATTGGCAACTTCCTTGCTTTGCTGTGATATTAATAGACACAGTGTTAGGCCCCGTAAAGACGGGCAAGTTTTCCTTGACAAGTTTTCTTTACCAGTTCACTTGATCGTGTGTAGAACTGGTATGACGAACTGACAAGTTTCCTTAGACAAGTTTTGCTTGCTAAGTTTCTACGCGAAAAAATTTTTTTGACAAGTTTTACGATAATATGAGTATATTTTACGATGATATGAGCCATGATAAAATGAGCGGTATATACAACCGAATCTCAAAACAAACAGAAATGATAAAACTTCAAAAGCCTGCTCGATTAATTGGCTTGAAGATTGTTGCGCGGTGTTTCCTACAGCGCAATTCCTTGTCAAGTTTTCCTTGACGACCATACACACGAGCATTTTTCCTTGTTGAAAAGCTGTCATGACTAGCTTTTGAACATGGCTCCTTGTCAATTTTTTCGCGTACACACGAGCAAATAAAACTTGGCAAGGAATGGTGCTTTAGTTAAATTATAGCTCCAAACATTTTTATTGAATTTGCGAAGAATAATTCATAATTCTATCAACTAAAACTAAGCCAGCCAGTTATGACGCAAAATGCTTCCGTGTATAAAAAATTATTAAATACATACCCAAAAATACAAAAACGACCAAATTGAATATAATTGAAAGACGGCAGCAATTCATTGTGATTATGGTATTTAAGATAACTTTTCTATCATTGATCTATTCGTTAGTGAACTACTTGTTAAAGACCAACAGTTCACTTTGTTGACTACAGTCGAGCACAGCCACAGGGGAAATGATAAATTGTTTATGACTGCAGTGGAAACTAAGTTGACAGGAAACTTTAAGTCCGGAAATTACGGCAACAAGCAATTAATTAGGGCTGATATTGGTAGCCAAAGGTCAAAACTAACATCCCCTCAATCCATCGCACGATAACATGGTATTGAGGCCACGGTTGAGCGAACCGGTAATCGCAAACGGCAAATCTTATTCGAATTCTTTACTTTTAGTCAACGATTATCTAGTTGACGTTGGGAGAATTTGTTGATGAAAATTGAAGCACGAAATGTGAACTATGCTGTTGAAAACCTGCAGTATAGGGTTTACTTTCAAAGGGATTTAAATTTGATTGATTTTGCTGCGTTTGCCGTGACGTCAATCTTAAGGGGTCAATTATTAGCTTCAAGTTCCGGAGAACCGGCGATGTCTAATAATTGATTAAAAAATTGATATGAATGTTTGAAAGGGAAACAAGGACGGGATAGGCATGTTGTAATGAGGGGAACTAAAGGCAAGCGTGTTGTCAAGCTATAATTCAGTTCCCCTTATGGGAACATGTTATAACATGTTATAACATGTTATAACGTGTTATAACATGTTATAACATGTTGTCATGACTCGTGAGGGGAACTGAAAGCAAGCATGGTAGTTGTATCAAAAAAATAACACAACCGTGATTGATTGAAAAACTAGTACTTATTGTTGAGGCATCTTGAGAATGCGGTTTTTAATTCAAAACTATAGACATGTTGATATTTTAATTTTATTTCAGACAGAATTAGATACGATACTAAACATTGTATATATTTATGACATTTATGTGTACAAGGTAGTGAGAATGTGAATATGAGTCGTGATGTCATGACATGGAGAGAAGGAAGGTTGAACCAAACGATGTGAAAAGTGGTGAAACAACAGAAATAAGCCGTAGTTATTTTTAGTTATTCACAAAAATTTTGATGTAGCTAATAAGGTAGAATGGAATGACAGAACGTGTAGTAACTGAACAACCCAACTGGTTGTTCAGTTAGGTAGAGTGCAAACTGCTAAATGAAATAAGCATTTTGACTGTAATTAGCCCCGGTGGCGATGGATGGATTTTTTGAGGAGGGAATCCTTGCTAGAAAATTTCGCAGCCTCCTGAAAAATCACAATCAATATAGCTTTCACGACAACTAGGACTAGCAAACGTCTGTTAAAGATTTCTGCGAAATACGGGAGGATGTTTGTCCTCGTTGAAATTAAACTAATTTTGGGGATGAACGTCCAGTTTAGTTCTGGAATCTCCGAAGTAAATCAACATTAACCAGGGTTTCCGTCCTTCCGACTTCCAAGATAAGAAATACGAATAATTGAATAAATATATGGTAAATTATGGATCATAGTGGTTTTACAATTAATATGAAATCATGATTATGCACTAATGAAAGCTTGGGTTAACGGACAGAAAGCTTTGCTATACTTACGTGGTGTATCTACAAGCTTATTTTCTTATTAGTCATTATTGTCTTATTAGCTAAGTCATTATTGTCAAAAAAGTCCGCAGTAAAAATAATAAGATGTACAACAAGGATAAATATATTTAATGTTGACTCAAGATTCAATTACATCCATATATTATACAAAATATGTCGTGGCGTACAAATATATGATCTATGTTTCTTACTGGAAACACTAATAGAGCATTACTACAGTATGCACTACTTTTTTTCAGTTACCTATAAAAGAAAAATCCAATTTCAAGTACTAGTATTTGAAGCCAAAAAAACATGGGGATCAGGGGATACGTTTAGGAATATGCATCAACAATGAACAAGGTACAACGATCGACAAAACGATCTCTTTTACCCACCTCCAAATACAAGAACAGGAAATTGAAAAGAGAATATGTGAAGATGTTGTTTCATATGACAAAAATAGAGTTTTCTTACCGTAATCACGACATGCACCACAAGTGGATGGGCATAGTCGTCTTGTCATAGGAGTGTTCGGTTGCATATCACAGTCCGCTTTTATATGTCCCCTTTGGCATATTTTTTCATTAGTATCCTGGCACTCTGTGTCAAAAATATATCATTTGTAATATTCAACACGAACTAGCCAACAACCTTAGGACTGCATGGGTGTGAAGTTGGCCTGTGTTCCATATAAGCGTTAACAGTTTAAAAAAAAACACTCGTGAAAATGTAATACTCACTTTTGCAGTCAGATTTGTCTGTAGTTAGAGATTCACTGCCATCCCAACAGCAACCAAATATGTAACTGGATGGGCAAACACCAGTAAATGGAGCTGGAAAAAATGTGAGAACAGTCAGGCTATAATTGACCCAGAATCCTAACCCTTGTGGGTATTTTCATCGTGCTTCTTCTATATCTATGTTCCCATGATACATTGTCATTCTCACTATTTTACAAATCCTCTATTCACACTTCGGAATGGTCAATTTTATATAAGCTATAATTAAAGTTACTTCATGAGAGCTCGAGCCGCATCTTACCGTACGAAATGAGATGGTGCATGCATGATGAAGGTGGCTATTAAAATTTGTCACAAAATCTATTCTAATTAATATGCTCATTTTCACATATATCATGAATACATTCATACATATATATTTCATTAATGCTATAGCTTCTGCTGTTCGCACCGACAATAGCCGGTATGATGTTCACCCAAAGTGTGCTTACCACAGACTCCACATAATCTTGGGCATTGCATACGAACGCTGGAATACTTGCACCACGATTGTGAACGCTCCGAACAAATTGCATCTTCTTTTTTACTGCATCTGGTTCCATCTGTTTGATTTGAAACAATTTTAGTTACTTTCTTGCACCGCTATCGATCTACTGCTGTCTTACTGCACTAGCTGTTGTATTATCATGTATTGTCATATTTGCATCATAGATTGTTGGGTTGATCATGCAGTTAGTTCGCGCTGACTGGTGATTGCCGATCTGATTATAGGCACTCTTGCTAGTGATACTCGCTGGTATCAATATATTATTTATTAAAAATATACCTGATTGTGATCATGACATTAATTAAATGAAAAAACTAGACTAATGATCACCCATATTCAACAAGGCGGTTGATAACGTTTAAAGTTTAAAATCCCTACAGCCAAGTTATGCGAGTTTAATTTTTCTTATACTTACCCCAGGCTCTTGTTTTCCTATTGCCAATATTGTCCTCTATGGATATAATAATGACATTTATTAAGATAACTGTTTTGTTCTAACCCTTAGATAAGGCTACTGTATCTGCTTTACATTCGAACCCTCGCTGCATTGGTTGAACATGGTATTGCTACGCCATATCCACCCGCCCGCTGCGGTGTATTCCATTTGCCTTAACTTATCGATTATATTTTGCTAAGAAATCAATCATTTCAGCACAAGACCGTTTACCCTAACTTAGAATAAGAAACGAATACTTATATTTATAGCTAGTAAGAAACGAATCAATAACGTGTGCTTTCAGTTTAACAAAGCCAGCAATTACATGCCAACAATGACAATCTTGCAACTACAAGTGCCTCATCAACCATCATTTGAAAAGAATCAAGTTTATACGTACCAAACAACATTATTTTAGCATGGATTGAAAACACTATGCTCATCAAAACGATAACTGTTATCTTTGTTGCCATTCTGTTATTTTGATTTTATTTTTTTTAACCCGCTCTCTTTCCAATTCGCGTGAACTGATTCATCATGTTCTGTCGTCGTCTTATATATACCCTATCGCAACAGTAACGAATTTAGATATAACAGACAAGCATTCCTTAATTCAAATGTTTAAATTTTTAACGGATTCTAAATCCCTAAGATAAATACAAACACATTCCATATTATTGTTAGATAATAACATGCACCAACTTTACTGTACTCTGTAGGATGTATTTTCACAATTAAAAATTCAAATGTTCAAAATTTTGACGAATAACGGTTTTCAAATCCAAAACAAACACGTCGTTGTAGTTGTTTTATTTTGTAATACAAACTTTTATTTCTTGTTTTACATGTAACACCAACGGTAAACTGCAGCTATGAGCAGCTATTCACTGACACTGGCATGTGTGATATAAGACAGAAACAAATGGACGTTAAATTTTGCTTTCCAATTCTATATTTTGAGATTAGTTTCGGTAAACAGTTTAACGGTCGTTAGAATATCAATGTTAGAGGATTAAAAGGTGCATATTTTAAAAATTTCATTAAACATTGTTTGCTTAATAAGTAAACAGGTAATACTAATAGTAGCTAATAAGCAAGGTTGGAGAGTCTCCATCAGGGTAGGCAAATGTTATGTTATCGCCCTAATGGTAAAATTGTCAATGGCAATATGTCCAGTTCAAGCTTTCAAGACAAATTCTCTGTTGTTTAATTTTTTTGTCATGTTGTAGGCTGATATGATCAGCTAATTTCACTCACAGACAAGGCACACACAAAATGATCTGTATTTAAAGCTGTAACCCTACGAATTATATGGCTGCCAAATTTTGCTTCATAAATAAAAAGGAGTTTGCCAAGACTGATCTATTTATCATCTCTCGTAGACTGCATTCACTGCACATTCAAAATGTCTTTACCCTCCCCTTGTGGAGACTTGTGGAAGAAAAGACAGATGGACAAGTAAGTGACTGTTTTTCTTGCGTTTGGACCGTCGGTGTGCGCACATGTCTAATTACATGCTGACACTTGACACTTGCACGTTGCTGATTGGTTATATTGTAACGTTATTATATATGCGCGTTTTATGCTTTTGTGCCATGTATAAAATGTCTTGTATTGATAGTGTCACAGTGGCGTAATAGGAGGGTGTCAGAGAGTCGAGTTACGTGGAGAGTGGTGCCTGTGTGTGTGTGGGCGTTTAGCCCCCGACAAAAATGATCAAGAAAATTGAATTGCCCATTTTCATAAAGTTGAATTACGAAAAACAAACAGATAGACTGCCACCTGCTGTGAGTTGTTTATAACTAATGACATATTATAATTTTGCGAAACACAATGCCTGCAAGGCACAAGCCGTACATGAACAATCGTCAGTGGAATAGAGAGTTTGGACGAGAAACTGCCCGCGTATACGTTAAGCTACTCTTGCAACTGAAATAATTGAAGGCTTTGAAGCACACGCGTGTGAACAGGTGTAGAATAACTACTTTATTGCCATTGGTCGCCTATTCGTGGGCTAATGTAATTATATACCTTCTAATCCAACAGGCGTGACTGCGTGAATCGCTTTTGTTCATTGGTCATTCAGTCGGTCATTCCGTGTCAACGTTAACACGGTTTATGGCGTGATGGGCAAAGTTTGATTGGGAAAAATTGTATTTTGAAATCAAGGCAGTCATCTGACTTCAAGGTATGTGTGTTATCGGAATAAAGTTATATATTGAAGTCATAACAAACTTCAAAGAAATTTAAAATATGTGCGAAACACAGCGGTTGATTTCGTGTAACATGTAAAGTCATGCAAATCGAAAGCCGCCCAAATTGATGCCTAAAATAGTGAACACTGCATTTATTGAGTTTTTATTAGTTGGGCGTAAATTAAAATTTTTTCCTAGCACCTGCTAGTTGGAAAACCACAAGGAAAGGACTTTATAAGCGGTTTGAAAGGGTCTAGCCAACGAGACGAGACCACCGACCACAGCCAAGTGCTACAGCACACCGACAGGTTACTTCGGCATGGAGGCCTGTAAATAAGAACATCCAATGGCTGAAAGTGAGTAAATTTTACATAGTTTTATGGTAAATCATTTTATATATTCATAATTTTGAGTTGCATTAAATTGCTACATATCTGAAAAGGCGTTGTAAAACGAAACTAAACTTATTAAGCTTTAGTAAGTTTTATGCCAGCATATTCCTGGAAAACCGAAGTAGATAATTGGAAGCGCCGGAAGCAAAACACTGTCGTGTAACACCAAGTAGCGGGGTCAGTGAATTCAGTCAATTGACCAATCTCGAAACCAGAGCCCGCGATCTATCAGGGGAAGGAGTTCTGCCTCGTACCCAGGCGCTTTAATAATAAAATATATAACGCTGCATTCAGGTATTGTATAAAGGTCAGCTGAAAAAAGAAAGCGCGCAGGGGTGCTTGGGGTGGTTTTCACCAGGTGGATACAAAACAATATCTAGGTGGATACAAAAAAATACTTATGTGTAGAGTGTGTACCCATGATTTTTGAAGGAAATGCTCGTGCTTGGAAATTGAAGCATATATTTTCGCCCATTAACAAAGCAACCTGCGCGGCCCTATGCACCACTGGTCACTGGTGGCCACAAGGCTGAAGAAGAGGAACAAAGCAACCTCGTACCTAGCTTAGTCGCCATTAGTCGCCATACACGTGCGCTGTAATAAACTAACTATAACTATAACCTAACTATAACCCTTCACATAAATATCTTGAAAACTTACTCCTCACATTCAAGTACGTAGGTCCTATAGCGAACATTCTATTCTTTTTTGTAAATATTTAACATGAAAGATCTTGTCTCAAAACTGTCTACTGTACTGTTAACGGGCAATATTTTGCCATTGACAAATCTTTTGCATTATTGACGACATTTCAAGAAAATGGAATTGGGATGATATTTTACGTATTTTTCTGTCTTGTAATAGAATGTTTAAATGTTAAAAAATTATGTTATAACAGGACAGAGGTACAGCGGTCATCGACTACCAACTTTAGTCGAACTTATTCAAAGTATTTTGCAGAAGTATCCAGATGGAGGGCAAATTCTGAAGGTATATATAATACGCATTTGTAAATATTGGCCTAATTATAGTTACAATTTTGCCCTGAATCAACCTCAGAATTCCCTCGCGGAGTGCGAAATACAAATTATAAGAAAAAAATTAGTCTAATTAATGCTATAAAATGTTTTAACAGGAACTAATTCAGAATGCAGATGATGCAGGTGCAACTGATGTTAGTTTTCTATTTAATGAACAAAATTATGGAGTGGAGTCTTTGGTAAATCCTGAGCTTGCTCGCTTCCAAGGCCCAGCTCTTTACTGTCATAATAATGCTGTTTTCAAAGAGGAGGACTGGGAAGGTATTCGTAATCTCATGAGCAGTAACAAAAAAGAAGATCCATTGAAAATTGGCCGTTTTGGCATTGGGTTTAATTCAGTTTATCATATAACAGGTATGTAAAACACCTCAGTTTTTCCACAGCACACTTTTAGAGCTGTCTTTTCAAAGTTCTTGGTTAATGGTTTTACACAGTTGGTATTCCAAGGAGACAAGGAGAGCTACACTGAGAGCCACCTTGTGTGAGATTCTGTTTTTTTATTCAACAGATCTGCCTGCTATCGCAAGTGGTGACAAAATCGCAATTTTAGACCCACACGAAGAGTATTTTCGAGATAGAAAAGGTAGGGGGAGTTCTGTAACCTTCTTCTACCTGGATGAAAACCCGTTGCACGAAAAGACAAGAGATCAGTTTATGCCATTCCACGATGTATTTGGCTGTGACTTAGAAAGCTCGAAGAATTATGAAGGCACGCTTTTTCGCTTTCCTCTGCGAATAACACCGTCTGAATTATCGAATAAAGGCTACACTAAAGATAAAGTATTGGACTTGTTTCGTTCGTTACAAGAAGAAGCCTCTGTGGTGCTCCTTTTCCTCAAGAATATCTGCAGTATAAGTTTGTACAAACGTTCAGAGAATGGCGAAGTAGAATGCACTTACAGAGTTGAAATAGCAGAAGACTCCCGAGATAAAGTTGTAAAAGCACGCCAGGAATTTTTAGAGAAAGCAAAAAGAAAATGTGAGATATCTGAGTCGAGATACGTCATGAACGTTAAAGTGATGGAAGATTCAAATACTCGTGCATACCGATGGCTAATTATCAATCAGATTGGTTCTGGCATGGATCGCATTTCTGAATTGGCCATAGCAGAGAATCTTCCCCCATGGGTTGGCATGGCATTGCCTTTGGACGTTGTAACAAGCAACATAAACATTGGAAGAATTTTTTGTTTTCTTCCTCTGCCTCCTGATGTTGACTGCGAGACTGGCCTTCCAGTCCATGTTCACGGTGCGTTCGCCTTGACAGACAATCGTCGTGGTCTTGTCTGGCCCGGAGCAGATAACCAAAGTTCTACGGCTGAGTGGAACAAATTGTTACTTGAGAACGTAGCTGTTGATGTCTATTTGAAACTTCTTTGTATTCTTTTGCAAAATTCACTATCCGTTGAGATGGATGAAGTTTCCCGAAGTCAATTGGTGTACTCCACTTTGCCATGCAAAACAAAAGTAAAAGGACATTGGAAAGTGATTTTGGATCCTCTATTTCAAAAGTTATCACAGGAACATTGGAAATTTTGTTTTGCACAACATGTTTCTGGTAACGTATGGATTGAGGCGCAAGGTGGTGTTGTTGATCGTCTGCTTGATGACAATATTCGACGAACAGTGATAAACGCGTTGCTGGAATGCTCCGAAACTGTCATCACCAACGTTCCAGCTCATGTTTTTCATATTCTAGACAACTATTTCCCTTCATCGCGTAATATCACTCCAGCCTTGCTTCGATCCGTTTTGAAGAAACAGAACGACATCAAAGCATCACGTGAGGACAAAATTAAATTGCTGGAATATATCTTAAAAGATTGTCCCGCAGATGATATCGAAGGAGTTCCGTTGCTTCCTTTAGCAGATCAGAATTTCTCCAAATTCGTGTTAAACAGTTATGCTAAAACTCCATCATCGTCCGTTTTCGTTGCCACTACAGGTTGTCCACGATCTTTGCTACCAAATACAGATCATCGCTTTCTGAGTGATGATATTCCAGCGATAGTGAAAGACAAGCTTCAAGCACTGACAACAAAGGATGCTCAAAGTAATAATTTCACACAATTAATTATGTTGAACAAGGAAATCGTCTTACAAAACCTTCGCTCTTGCTTGCCTAAAGAATGGCTTTATAACATCCATGAAATCGTGCAATGGAGCCCTGGGAGTAATCGCCATCCTTCTGAATGCTGGTTAGAAGAGATATGGTCCTGGATTAATTTACATTTTTCCATGTCGCTTGAGCCTTTTGAAGGCCTTCCACTTATTCGCTTACCTGCAAAAGACGATGTTTCATGTACGAATCTTGGCATCTTGTCCAAACACTCCAAGTTTATTTTTGCTTCTGATATTTCTGGTAACTCTCTTCCACCTGTGGTTGTTAATCTGCTTGAAACATCTGGTTGTACAGTTGTACACAATCAATTTTCCCTCTTGAAGCATGCAGACATCAACTCGTATGTCGCCCCTGGCACTCCAACCGGAGTCATGGTTGTTCTTAGCCGGGCATCATTAGAAAAGGCACAAGAGCATGTCAAGTTATGTACTTCAGACGAGCGACTAGATCTACTAAAGTTTCTTTCCCGCCTCCCGAGCAATCTGGGCTCTACTTATCGCGACATATTGCTCTGCTTACCAATATTTCAAACACTAGACGGCTCCAGTGTCGCTATTCAAACAGGAAATCAAACCTTATCCGTGGTCGAGTCGAGTTTTTCAATGCCACCAGATTTCCAGTTTCGTAAGGGCAACCAAATAATCTCATCTACAGATACAACATGCCAGCAAATATTTCATCTATTGGGTGTCAAGGCTCTGAAATCCGGAGAAATACTTGTTAAATTTCTCTTTCCCGATATCAAAGCACAGAATGTTTACAACGTTGACGAGACAGCAAGTATAATGCTTTGGATAATAGAAAGGGCGGTGAACTTTAAATCGCATATTGATAGTTTCATTGAGGAAATGAAGTATTTACCATTTGTACCAACAAATGAAGGTCAACTTTTTGAACCTAATGCACTTTATGATCCCAGTGATGCTATGCTCATGGATTTATTTCATGGCGAGCCAAACAAATTTCCAAGACATGACTATTGCGAATCACATGTGATATCAATGTTGAAAAGTCAGATGGGTTTACGTACAAGAGATGAGATAACAGCGAATGAATTGTTTGAAGTTGCTACAAGCATTAGTACGTCATCGACATTGTCAGCAAAATGTAAACATCAAGGTTTAGTAAAGATTCTTAACGATTTCCCTGAATACCTTAATCAAAATGTTAACCCGGGCGTTGCATTGAAATCTGAATTGCGCCGTGTAAAGTGGTTGCCACGTGCGATAACTTCTCAATTGGTCTGTCCTCGCTTTCCGAAATTCATGCCATGGTATACTTGTGATTCTCAGCATTTCGCTCCACATGAGCTTTGTGATAAATCTCATGCTTTAGTTGTTGGTTCAACTATGCCAATCCTTGAAATTGACCTAAGTGAAAAGGTGCGAGAAGAACTTGGTTTAACGTCTGATCCCCCTGTGGAGTATGTTGTATCCCAGCATAAATTGGCAATCCAGGCATGGCCCAATCTGAATGAAAGAAAGGCTTGTGCCTTGTTCATGGAAATGGTTGTTGCTATTTACACACACCTTGCACGCTTTCCAAAGGAAACAGTCATCTACCAATTGAAAAATGCATTCGTGCAAGAGTGGATCTGGCATGGAAATGGATTTTGCTCTCCTTCACAAATAGCTTTGGAAATGGATTTTCCGCTAGACCTTAGCCCTCAATTATTCATTTTACCAGAAGAACTAAAAGACGACGTGAAACTAAAGCAATTCTTTCTTGAAAATGGCGTCAGTGCAAAATTCTTTCAAGAAGATGTAATTTCAGTTCTTCCTGCTTTAAAGCAAAAACACGAGAACTCCAATCTTCTTGAAGATGATGTTGAAAAAGATTTAAAGCTATGTCGCTCCATCCTGGAATGGCTGAGCAAAAGTAGCGAAAGTTTGTCTGAAAGCATGAAAGAGAACTTGTTATTTCCAGTTGAAAGTGAAGAAAATACTTTGGTTCTTAAACATTACAAAGATTGTGCTTACTGCGATGTTGATTGGCTACGCCGTGGTGAATCAGAGCTAAGTATGCCTAATGACGAACACCCGTTGATCCATAATTCAGTACCAACAAAGATTGCAATGACCCTGGGCGTCCCGACGTTAAGCTCCTGTTTGTTGTCAGCCGAAACATTGGGTTTTGAACAAACTGGTCCGAGTGAGCCAATCACCACACGAATTCACAACATTCTGGAGGAATACAAGGAAGGAGTTGGAGTTTTCAAAGAATTGATTCAAAACGCCGACGACGCTGGAGCCAGTAAAGTTCGTTTTCTTGTCGACTGGAGAATTGGTCCGAAAGATAGGTTGTTAGCAACTGGCATGTCCGAATGCCAAGGCCCTGCATTATGGTCTTATAACGATGGACTATTTAGTGATAATGACTTTGAAAACATCAACAAACTTGCTGGAGCAACAAAGAAGGAGGATATTTCAACTATTGGAAGATTTGGTCTTGGTTTTAATGCGGTCTATCACCTTACAGACGTCCCGAGCTTCGTAAGTAGAGAATACTTTGTTATGTTTGATCCAAACTGTCATCATTTACAACATCTGATCAGAGATGCATCGCGCCCAGGAATACGCATCAACCTGGTTAAAAATCCAAAACCTCTGAAAGCATTTGGAGACCAGTTCCAACCATATCGTGGTATATTTGATTGCAACATGGACAACAACGCACAGGAATCCTTTCATTATAATGGAACATTATTTCGGTTTCCATTCCGAACATTAGTGCAAGCTGGAAAAAGTGAAATCTCCCAAACTATTTATAACAAGGAGAAAGTTAAAGAAATTGTTGATTCGCTTAGAGAAAGTGCTTCGTTGCTATTGGTCTACACCGAGCACGTGACTGAGGTAGAGCTATTCGAGTTGCATCAAAACCAAACCCCAGAACAGATGCAGTCTATTTTGTCCGTGAAGAAGAGCATTGGAAGTGTGGTGGACGGTATACCGTTTATCAAGACATGTTCAGAATGGTGGAAAAACAAAATGCACGATGAAACTACCGCAAACAAATGCCCTGCTAAATCACAGCACATTACAATCGATTTAGTAGAGTCAACCGTTTCTTCATCAGGTGAGATACAGCAAGCAGAATCACAAGAATCATGGCTTATCTCTTCGTGCATGGGAATCGAATCATCTTCCGAACTGGCACTCACGTCCGAAGGACGAGAAAAAGGTCTGATGCCGTTTGCTGAAACTGCAGCAAAAGTAAATCGTTGTTCCAGTACAGAAATAGAAACTCCTGAAGAGGTAACAGGAGAAGCATTTTGTTTTCTACCACTGTCCATTCAAACTGGGCTACCTGTGCATATTAACGGTTATTTTGCTATTATGTCTAATCGACGTGGAATATGGGAACGTGGCACAACAGAACACGATCAGCCATTTGAAGGTGAATGGAATGCCAACTTACTGAGTGATGCCATCGCTTGTTCGTATATTCAACTGTTGGACGAAATTAAGGATAAACTTTCTGCGGATACTGCTAACAAACTTCAAGCCATGTTGCCCTGTTTCGAGAATTTGCACTCAACTACTTGGGAACCGTTGGTAAAGAGTATTTACAACAAAATAATGAACGAATCATTAGCTTTCTTTTGGTGCAATGGGAAGTGGATTAATATCCACACTGGCTACATTCTTGAGAAGGACTTGCGTAACGCTCCCGGAGTGATTTCAACTATGAATTCGTTGGAAAAGAATGTTCTCGATTTATCAGAAGACGTTTGTCGATCGTTTAAAAAATCCGGCCACGAAGCAATCATTCACAGTAGAACATTAACCCTCGAGCTATTTTTCAAAGAAATGTTCTTTCCAAACATCTCTACAATAAAACCCGAATTACGAGAACCACTTGTTCTCTTTGGTTTGGATTGTATACTCAAAGGACATGACGAATTAGAACAATTATTTAAAGACAACAAATCAGTTTTAGATGTCGACGGGCAACTGAAAAAACCAGCAGATCTTTTCGATCCCAGCGAGCCTCACTTAAAAGAATTGTTTTCCTCAGAACCAGGAAAATTTCCCTGTGAATATTTTACCAATGATCCTTTGTTTCTTCCTGTCTTGAGGAAACTGGGCATGCGTGGCAATGATATGATAATGCCCGATGAATTGCTGAATGTTGCTAAGTCCATTTCATTTTCTGAGTATTCAGATCCGTCAATTCAAAAGAGTCGAGCGTTACTGAATATCCTTCAATTCAAGCAAGAATATCTCTCACAATTTATTAACGGATCAAGTACACTTAAACAGGAATTGCGAAGCATAAAATGGCTTCCACGCGTGCGATCACCACCCGACAGTTACCGATACCCAGCGAGAATGCCTTGGTTTGATGGAAATGACGCTTTCTTTTCACCCGCTGAACTTCGCAGTAAATCCGAAGCTCTTTTGATTGGCTCTGTTATGCCTGTCGTTGACGTGATTCCAGAAAGTTTCCTTGTGGAGTTGGGTATCGTTTCAGAGCTTCCGCCAAAAAATGTGATTGAACAACTTTCTAAAGCTGTCGAGATATCGAGCACTGATCCTCAGATGAATCCCACAACACAATTTCAAGACATGATTTTAGCTATTTATCAACATCTCACACAAATCAGCCAGGATACTCTTTCCGAACTACTAGAAGAGGCTAAACTTGAATGCTGGATCTGGAATGATACTGGATTTTCCCCGCCATTTCAAATGGCTTTGGATGTGAACTTTCCAATGGACTTACGGCCGCAACTATTCAGGTTACCAGTCTATTTCACAAACGATGTGAAACTAAATCAGTTCTTTCTTCAAAATGGCGTGCATAAAAATTTCTCTGAAGAAGACATTGTTTCAATACTTCCTCGTTTAAAGCAAAAACACGAGAACTCCAATCTTCTTGAAGATGATGTTGAAAAAGATTTAAAGCTATGTCGTTCCATCCTGGAATGGCTGGGCAAAAGTAGCGAAAGTTTGTCTGAAAGCATGAAAGAGAACTTGTTATTCCCAGTTGAAAGTGAAGAAAATACTTTGGTCCTTAAACATTACAAAGATTGTGCTTACTGCGATGTTGATTGGCTACGCCGTGGTCAATCAGAACTAAGTATGCCTAATGACGAACACCCGTTGATCCATAATTCAGTACCAACAAAGATTGCAATGACCCTGGGCGTACCGACGTTGAGCTCCTGTTTGTTGTCAGCCGAAACATTGGGTTTTGAACAAACTGGTCCGAGTGAGCCAATCACCACACGAATTCACAACATTCTGGAAGAATACAAGGAAGGAGTTGGAGTTTTCAAAGAATTGATTCAAAACGCCGACGACGCTGGAGCTAGTAAAGTTCGTTTTCTTGTCGACTGGAGAATTGGTCCGAAAGAAAGGCTGCTAGCAACTGGCATGTCCGAATGCCAAGGCCCTGCATTATGGTCTTATAACGATGGACTATTTAGTGATAATGACTTTGAAAACATCAACAAACTTGCTGGAGCAACAAAGAAGGAAGATATTTCAACTATTGGAAGATTTGGTCTTGGTTTTAATGCGGTCTATCACCTTACAGACGTCCCGAGCTTCGTAAGTAGAGAATACTTTGTTATGTTTGATCCAAACTGTCATCATTTACAACATCTGATCAGAGATGCCTCGCGCCCAGGAATACGCATCAACCTGGTTAAAAATCCAAAACCTCTGAAAGCATTTGGAGACCAGTTCCAACCATATCGTGGTATATTTGATTGCAACATGGACAACAACGCACAGGAATCCTTTCATTATAATGGAACATTATTTCGGTTTCCGTTCCGAACATTAGTGCAAGCTGGAAAAAGTGAAATCTCCCAAACTATTTATAACAAGGAGAAAGTTAAAGAAATTGTTGATTCGCTTAAAGAGAGTGCTTCGTTGCTATTGGTCTACACCGAGCACGTGACTGAAGTAGAGTTATTCGAGTTGCATCACAACCAAACCCCAGAACAGATGCAGTCCATTTTGTCCGTGAAGAAGAGCATTGGAAGTGTGGTGGACGGTATACCGTTTATCAAGACATGTTCAGAATGGTGGAAAAACAAAATGCACGATGAAACTACCGCAAACAAATGCCCTGCTAAATCACAGCACATTACAATCGATTTAGTAGAGTCAACCGTTTCTTCATCAGGTGAGATACAGCAAGCAGAATCACAAGAATCATGGCTTATCTCTTCGTGCATGGGAATCGAATCATCTTCCGAACTGGCTCTCACGTCCGAAGGACGAGAAAAAGGTCTGATGCCGTTTGCTGAAACTGCAGCAAAAGTAAATCGTTGTTCCAGTACAGAAATAGAAACTCCTGAAGAGGTAACAGGAGAAGCATTTTGTTTTCTACCACTGTCCATTCAAACTGGGCTACCTGTGCATATTAACGGTTATTTTGCTATTATGTCCAATCGACGTGGAATATGGGAACGTGGCACAACAGAACACGATCAACCGTTTGAAGGTGAATGGAATGCCAACTTACTGAGTGATGCCATCGCTTGTTCGTATATTCAACTGTTGGAGGAAATTAAGGATAAACTTTCTGCGGATACTGCTAACAAACTTCAAGCCATGTTGCCCTGTTACGAGAATTTGCACTCAAGTACTTGGGAACCGTTGGTAAAGAGTATTTACAACAAAATAATGAACGAATCATTAGCTTTCTTTTGGTGCAATGGGAAGTGGATTAATATCCACACTGGCTACATTCTTGAGAAGGACTTGCGTAACGCTCCCGGAGTGATTTCAACTATGAATTCGTTGGAAAAGAATGTTCTCGATTTATCAGAAGACGTTTGTCGATCGTTTAAGAAATCCGGCCACGAAGCAATCATCCACAGTAGAACATTAACCCTCGAGCTATTTTTCAAAGAAATGTTCTTTCCAAACATCTTTACAATAAAACCCGAATTACGAGAACCACTTGTTCTCTTTGGTTTGGATTGTATACTCAAAGGACATAACGAATTAGAACAATTATTTAAAGACAACAAATCAATTTTAGATGTCGACGGGCAACTGAAAAAACCAGCAGATCTTTTCGATCCCACAGAGCCTCACTTAAAAGAATTGTTTCTCTCAGAACCAGGAAAATTTCCCTGTGAATATTTTACCAATGATCCTTTGTTTCTTCCTGTCTTGAGGAAACTGGGCATGCGTGGCAATGATATGATAATGCCCGATGAATTGCTGAATGTTGCTAAGTCCATTTCATTTTCTGAGTATTCAGATCCGTCAATTCAAAAGAGTCGAGCGTTACTGAATATCCTTCAATTCAAGCAAGAATATCTCTCACAATCTGTTAACGGATCAAGTACACTTAAACAGGAATTGCGAAGCATAAAATGGCTTCCACGCGCGCGATCACCACCCGACAGTTACCGATACCCAGCGAGAATGCCTTGGTTTGATGGAAATGACGCTTTCTTTTCACCCGCTGAACTTCGCAGTAAATCCGAAGCTCTTTTGATTGGCTCTGTTATGCCTGTCGTTGACGTAATTCCAGAAAGTTTCCTTGTGGAGTTGGGTATCGTTTCAGAGCTTCCGCCAAAAAATGTGATTGAACAACTTTCTAAAGCTGTCGAGATATCGAGCACTGATCCTCAGATGAATCCCACAACACAATTTCAAGACATGATTTTAGCTATTTATCAACATCTCGCCCAAATCAGCCAGGATACTCTTTCCAAACTACTAGAAGAGGCTAAACTTGAATGCTGGATCTGGAATGATACTGGATTTTCCCCGCCATCTCAAATGGCTTTGGATGTAAACTTTCCAATGGACTTACGGCCGCAACTATTCAGGTTACCAGTCTATTTCACAAACGATTTGAAACTAAATCAGTTCTTTCTTGAAAATGGCGTGCATAAAAATTTCTCTGAAGAAGACATTGTTTCAATACTTCCTCGTTTAAAGCAAAAACACGAGAACTCCAATCTTCTTGAAGATGATGTTGAAAAAGATTTAAAGCTATGTCGTTCCATCCTGGAATGGCTGGGCAAAAGTAGCGAAAGTTTGTCTGAAAGCATGAAAGAGAACTTGTTATTTCCAGTTGAAAGTGAAGAAAATACTTTGGTTCTTAAACATTACAAAGATTGTGCTTACTGCGATGTTGATTGGCTACGCCGTGGTGAATCAGAACTAAGTATGCCTAATGACGAACACCCGTTGATCCATAATTCAGTACCAACAAAGATTGCAATGACCCTGGGCGTCCCGACGTTAAGCTCCTGTTTGTTGTCAGCCGAAACATTGGGTTTTGAACAAACTGGTCCGAGTGAGCCAATCACCACACGAATTCACAACATTCTGGAGGAATACAAGGAAGGAGTTGGAGTTTTCAAAGAATTGATTCAAAACGCCGACGACGCTGGAGCTAGTAAAGTTCGTTTTCTTGTCGACTGGAGAATTGGTCCGAAAGAAAGGCTGCTAGCAACTGGCATGTCCGAATGCCAAGGCCCTGCATTATGGTCTTATAACGATGGACTATTTAGTGATAATGACTTTGAAAACATCAACAAACTTGCTGGAGCAACAAAGAAGGAAGATATTTCAACTATTGGAAGATTTGGTCTTGGTTTTAATGCGGTCTATCACCTTACAGACGTCCCGAGCTTCGTAAGTAGGGAATACTTTGTTATGTTTGATCCAAACTGTCATCATTTACAACATCTGATCAGAGATGCCTCGCGCCCAGGAATACGCATCAACCTGGTTAAAAATCCAAAACCTCTGAAAGCATTTGGAGACCAGTTCCAACCATATCGTGGTATATTTGATTGCAACATGGACAGCAACGCACAGGAATCCTTTCATTATAATGGAACATTATTTCGGTTTCCGTTCCGAACATTAGTGCAAGCTGGAAAAAGTGAAATCTCCCAAACTATTTATAACAAGGAGAAAGTTAAAGAAATTGTTGATTCGCTTAAAGAGAGTGCTTCGTTGCTATTGGTCTACACCGAGCACGTGACTGAAGTAGAGTTATTCGAGTTGCATCACAACCAAACCCCAGAACAGATGCAGTCCATTTTGTCCGTGAAGAAGACCATTGGAAGTGTGGTGGACGGTATACCGTTTATCAAGACATGTTCAGAATGGTGGAAAAACAAAATGCACGATGAAACTACCGCAAACAAATGCCCTGCTAAATCACAGCACATTACAATCGATTTAGTAGAGTCAACCGTTTCTTCATCAGGTGAGATACAGCAAGCAGAATCACAAGAATCATGGCTTATCTCTTCGTGCATGGGAATCGAATCATCTTCCGAACTGGCACTCACGTCCGAAGGACGAGAAAAAGGTCTGATGCCGTTTGCTGAAACTGCAGCAAAAGTAAATCGTTGTTCCAGTACAGAAATAGAAATTCCTGAAGAGGTAACAGGAGAAGCATTTTGTTTTCTACCACTGTCCATTCAAACTGGGCTACCTGTGCATATTAACGGTTATTTTGCTATTATGTCTAATCGACGTGGAATATGGGAACGTGGCACAACAGAACACGATCAACCGTTTGAAGGTGAATGGAATGCCAACTTACTGAGTGATGCCATCGCTTGTTCGTATATTCAACTGTTGGACGAAATTAAGGATAAACTTTCTGCGGATACTGCTAACAAACTTCAAGCCATGTTGCCCTGTTTCGAGAATTTGCACTCAACTACTTGGGAACCGTTGGTAAAGAGTATTTACAACAAAATAATAAACGAATCATTAGCTTTCTTTTGGTGCAATGGGAAGTGGATTAATATCCACACTGGCTACATTCTTGAGAAGGACTTGCGTAACGCTCCCGGAGTGATTTCAACTATGAATTCGTTGGAAAAAAATGTTCTCGATTTATCAGAAGACGTTTGTCGATCGTTTAAAAAATCCGGCCACGAAGCAATCATTCACAGTAGAACATTAACCCTCGAGCTATTTTTCAAAGAAATGTTCTTTCCAAACATCTCTACAATAAAACCCGAATTACGAGAACCACTTGTTCTCTTTGGTTTGGATTGTATACTCAAAGGACATGACGAATTAGAACAATTATTTAAAGACAACAAATCAATTTTAGACGTCGACGGGCAACTGAAAAAACCAGCAGATCTTTTCGATCCCAGCGAGCCTCACTTAAAAGAATTGTTTTTCTCAGAACCAGGAAAATTTCCCTGTGAATATTTTACCAATGATCCTTTGTTTCTTCCTGTCTTGAGGAAACTGGGCATGCGTAGCAAAGATATGATAATGCCCGATGAATTGCTGAATGTTGCTAAGTTCATTTCATTTTCTGAGTATTCAGATCCGTCAATTCAAAAGAGTCGAGCGTTACTGAATATCCTTCAATTCAAGCAAGAATATCTCTCACAATTTATTAACGGATCAAGTACACTTAAACAAGAATTGCGAAGCATAAAATGGCTTCCACGCGTGCGATCACCACCCGACAGTTACCGATACCCAGCGAGAATGCCTTGGTTTGATGGAAATGACGCTTTCTTTTCACCCGCTGAACTTCGCAGTAAATCCCAAGCTCTTTTGATTGGCTCTGTTATGCCTGTCGTAGACGTGATTCCAGAAAGTTTCCTTGTGGAGCTGGGTATCGTTTCAGAGCTTCCGCCAAATAATGTGATTGAACAACTTTCCAAAGCTGTCGAGATATGGAGCACTGATCCTCAGATGAATCCCACAACACAATTTCAAGACATGATTTTAGCTATTTATCAACATCTCGCACAAATCAGCCAGGATATTCTTTCCGAACTGTTAGAGCAGGCTAAACTTGAACGCTGGATCTGGAATGGTACTGGATTTTCTTCTCCCACACGAGTGGCACTAACGAATAACTTTTTGATAAATCTAAGTCCTCATCTGTTCTTTTTGCCAAGCGATTTTCAACAAAATGAGGCACTCAGAGAATTCTTTGTCAGAAACGAAGTGCGATTAGAGTTCTCTAAAGAAGACATCATTTCAGTTTTATCTTGCGTAAAGGAAAAACACGAAAGTTGTTTACTCAAAACGTCTGACGAAATTAAACGTGACATCGAATTATGTCGTTTTATAGTGGAATGGCTGGTGCAAAATGACGAAGAGTTATCCGTTGACTTGCAAGAGAAAGTTTTAGTTCCCATCCAGACTAGCGGGGAATCCTTACTGCTGAAGCCGTGCCAAGATTGTACATACTGTGACCATGAATGGTTGCGTCAAGGCCGGTCGGATCTTGATATTCCGGAAGATTTCCACCTGATTGACGAATCAATTTCCGGAAAAATAGCAGGACTGTTAGGTGTGAAACCGTTAAGTACTTGTTTGATGTCAAGCGAGGAGCTCGGTTTTGAACAAACTGGTCCGTATGAGCCGTTGACAACAAGATTAAATAATATTATTTCCGAATACAAAGAAGGTGTTGGTGTTTTCAAAGAGTTGGTCCAAAATGCTGATGATGCAGGTGCAACGAAGGTCTTCTTTTTGATTGACTGGCGAGAAGGACCAAACAAAAGTCTTTTCACACCTTCTATGGCTGAATGCCAAGGTCCTGCACTTTGGGCTTACAACGATGGTGTTTTTAGCGACGAAGATTTCAAAAATATCAATAAATTAGCTGGAGCAACAAAAAGAGAAGACCTAGAGAAGATAGGACGCTTTGGGCTGGGTTTCAATGCAATTTATCATCTCACAGACGTGCCAAGCTTTTTAAGCAGACAATATCTTGTAATTTTTGATCCAAATATTCAGCATTTAATTGGAAAAATAACCGAGACGCGACCTGGACTTCGTGTCGACCTTGCAAAGAATGCAAGACCACTGACAGCATTTGTTGACCAGTTTCAGCCGTATCATAATGTTTTTCAATGCAATACTAGTCCAAAAGGGGAAGAGAAGTTTCACTTCAACGGAACATTATTTCGTTTTCCATTTCGAACCATGTTGCAAGCAAGCAGAAGTAAAATAAGTCAAGAAGTTTACGATTCCCAGAAGGTGCAAGCCTTGCTGAAAAGTCTGAAAGAAAGTCTGTCAGTGCTTATGTTATTCACACAACGGGTGAACGAAGTTGCGGTGTACGAGCTTGGAAAGAACGAGGATCCTCAGACGATGCGTTTGATGTTTTCGGCCAAGAAAAATATACTGTCTGTAAATCTGGAGCTCCCAAACATTCATCAAGGTCAACCAGAAAAGAAACCTGATGTTCCTAAGTTGTCTTTTCTAAAAGAATGTTCTGATTGGTGGAAAGTAAAGCTGTCGAAAGGTACTGTTGTGCCTAGTCCTTCTCGATCTGAAATCATATCCATGGAAGTTCGCTATCAAGAAGACGTATCTCTTCAAAGGGAAAAGTGGCTTGTCACCTCCTGTATGGGAAACGATTCATCTTTACAACTGGCACTGGAGGAAGGTAAAGAACATGGTTTACTTCCTTGTGCGGGGACCGCAGCCAAACTGTCTTCAAACGACAACAGTGGAATCCCAGAAGCAATCGTTGGAGAAGCATTTTGTTTCCTTCCTCTTTCTATAACGACAGGACTCCCAGTTCATATAAATACCCCTTTTGCTGTTATGTCTAATCGACGCAGCATCTGGGAACGAAGTAGTTCAACTGAGAAGCAAGATTTAGAGGTGCGTTGGAATGAGTGTCTCATGAGCGATGCAGTCTGTAATGCTTATATACAGCTTTTAGAAACCTTGAAAGCTTTGTGTGAAAATGGAACTTTAGATCACTATCCATTTCATATACTTTGGCCATCATACAAGAACTTGGAATCTAACACTTGGAAAACAATCGCAAATAACGTTTACTCAAAGTTATTAGGACACTTGTTACCACTTTTACGAAGTAATGGTAAGTGGTTGAGCATTGACAGCGGATACATATTGGCTGATGACTTGCGCACTGCACCCAAAATCACTGAGGCAATGCAATCTTTGAATGAAAATGTGTTTGAGCTTCCTAAAGATATTTGTGAAACATTGAAGGAATGTGGACAAGCAGAAACGTTGCAAAATCGCACTCTGAACCTGAAAGGTTTCATTACCGAGTTTTTCTTCCCAAATATAAACGAATTGTCTCACGAGATAAGAGGCCCGTTGGTAGTGTTTGGTCTTGATTGTATATTTGCTAAACTGGAGGGATTAGAATCGTTATTCAAGGAAACTTCCTGTATCCCATGTTCAGAAGATAGACAAATTTTAGAAAAACCATCAAACTTGATTAATCCTCGTGGAGCTGCTGCCGAGCTGTTTGAGATTGAGGACAACCGATTTCCTGTGGGGGATGAGTTTTTAACAAAAGATCGAATTTATGTGCTTGAAGAAAAACTGGACATGAAAAGAGATCTGTTGTCAAGGGAAGAGATTTACGACCGAGCGAGGTCGGTTGAAAACTTGGGAGAAGCGAACTACGAGAAAGCACTACGTCGATCTCGCACGTTGATCAAGTATCTAAACAAATACATCAAGAAATTGCCTAGTTTGAATGATGACGAAATTGATATTCAAGAGATCAAATTTTTGCCATTCATCTGGAAACCCCCGAGTGAATATACAAAGGGCTTACCTTGGAAAGGCCTGGAACCGAAGAAGGAACAATTTTGTGCTGCTAAAGAACTTTTTCTACCACGGCATATGGATATTGTCGGTTCCTGCTGTTTGATTTTAAGTACACATGAAGAATTGGGATGCGGGAAACCTGAGACGGACGTGAAAGATGTTCTTGGAATACATCATCGAGATCCAAGCCATGAACAAGTTCTCCAACAGTTAGATAATATCGTTCAGGTCTGGTCAAAGTTTAATAACGAAGACAAAATAAATAACAAGTTAAAAGTGTTGCAAATATGCCAGTGTGTATATCAATATCTAGAGAAGTACTTCGCTAAACTAGTGAAAACAGAGCATAAAAAAACGGACGTGGTTGAAAAAACGAGTGATGTTAAGGAGAATCTTCTGAAGGAGTTGGCTGGAAGAAAGTGGATTTTTATAGAAGACACGTTTGTTTCTAGTAAACAAGTTGCTTGTGACTTCTCTAAAAGTGGCGCCCCATATCTGTATTGCCTGCCACCAATGTTTAATACTGAGTACGAAAACCTTTTTCAAATGACAAATGTAAAGAGAAATTTCGATTCCAACGATTTCCTTGACGCCATCAAATTGATAGAACAAACAAAAAGACTCACCCCCCTGACAGAAAGGGAGTTAGAAGTTGTGGTGACGTTTATAAACGAATTAAAGAATGCTGACATAGAGTTTCTTAAAGACAACGTTGGCCAGTTTTACCTCCCAGATCACTCAAATGTTCTTTACCCGGCCGACGAGCTCACAATCAATAGCACGCCATGGCTCGTGGATCGTGGTGATTCACATAGTGTCCACAAAGACATCACACCTGATTTAGCTCATAAACTAGGAGCGGGGTCTCTCATACAAAAGCGTCTTGGAAAATACGTAAAGACAATGGGAACTCCATTTGGGCAAAGCGAAAAGCTAACAGTCAGACTGAAAAACATCCTAAATTCATATCCTTGCGATTCTGGAATACTTAAAGAATTGGTTCAAAACGCTGACGATGCTAAAGCTACCGAAATTCATTTTATTTACGACAAACGCCGTTTGCCATGCGAACAAGTCTTTCAAAATAATGCTAAAGAGATCCAAGGACCAGCTCTTTGTGTTTACAACAACCGGACATTTAGCAATGACGACTTAGAAGGAATTCAGAAATTGGGAATTGGAAGCAAGAGCGAGGATGCTGAAAAAACTGGTCGATTTGGCATTGGGTTTAACGCCGTTTACCATCTGACAGACTGTCCAAGTTTCATAACTAACGGCGAGACCCTTTGCATGCTAGACCCACGCTGCCGCTATGCACCTGGTGCAACTAACGAATACCCAGGAGTAAGATTCGATGCGATAGATAAAGAATTTAAAGAAGACTTCTCGGACGTGATGAAAGGTTATCTCGAAGAATTTGAGTTCGATCATAAAGGCTCAACAATGTTTCGATTGCCGCTTAGAAGTGCAGAGATGGCGAAAAAATCCTCGATTTCAAATAAAGAGGGCGTGTATAGGACAGATTCCCTTCTCGATGATTTCAAGGGAGAAGCTAAAAGATCCATGTTGTTCCTAAATCACATTAGAAAGATTTCATTCTCAAGAATTGAAGACAGCGGAAAACTAGTGAAAGTGTACGACGTGATGACAAGTGTGGATAAAGAAGAAACAAAAAAGCTGGAAACATTATTCGCTTACAAGAAAGAAAGCAAAATTGTACCAACCAAAGATATTCCTTGGCAAGGAGTTACGTTTTCCCTCGTTCTTAGTGACAAAAACGGATACGTCGAACATTGGCTTGTCCATCAGTGTTTTGGAGTGAATGCTGACAGTGACAACGAAGAAATTTCAGACGTGACACCTCACAAATTAAAACCTCACGGTGGGTTAGCTGCTCTTGTTCAATCAAATCAGCGGCCAAGTGCATCAAATATAGAACCGCGTCACTTCGCTTATTGCTTCTTGCCTTTGCCTGTTCGAATACCTTTACCAGTTCATGTGAATGGTCATTTTGCGATCGATTCTGGAAGACGAGATTTATGGAAAGATGCCGACTCAACGGATCCTCAAGCACTATGGAACACTATGATTAAAAGAAACGTTCTAGCGCCGGGTTATGCTTGTCTCCTCGAAGAAGCTCGGAAGTACATACCTTATTGTGAACGTGAAACTGAGGACAAGACGTCCTGGTTTTTTCCTGGTAAATTATCCGCTCAAGTCGGTCTGGCTTGGTACAATAAACTCTTTCCTACCGTTGGGGAAGACTCCTGGGGAGCTCTAACTGCATCGGTTTACAAATTTCTGGCAAACACAAAAAAACCAGTGTTCCCAGTCGTGGTTCCAGATCAAACAAAATCAGAGGAGCGACCAGAAGATGTGCCTCGGCGAATACGGGGATGGTTTTCGGTGCAAAATGTTTTCTTTGTGGACAGATGCAAGAGTTCTAATATTTCCGAGGATCTTATGAAAATACTTCTTGAAATTCGACTGCCAATTGCAGAGCACTCGTCTATTACAGTACCACAAGGATTTGAAAAGGCAGCAATTTGTCCCCCGCGGTTTGTGACGCCTGAAAGCGTAGTGTTAGCTCTTCGTAATTTCTCCAACAAAAACAGCGAGTGTGAAGTCGGAGTGCTTCCATGTGACATAGAAATGACAACGATAAGCAACGAAAAAAATCTGAAAACTCTCATTGATTATTGCAAACGAGTAAAGAATTTTTCGCAATATTTGTCAGGTTTGCCATTGCTCCTAACAGCTGATAGTGTTTTAAAGGTATTCTCGGAAGAAGAGAAAGTTTACTGCTCCGAATTCAGTGATCTTTTTCCTAGACGACTCAGCTTGTTTGTCCATCCCAATATCGTGTCGTGCCTCTTACCCGTTATGCGAAAGGATATTTATGAATATACAAGCACTTCTAAAGAGGCAAGTTCAGTGGCTTTTGAAGAAACATCGAATGATATCCCGACTGATACAAAAGAACCCGATATTTTCCCCGTAGTGTTACTTCCCCTGACAGCTGACGTGGTAAACACTTTCATGATGGATGTTTTTCCCCACCACACGAAACAAGCAAAGACACATCTTGACATGAATGCAACTGGCGTAGCAGAGGACTGGCTAAAGCGGCTTTGGAAGTACTTGCAAACTTACTCAGAAGAAGTGAGTAACGATACACCTCCATTAGATGATCTTAAACCATGGCCAATTATACCAACTAAATCAAAGAAGCTTGTGACTGTGGACATGGCTAAGACCGTTGTTGATATGACGATTGTTGGGAACGAAAGTGACGCAGCCTTGAAAATAATTAAAAGTTTGCAGAAGTTGGATTGTCCTTGTCTTGATACGGATATTACCTTTCCTGAACCGAAATCAACGAATCTGATTGGCTCGTTTATTTCGACCGTATGTGCGACATTTGGTGCATCAACTATCAAAAAAGAACCATCCCAAGCAGTAACGAAATCGTATGTGGCCCATCCGCACAACGTTCCTGATATTTTGAATGTTTTTGCCTTTATGGTGGAAGAAGGGAGTCTGCATTCAGAAGTACTATCGGATGAGGAAATTGCAGCAATTCTAAAATTCGCACAGGATGGCTACGAGAAGCTTGAGGAAAAGAAAAAGTACACTGACATTTTGAAAAAACTACCTTTCTACAAGGCAATTAACGGAAAACATTACAAGTTATCGGATTTCTCCGAGTACGCTGTGATTCCCGCCGATGTCCCATCTGACGAAATTGAGAAGCTACAAAGTTACACACGCTGTCTATTTTTACACCCAGATCTGTTGCCAGCGTTTGAAAAATTACTCACAGGTCTCGAAGCAGGGGCAAAAAGAAGCAATGCCGACTTCTACAGTACCTTCATTCTACCTAATTTCGCAATATTTTCCGATGAAATGCGACTGACATTCCTCACTCACATAAGAGACCAAGTTGTTCCTGGTTTATTTGACGAGACTGGGGTCAAAGAAGATTTTTTGAAGAAAATGAAAGGTACGAGATGTATCCCCAATAAAACTGGTGAATATGTTCATGCTTCGGAGTTCTACGACCCGCGTAGCAAATTATTAAAGATTATGGAAGATGAATCAAGTGAGAAATTTCCTCCACCTCCTTTCAATGAAACCAAATGGCTCGACTTTCTTCAGTTAATTGGCATGGTGAGAGTTGTTAGTGAAACGTTATTCATGAATTTTGCAAATCGTGTATCTAGAGATGGAAATTTATCACCTACTGATGATATAAATAGAAAGAGATCGAGAGCGTTGCTTAGTTTCTTGATGAAAAATCATCATTTGCATAATCCGGGATTTCTACGTAATCTTTCAAGTGTGAAGTTCGTTGCTTCGGAGAAAGTAGAAGATGTTTATCTTTCCCTGCACAAGCAATATTGTTGTCACGAAGGTTCTGATCAGCCACCATTTGTTTATTTTTCAAATGCCGTTCTGTGGAAATATCGTTCTTTGGTATGGACAAGTGCTAATCTTCTTCCAGAGTGGAACGCCGAGGTAATTTGCAATAAATATCCAGATTGTAAAACAGAAAACCTTCATGAATATCTTGGAGTAAAGTATCCTACCTTAGAAATGGTTATAAAACACACGCAGAATATTTCAGGAGTACTTTTTGAACGGTCTAAAAAAGAAGAACTTCTGCCACAAAATCTTCAAGTTCCAAAAATAATGGACTGCATTTATAAATACCTTCAAGTTGCGGCCAAATGTCCAAAGGATGAAATTTGTGATAGCTGCAGTGACATGTGTAAAATGATTGGAGATCGCTTAGCGAACTGTCATTGTATTCTGGTGGATGATGGAAAGGTTGTCGTGAAAGGAGACCAAATCACATTTAAGATTCCAGAAGAGAAATCCCTTAAACCTTTCATTTATCAGGTTCCACGGGAATACGGTTATTTGGAACATTTGCTAAAGCGCCTTGGAGCAACAGAAACTATAACCCAATTACAACTTGTGAGCGTTTTTAAGAAGTTAAAAGATCGAACCAAAGACGTGCTAAACCCAGAGTTTGAAAAGAAATCACAAAGTGCGATGTTCCTCTTTTTCAATTCAGTTTTAGACGAAGCAAAAGATAGGACCAAACAGTCGTCAATTGCGCATGTCCAAGAATTGTATTTACCAAGTGTCGACAAAAGATTGATCAAGTCAAGTGACCTGCTTTGTAAAATCCCACCTAAACACATCAAGACCATTGAGAATCTATCGTATCATGCGTTGTGCTTTTTTGAAATATGCGGCCTTAAAAGGGAGTTGGAAAGTGAATATCTTGAAGCTCTTCCTGCCAAACTACGCCCCCGGCCATTTACCGACATCATCACAGAAAAGTTAGACGAATCGTGTTTGAAAATACCCTGTAGGCTTTGTATTGAGGACGGTGATTGCCAGTTCATTACAAACCTTAAAGGATTGCTTAAATCAGAAGAGTTCATGAACGGAATTGTTCGCTTATTAAAGCATCAAAAAAATTCAAGTGAATTGTCCCAAGAATTACAGCAGACGGCATCAAGATTTTTATCAAACAAGGTTGAAGTAAAATGCATGGAGACAGTTCTAATTCATCTGATGTTGTCACACACGAATGAAGTGTTACATGGAAGCTCCAAGCCTCGCCTGTGCTTTGTCGTTAAACGTTGTGAGGTCTGGACGCTCTACATTCAACACGACAAAATATCAAGTAGTCTAGCCAAGTCCATTAACAAGATCCTGGATTGGAAGATTAAAGACGAGTTTATCCATGCCCTTTCTGACATGTTAAATTGCAGCGCACCTTTAGAAATCTCTGGAGCGCTGAATAATCTCGATATTAAAGTGGACGCAGGGGTGAGTGATGATCTAAAACCTGGCTCTGAAGTCCCAGTCGTATTTCATCAGTTGTTGCAGCAGAATCCTCTGTTTGTATTCCACATTGGGGAACTTGTGGCATATGGCGTCCAGTTAGAAAATGAAGATGTTCAAGACACGTGTTTTAAAATGAAATACGTTCTTGCGGAAGTTATCAGACGTGTACCATCATCAGGTTCTGTTGAAGGAAGATACGATTTCGAGGCTAGATATTTGATCGACATCGGAAATGAGAAGAGAGAAGTGAGCGTTCTTGATTTGTACAAATTTTACGAATATCTCGATGAAAATTCTTGCAAAGATTTGGTCCCATTCGAAGGCGACTCGAATGCAAAACCTGAGAGTTATGACGCCGCAAAGAGGGAAATTTTGGAAGCACTAAAAGCTGCATGGCGCTTAACCCCAGATTTACGTCGCAAAGCAATCCGGCGGCTTTACTTGCGTTGGCATCCGGATAAGAATCCAAACAACGTGGAATTTGCAACAAAAATGATGACATTTCTACTTGAACAAATTCAGCGTATGAAAGAGGAGGAGGAACGCCTCTCTCAACGGCCGGATGACTTCGACTACAATAACATTTTTCAACAATGCGACCGGCAGGCGTCGCGAGACAATGCATCGTACACCAACTTTAGGCAAAATTCAGGCGACGGATCCTCCACACACAGATTTTCTGGCTCAGGAGGTAGATTTACATGCGACCCTGCTATGTTCGCCCATGCCTCAACGTATACTGTTCCAAGTCCGAGAGAAGCGAGACGGTGGATTGAGCAAGCAGAAGGTGATCTCAGTGTGTGTCAGTTTTTAGTACAAAAACCATTTGATGCCATGGCTTGTTTTATGAGTCAGCAAATTGTCGAGAAGAGTCTGAAAGCCGCATTGTATGCTGAATGTGGTCTGACCAATAACCAGCTTCATACGCATGACGTCTACAGCCTTGCACGTGATCTTAATAACCTCCCACGATGGAAGAAGGAAGAAGTATTAAATTTAACATTAAATGTTGCTAATTATTACCTCCCAACCCGTTACCCCAATCAGCTATCGTACCCAAATGTACCTCACAACGCCTTTGGTGGTCAATCAGGTGATGCATACGCATCTGCTGCTGAACTATTACGACTCGTGAAGGAATTCATAAGGCCTAAAATATAACGTCGCTATAGCACAGAACCTTGGGGAAATGACATAGATGAATGTGAACAAATATCTCGATAATATTAATATTTGTTTAGAATGTAGAAAACATAGAGAATGCATCTCGTATCTATATATTGGTCGTTACTACCTTAACACGTTAAAAATAGTGAACATTTTTTGTCTACTGTTTCCATGCTGTACACCTATTACATGGTTTGGTGATAAAACCTCCGTTTAAAAGTTACAACAATCAATAGTATTTAATTGCATGACTAACGGTAAATATATGAATAGAATATCGTATTAGCTATAGTCGTCTTCGATCAGTTAGTTGATGCACGATCAGATCTTATAACGTGTTTGCAAAAATTGGTTAGATCAAGTGACTGCCTTTTATTGGATACGAAATGTCTTCAAACCGCTACTGACTAAGCTTAATTAGGCTGATGAAAATGTTTGATATTAATAGTTTTTTATATTTAGGATTTTGTTTATTTGATCGATTATTACTGATCATTCTTAACTTTAAATGTAATTGACTTTTTGAGCTGTTAGAAAAACCATTTGTTAACTTACTTTACATTTTATATTTAGTTACATGATTTGACCATTTTATATAACTTTTGAAATAATTTAGGTAAAAAGGAGTGATTCTTCTGTAGTACTATTATTGCAAATAAAGCAATTATCAAAATATTAGGCAAGAATGTTTTATTCTGAAGTACTTTCCTTCCCATAACCCAGCATAAGTGAATGAGCGGAAACTTTCATAAAATTTCAGGGTTTTTAATGATTTTGCAATTACTTTAATAACATTTTCCCTTGAATTTTTATTTCTAACAAAATTTCGTGTATTATATACAACATATGATTTCGCAGAATTCTATAACTTTTCATTTCTAACTCATTGTTTTAATTCTTTGTTTTTTATTATTTAATTTTATTTTTACAATAAATAGTAGAAAGAACTATTTTACATCGACAGTCATCGTTATTAAAAACTTTGATTGGCAAGAAATGTGATTGTGCCGTATCTCCATTGGCATTGATTAATTTTTAGCTGCTTGATGCTCCCGCCGTCGTTGTCAATGTTTCTTGTTTCTTACTCCGTAATTTGTCAATTTTCCTCTGAGGTAACGAGCCGGGCAGCGAAAAACATTTCTAAAATACGAAAACGGATTCTGTTTAAGTGTTATTAGTTTTACTACTACAGACGCCATTTTTGAGGTTAGTAATTTAATTTGGAAATTTATCCTGGATCTAAATAGGTCAGCGTGATTCGCACCGTAGATGTACCTAGGCTAGGTACGCACGTGATGAACTAACCTCCATAAAATTATGACAGTCGATAGTTTCTGAACCCTTGGTTATATTCTAATAGAAATAATTGAGAATATTCAAGTTTCAGTATGTAGAAGTATCAACAAACTTTAATTTGCACAACATAAAGTGAAACAAGAACCAATATAAGGCCTGTGATTTCATGGGCAACGATTTTGATAACGAAGAGCATTTTTAGTGATACGTACAACTATACTAATTTAAGTATTATAGGATAATTGCACGATCTTCAACACCTTAAATCCTTCGCAGAGGGCCACGAAGTCCTTACATGCCAATAGTTTCTGTTCATTCATCAAAAGGAGTGTAAGTGCCACACGCAAAAGAACTTTGGATCCTTCGTAAAACAGACAATCCCAAATTCGTAGAACAGTCTGGTGAATAAATATTATTTTTTTGTAAGATAAATATTATTTTTTTGTAAGATAAATATTATTTTTTTGGAGAATTTGGCCGGTCGAGACTATAAAGGATGGGTTGTTATTCGGATATCTCTCTATCTATATCCAGATCAATATTTTTATTCCAAGCATCTATTCTCATACATTCATTTTGGAAGCGCATGGTGCCATAATGAAGGGAGTCTCCCAACCAGGGCCATTTCCCTATGGAGCGAGTTTGACTAGGGGAAGGGGGCAGGTGTTGCCAATAATTCTTTAAGAGTATTCTGTAGTAATAATTTTGCAATACAAAAGTTGCGCATATGTTTTGATCTGAAAAATGCTCTTGGCAAAGATTCAATACGTTCGATTGAAAGAACAGAACAAATGCGGGCATAAAATTACTCACAACAGACGTAATATTATGTTGGTGCTTGTAACGTACACCAAACATGTAAAAGGAGTAAACTGAAAAAATAACTAAATGATCCAGTTTTAAAACATCAAATGACTACAATATATAAAACTTACCTCTGTGGGTAAAACATCAGTATAAAGACAAATAAACCATTTAGTGCACGGAATGGCGATATCGACACCGTTTCTTTTCATATGTTCTGCTAGTGCAGGGTTCTTCCATCTTAATAATAAAACATTTCTTATAAACGCGCTTGCGTTACTGGACCAAACTCGTTCTCAAGCATTCTTTATACTTCATACCCTAGCAGTTCCTCCAGAACAGCTTGTTCCACTCTTAATCCCTGCATTTGGTAACCGTAATAATCTAAATGAAAAACCATTCCTTCAGCATGCAAAATTAACATCCAGAACAACAGAAGCCTGATCTTACAAACACTTTTAACTCTCACCTGGAAGTTTTTTTGTGACAAGCACATCTAGCAACCAAAATACATGTTCCTCCTGTTTTACCACAAGGAGTAAAAGAGCAACAATATAGTTGAAACCCTGCAAAGAAAACCAATTTATTTTTGAGGCATATTTTCTGTTGGGAAGCAGTCAAGTTGTTCATGACAAATTCCAAGAACAGTTGAGAGAAGTACTGTGGCAGTTTCTTTTAAAAAACTTCCAATCAAATGTGGTTGTTCAGCCAGTCCCTCAACAGAGAACTCTCCTAATTAGAACCTTCATCAGGACAGTTAGTCCTCTGGTGAAGACTAGGCGGCCAGTGTTTCATTGTGTACTAACTATAGACATTATTTATGATACTCTTAGAAATTACCTGCAAGGATTCCCTACCTGACAATATCCCACAGTGGGATTATAATGTGCGTAAGAACTGAGCACGTTAAAAAGTGCTTCTTTCTTAGAACTAAGATCATCACCGAAGTGTACATTTTCAGGAAATGTTCTATGAAGATCTAAAATAATATGAAATTTATAAGTAGAAATATTAGTTGATATAAGTGCCTGTTAATAGCTATGAAAATTTTGATTCATCTTCCAACGAAACTGAACATTAAAGTAAAAAATACTTAATTATAAATATTAATATTTACTTACTATAAGGAATAATATTTACTTTACTTTTTTATTAAATTGTCAGCATTTTCAAACTGAACATTACATCTTAATCCAACTATGTACCTGTTCGTATACTCTCAATAACTTGTTCATTCTTTGTACTTTCAAGCATTCTTTTATAAACACCTCGGCCATGTTTCCATCTCTTTCTAGCCCCACTTACATCAAACCATACCTGGAATTTTAAATTTACTTGATTTCATTGTTGGATTAATTTTCATTGGAAATAGACCTAGAAATAGGCCAACCACAAGAGATGCATATAGTTTAACTAATGGTTATAATATTATATATATATATATATATATATATATATATATATATATATATATATATATATATATATATATATATATATTAAATTATATTCCAACAATACTGGTATCCTAAAATCAATAATACAGGGCTGTACCTAAAGCTATGTTTCCTTGCTCTCTTTACCTACCTGAGCTCTTTGGGAAGATGGTACTCCTTTTCTGCAATATCTCTTTACTGTTAAAAAATTCTAGACTTTAGAATCAATAATTGGTTTGTAAAATTAATAAAGTGAAAAAATAAAAAATTTAGTATGGCCAGTGTAAAATATTAAAAATAAATACCCCTGAGAGATTTTCTAGTTCTGTGTTCAGGATCAATGACCTTATCCCACTTGACAGCACGTCGTGCCAAGACAACTAAATATTCTGACATAAATCTCTCGTACGTTTCATAATCAAAATCATCTTCCCTCTGAAATCCATATTGATCCACTTTACTGCCAAGAGAAATTCATTTGTTCATCTTGTTAAAGATTATTAACACACAAACAGGGCCATATCTACTAGAACACAAATTGAGGGTTGTGTGTATATTTTTATACCATAAAAACAATCTTAGAAGACATCGATCAGGCATAAGATGAATATATATGAATGTATAACTCCCAAATTAAGCATCCAGGTATAGCCCTGGACACCAATTTTTTGTTCACACCTGTGTGCTTACGTATGGTACTCAGAATATAGATAAAACCAATAGGCAATACTTTATTTACTTGCATTCAGAAATGTCTGTCAACTATTGAAAATTTCAACTATTGTGTTGCACCCAGATATCATGTACCCAGCTAGGCGACTACGTAATTCCAGTCGGTGATAAAAAAATGATAAAAAAAAACATAATCTGCACAAAAAAGTGCTCTCAAGCAGTATCAAGCCATTTATAGGTATACTGAATTTTTAAAGTGTATAACACATGTACATTTGCCAAGGGCTTTTTATTAAATCAGCATGAATGCGATATCTCCAATTTTTTTAAATGCGGAAGGAAATTTGACACAAATACAAATGTAGTATAATTAAGAGGACGAAATTAATAAAAATACGAGTTACAATTTTAAAGATATTCTTACCTATTGATTGTCGACATCTGTTTGATTCAAAATTATATTTGTAGCACGAAAAATTCTGATAATTTATAACTACACAGGTTGTGCAGGAGAGGTGAATTACCGAATTTTAATTCCGCCGTGAATATCAAAAGACCTTAGAGAACATAATGAAGCGCCATGTAAGCAAAAAACGTTTCAAATATTTTTCTCTGCAAATACAGGAAACATTTTCGTGTTGTCAACACCACTAGCGCATCGTTTTGTACATGTTGACGATGTTGTCGTGATGTTTCTTTGATGTTGCTTTTGATGCTTTTGATGTTGCTTTTGATGTTGCTTTTGATGTTTTTGATGTTGCCTAATTTCCGTTTCAAACAAAAATGAAACAAAACCAATCTCACACTTCCGGTTGCTGACAATTCCTTAATTAGGTATTGCAAAACTCCTCGGTAAAATTCCCTTAGTTATTGGTTGTCGAACTATCATAATCCATGCTTTTCAGAAATTCTACTATTTCACTGGTCTTGTCCACTGAGCTTGTCTTGCCCCGCCCTGTGAATCCCGCCGCACTCGAAATTGTGCAAGGTTTCCATACAAAATTATTGGGATTTTTTATTTTTGGCCTGATTTCCAATCTGATTTCACTTATTTATTTTCAGGGGCGCAACTACAGGGTGTCCGAAATAAACAACCAAATCTATTGAAATCACCTACTAGTATTGTTAAAATTTGAATGACTTGTTCGCGAATTTTTGCTCGTGGGGATTAACGCAACTTATAAAATGCTAAATAGGCCTAGACTAAGAGAAGGCCATGTCGAAAGTCATGGTGCTTGAGTTGTGAATTTAAATCGTTATCCAGTATATCCATATCAGTGTTGATAATATGATTATATGAATTTGATGAATTTGAGCAATTCTAATATTGGTACTGTAAATATTTATTTAGTGATCGTTTGGTCACTTAGGTGTAATAAATTACCATGAAGCATGGAACTGGAAGGGTTTGTGCAACCTCGCAAGCCAGGCTCTTTTACCTACGCTCCACGGCCCACGCTGCGGCAAAGACCCTGGTGAAGGCTGGTCATGTGACCTCCCAAAATATGGGAGGTTTTTAATTAGCGCTTAGTTCATATCCATGGGAGGAGTGGCAAAGTCGATATACCATTTCTGCTATTTTTAGCACTTGTCACAATCCAGATGACTTTGTACTAACGCAACTAAAAATAGCGGTTCACGCAATAAACTAAATAAATACAGCTAGTGTGGCCACAGTTATTAACTGTGGTGTGGCGCAGCAAAAAACTAAAAAGAGCAATTGAAACCGAATTTAGATTCAAGTGCTATGTGTAGACTGTATCATCGTCGATAGAATCGGTTTTAGTATCGTCACAAGTTCAGTTGATATTCAATACAGACACTCGAAGGCCTGCGCTATCTTCTAAATTTGGGCGTTGATGAGCGAATTTAGAGGTCAAATAACAATAACGACACAGGTTATTTCGCTTTGCGATACAACAGCGCTCAATATTCAGTCCTTAGAAACACGCTGTTTTAACTGATGTGATCTATGCGCTACTTGTGTCCCACCCATCCCCACACGGGAGAAGCGTAACAAAAGAATCACGTGACCAGCCTTGACCAGGGTCTTTGCCGCAGCGTGGGCCGTGGAGCGTAGGTAAAAGAGCCTGGCTTGCGAGGTTGGGGTTTGTGCTGTTAAAGTTTCCACTCAAGAAAAATCTCCTTTGGATTGGAACGGACAGGAAAATTTCCTTTGTGGGTGAGTTCTCAGGCGGAGCTCAGGCGGCGTTTATACAAAGGAAAACTTCCTGTCCTGTCCGATCCAAAGGAGAATTTTCCTGAGTGGAAACTAGCCTTTAGTGTCAGTGGGGCGGATATAGGTGTAGTCAGAATAAATTACACAGCTAAATTTTAATAACGTTATAACATCGCTGCATGTATATGCGGCTATCGCAACTGGTCCTTATTTTTGATCCACACAAATAATAAATTCAAAAATCAAAATATTTGGATGCCTCCATGCCTCGCATTTCAGCCCAGTGTTTCGGCCAGAGCAGAGGTAGTATTCCAGTTAATTTAAGTTCAATGGACGAAACCGGTGCAATATGTTCATCCAGCGGGTTAATAATTTTTGATGTCATGTAACCTGTCATGTAAGTTTTCGCTTGTCATATTGTAAATATTGTATTTGGGTTTGCTAATAGTCATGTCACGATTCAAAACACTTCGAAGATATTTATTATAGAAACGCAATATGAATATATTTCAAGTATGACGTTTTAGACTTGTATTATGGACGGCGAGAGTGATGGTGATGAATTCTACGATGCTTCAGAATTTCCAACAATTCAAACTCCTGAGAAAGACGACACAAGATCTGGTGATCACAGCTCGCCCATTACCAGGTAAATAAAAACGGTCGTCTTCTGACACTTCATTTGTTTGTTGTCAGATTATATCAGAATTGTATTCGTTGGTTTTATATAGACAAGAAATTGAACCATCTGTAGGGAAAGATTTCGCTTTGAAGGTGAGTCTTGTAAGTTGTGTAAAGAAGATCTTTCGACTTTTATTGTGTATATTATAAACATGATAAGTTTTTTTTGGCAGCACTGTGTATAGCATGTTACACAAAATAGCATTATGTTGAATAGCAGTAAATGTGTTAAGTTTATATTTATACCAATCTATTTTACAACATTCTAGTAATACTAAAATCACATGATTTCCTCATGTATGTACATAACATTTAGTAAAGAAGCAATCTCTAAGAACATCATCACTTCTTAAGTTGTTTTGCCTAACTTATATCCCTCCTTTTAACAAAACGTAAGGATATTGTTTTGTTTGTATTTTCCTATATTTTGATTCATGAATTTTCCAACCAACAAAAAACAATCACAACATCTCTTCTTTTTTTTCTCTTGTGATCAACTACTGCGACATATAAAATTTATTATATTTTAAAGTTTATTATACTTTATTGATATATTTTGATACCTAGGATGGCCAGGATATCCTGTAATTATACAATATATATATATATATATATATATATATATATATATATATATATATATATATATATATATACAGTTATAAATTAATTATATAACTACATATATTATACAACATGATATCAAAGTTAGGTAATTAGCAATACAGTACAATACATGCAATTATATTTCAAAATTATGTATTAATGACACAGTTAATTTATTTAGCATTTTCTATGATAATCTACAGCTTGATGAAATAGATAACGAAGCTTTTGAATGTATAGGAACTTGAAAGAACCAAGCAATTCTGGGATTAACTAATATTTATTGCATTTGGTGAACTAAACAAAGGCCCGCATGGGTTAATGGACTGAAAGCTTTGCAATATTAAATACTTATGTGCTGTACCTACAAGCTAATTTATTTATATTGGATTTGACATTATTTTAAGGTTCTTCTAATATACAATCCCCATTTCCTCCAAGAACCTCTCAGCGCTTTGCTGCTGAGGATTGAAACAGACTTTCACAAGCCACTGATAAATACCTTTAACATATAATTGCAGTAAGTTGTATTTACAGATTCCTGGTAAAAACTTTAGATTTTGTTTTTGTGTAGGATGAACCAGATGGAGCTGCTTCAAATTGTGTAGATGAACAACAACAGGATTTAGACACTGAAGCTGTTAATGTGCTTCAAGCTTCTTCTATTCCCACCAAGCAAAATGAAGATAAATGTGGGATTGAAAGTAGCCAAAGTGAAATAAAGGAGGAAAATAAAACCTCTGAAGTAAAAACTCAAGATAATAATAAAGAAAAGGAAGTTGACAAGAATAATTCAGAGAGAAACTTAACCCAAGCTCCCATAGCCCCACCACGAAGGAAGAAGAAAAATAAAAACAAAACAGAAAAATCTCTGGTAATTCTGATCAATGTTATTTTCACATCAAAATTACATTAATGTCAGGTAGTTGATGAACTTTGCTGATTTAAGATCTTCATAAGTGAAAATCTTGTCCACATAGATCGGTGATTTTGCAATTTAATGTTCTGTGGAATACGTGTTATGATATCAGACCGCTTTTGCCTTCTATAAACCTGGGAGGTGCAGTTAACAAAATCATGAGCTTCGCCTCTAAGTTCAGACTGTTGGCTTTATACAACAAGACATGTTGTGCCATCTCATTGTACTTTAAAATCTGGTTTAAAAGAGTGTTAAGTTGCGTTTGTTGCTTGAGTTGAGTACGTGGTTTTCTCTCGATAGTTGGCCATGATTCGTGAGGTTTTTTAGTCTGATCAGGTCTATAATATAGCTCCTTACTGTTATGAGGTATTATGCAATCTGATTGGCTGAGCTACTCAGTGTATATCAACTTTATCAACTCATATACGGTGGGTTGTGAAAACAGCGAGAAAAACTGTGAGAATTTGTAATTCGAATATAAAAATTTGCTTGGTTATACTATAAAACAATTCATGATATTTTATAGCTCGTTGATTATCAGCTCATATACGACTCAGCTCATCATAATCTAGCACTTTGAAATTGACGATAATATCATCAGCCTCGAGGTCACAATGACTTATTGATGCATGCATTCCAATTATTGTTTTACAGACTTCACCAAGCAACGAGAACTTCAAATCCTATATCAACCCGGAAAAAACGGAACAAGCTGATATTAAACATTTAGAAGTCATAGAAAATGTACAAAATCCAATTTCGGTCGATGATGAATCAATCACAGATCTCCCAAATGTCGAAGAAACGGTCGATTCTGATCTGGACATTAGTACCCAAGAAATGAGTGAAATATTGGATAGAAATAGCTGCACCGAAGTTATATCACCGCTTCATTTACAACGAAATAAGTCTCAGTCCATATCCTCCATTGGAAGTTTCTGTAGTGTTTCCAGTAATATCTCATTTCAAGAAAAGTCGAAGCGTTCTGGTTCCCAGATTTCACTGGGAAGTTTAAATAACACTGAAAAAGTTCCGGCTGCTGCTACAGCAATCACGGTTGATTCACAACTGACGGATCAGGTGCGTTTTTTAGGATAATTAGGATGATCCACCACTGCATATGCGCAAAATTGGTAGAATTATTTTCATTCCTATATTTGATTTCTTAGTATGCCTGAAGCCGGTTTTCCACTAGCGATATTTTTCGCGCGAAGCGACATTTTACTTTTGTTTCAGAGCTCTCAACTGCAACCATCTGGAACAAATTGCTTAAATATAAAGGAGTAAAGTCGCTTCGCGTGAAAAATATCGCTAGTGGAAAACCGGCTTGAGAATATGGAGATAAGCTTAGTAACAAATTTTTCTTGCTCATAGCTCGTGATTACAGATCTTAAATCCTGCAACCATTTGTTAAACGTAGCTAGAACGTACACTAAACATGCATGTTTTAAAACAGGAAATACTTGAAGCAGTTGTGGTGAGAAATTTGGATACCGGTGAAACAATGCCGTTGAGTGCAGCAGAAAAGAATCTTCCATCCGGAGTCAACCCTCTTGCATTACATATCATGAGATTAACCACGGAGTTTTCCAGGTATTTCATGAGCTAGATGACGTCATGACGTATAGTGTACGAACACTTGATGTCAAACTCCATTCGATAATTTTAAATATGGATGTTTGATTCAACTGTATATTTGAAAATGTAAAGAACTTTACAAAACGTGAGACATTGCAAAGTGATAACTTCGAGTTCCTGTATAAGACAATATATGATTATATTTGTAAACAAGTTATAGCGAATTTTATTGCATATACTGTACCTCCCACAACCACTAACTCGCAAACGTTACCTCACCTTGAGCGGCTTCATCATGTGAAAGCACTCACCCCTCCCCCACTTAGGACATACATTACTGCTAGAAGTGAATCAAGTTTAATATTAAAAGTCTAATTCGTTTAGTAAACAAGATTTGGCTGGTTCAGATCGCGAGGACGCTGGTGAAAGCAATATAAATGTAACGACCAGAAAGATATTAAGAAAAAAGTATGTACCGCAAGTTGAATGATCTATCTTAAAACGCTTGATTTCACACATTTATGCGTTATTGTATAGCTGAATTGATGAATATTTTTAAATATTTTTTTTAAGAAAAAACCTGAGAGGATTATTTGTAAGAAAAGTCAAAAACAAAGATCAGAAAATGAAAGGAGCGAAAGAAGGTACAGCTAGCATGGAAATTTACGCGTATTAATGAATGATTCGGGAATTTTTACAAAAGTTTAACAAGTTTTTTCATCCAGGATTGAAACGAGCTGAAGAGAGTTCGTCCAGTGACGAGGACAATCCACAGTCAGAAAAGTATATCAAAGTATGTTTAAAAAAAATATATGTACTAGTGCATGGCGTCAAATCACGTCGTCACTTCTCTAATCAACTCCACACCGAAAGAAAATGGTAAATTAGTTTAAAATAAAACAATTAAATATATATGTCAAATGAAGATAAATGGTGGACATTTACCATCTGTTTTTATCCGAATGATAGGATGTTTTGATAACATGATGATCATTGATCATTCCTCAAGTAATGTCATCATTACCCATACCCTCCTTTCACCTTGAACGTGCCCCTATTTGTCAGATCATCCCGGCCCTTTGTGTTACATACTTCGTCTTGTTTCTTCGTAGGTTAAATCGGCCAATGGCAAGGGTGTTCCCATCATCAATAAACTAAATATAATCCAAGACTTCAGCGGCAAACACCAGGTACATACGTCTTGCATGCGGTGATTCCATATCTCGACGTTTTCGGTCGGACTCTCCAATTCGTTCGTATAATTGTTCGCATTCTCATGTTAGGGTGCTGTGTGGACGATGAAATTTTCTTCGTGTGGTAAATTACTGGTACGTATTAAACCTATATTCGTTTGTATGTATGTCGTTTTACCTAGTGCATGCGTGTGGTCATTTATTTTACTATTAGATTGAAACTTATTCACTTTTATAATCAAAGTGTCACAACTAATTGGATTAAAGTTAGGTATTTTTATTTTTACAAACAGGGAACTGCTGGTCAAGATAAAATTGTTGTGAGTAGCATTCTTTAAAAAAAGGTTCAATCTTGATACACAGTATATAGCTGAGTTCTAATGCATTGAATATAATTTTGTTAGCATGTTTGGGTGCTGAAAACAGGAAAGGATTTTTTCGAACAGATGCGAAACAAGTACGCTAAAGCAGGTTGGTTTCCATGTTGTGAGAAAAACCTTGATAATGTCATGTCTGATACTTGGTTGTTTTTTTTTCTCATTGTCCTGGTTTAAAGCAAGTTTAGTGTTACGTAAACTAACACGCAATACGACATAATGTTTTGTAAATATTCCTTTTGTAATTTATTTCACATGTTAGCTATGTAACGACGTTTATAGGAAACAAAGGATTGTATTTTTCATCATTCAATTATTGCAAACTTCTTTGTAGATTCAGAACGAGCAACTCCTGAAAAAACAGAAAGTGAAGAACAAGAGGTATTTACGATCTACTCTGACTTACATTATCGTGCTAGTCTTTGCACAATTAGTTTGTTCTGTATAGCGCATGGGTGCTATATTATAAGTGGTACTCACTCGGAAGCTACTCCTCAGGAACTTTGCCATCAAGTTGTAACCTTATTATTTTCCTAATTTATTAAAACGTCTCCGTTCTTAAAGTTAATAAGTTCACACCAACCAGGTATATAATCCATCGCCTTGATGTTTAGAAACGTCAAGGCTCGAAAGGACATATTAGAATCATGCAGTAAACTTGTGATATTACTTTGCAAATGTGATTATAAATTTTATAAATATTCCTCTTTCTTTCAGTAAAAATAACCATTTTTGAACTGGATTTAAATGTCAATAGTTTGTAATAGTCGTGCATCAAGTGTAATGATTGTCTTTATTTCAGAAGAGTGCGAAAGATTACCCACTAGAGACCGATTATCCTGAAGGATTTTGTAAAGAACCATTTTGTACATATGAAGGTCATAGTGGTGATGTATTGGATCTTTCGTGGTCAAAGGTATTACCTGCTGTTTATTCTTCAGTTACCAATCTAGGAGTAGTAGCGCACTGATCATGAAACTACACCAGAATAACTGTATTTATTTCTTATATCTCATTCTTTCTGTATTACGGTCGAATGACATTTATATATAAATGCATGCATATCTATATTTGAAATATGTATGTAAAATAATATGAAAACTGAAAAGTATTCATTATTCTTAATCTTATCTAGAATTACTTTCTTTTATCGTCATCAATGGATAAAACGGTCAGGTATGTGGAATCTAACAGGGTTAACCCTCGGGGAATAAAATGTTAGAATGATTATTCTGCTCGGGAATTTCACTTAATGATCCCCATTAAGCGAGTGATATAAACAGCGAACACGGGGGGCTATAGGTGCGATAATTGAGGGGTGTGTATTCGAATAGGCTGAATTTTTTTTATCAAGTCTGCAACTGTCGAATTCTCACAATTGAAAAGAAAATGTGGATTTCGTAGGCGATTTTAATAAAGCACAGCACAACAGAGCAAAACAGAGCATTTAAAAATATCCCTCCCCTCCTAATTATCACGCCATTGCAGTTACACCCCCGAACGAACACACTTCATTACCATGCATGATATTATGTACTTGTGCACATTTCTTTAGGCTGTGGCATATATCTCGAAATGAATGTTTGTGCTGTTTCCAACATATCGATTTTGTAACAGCAATCACCTTTCATCCACGAGTAAGTTGCAGAGTAGAAAATTAAGATACGCCTGTTTTCTACTTCAACATTATCATAGCGAAACTTAGCTTATGTTGTTGCTGCGAGTAACTATCTCCAGTCAAATGTCAAGGAAACAATGATATATATGTTTCGTTACGATTAGGTTGATCATGAAGTACGAAACATGCAAGTTTATGATGTCAGTTTCTGTCAATGGATACGACTAACAGTATTTTATTTCACTGCATTTCTAACTGATGTTTATAAGACAGCTGAAGAGTTGATAAAATTGAATACCTTTCCTATTCAAATTTTCAACGAATAATTATGACTGCCCAATTTGACAATTCCTGTACGACTGGTCCATGCAACATGTCGCTATGACGCAGTGATAACCACAGTTTGCCTAGCTATACGTAGATTTCAACTTGGGTGAAAGTATATAATACACTTTTTTAGGATGATCGTTATTTTCTGAGTGGATCATTGGATGGTAAGATACGACTGTGGAACATCCCTGACAAAAAAGTTGCTCTGTGGAATGAACTGGAAGGGGCAGGTTGGTCCATTTTATCCACATTATAATTCAATTAATGATCATTGTTTTGGGGCCTTGATATCTCGAAGCCTAAATATATTGAAAGATAACTTCTTGTGCGTTCAAGGGTATTTCTAGTTATTACGCGGCTATTGGCTTTTCAGTAGAATGCACGAGGAAGGCTAAAGGAAGGCTTCCACGATTTTCGGACCGATTTTCGCCGCAACTAATTACTCATTTAAATTAATGTCACTCTGACCAATCAAGCTGTAGATAAGATAGAGTGTTTAATTCGTACAATTATTTTTTGTAAAATATTTGTTTAAAATATTTTCTTTGTGTTTGCCACCTTAGGAAGTAATTTGATCACAGCTGCAAACTTCTGTATGAACGGAAAATTTGCGGTAATTGGGACGTACGATGGACGGTGCATATTTTATGAGACGGAGGTATGTTTTATATAACAATGTAATTAGTCATACTTATATCCTCTATCGTAAAGTGATGTAAGAGCCGCGCCGTTCATAAGCGATTGCGAATACAGCATGTTGTCTAAGGCCGGTTGTCATATTCATATTTATTTTTCTATTTTCCTCCTGATGAAGGCATATGTCAGAAGGGAAACTGAAAACCTAATAATTCTAATCCTACTAATTTCTCTGATTCATCCGTGAAAACTGTTCATTATTTTCTTAGCATCTCAAGTATTACACACAATGGCAAATTCGGTCAACAAGAAAAAAACAAGGAAGAAAAATCAGTGGCATTGAACCAATGCCTGGAGAAGATAAGGTTGGATCTTATATTGAATGAAAATGTTAAATGCCACACGAAAACGCCACATGTGCATAATTTGTATCTCCCTTTTAGATATTAATCACATCAAATGATTCTCGGATACGTCTGTATAGTTTGAAAGATCATTCCTTACATTGCAAGTATAGAGGTTTCACAAATTCGAGTAGTCAAATCAAAGGGAGTTTTAGGTTTGTATGAGCTTCAATACTAATATATGCATTTAAAAGTCATCGACGTCCTAATTGAAGATTATGTTAATATTTCATTTTTAGTCACGATGGGGAGTTGGTTGTATCAGGCTCGGAAGATCATTATGTTTATATGTGGAGAGCCCAGCACCGAATTGCTTCTGCCAGGAAAGACAGAAATGATTTCTATGAAGGATTTTCTGGTTAGTTTATATAGACCATTGAATGATATAGATATCCAGAATAACACCAATAGAAACAGTGCTGAGACTTGCAATAATTTTACCTGATGTCTGATAGCTCACGACCAAACACGACCAAACCGGCATGTATATACCGGCATGTATATCACCGGCATGTATATCACCGGCATGTATATCACCGGCATGTATATCACCGGCATGTATATCACCGGCATGTATATCACCGGCATGTATATACCGGCATGTAACCAAATTGAATTGTAGCATTTTATCAACTAGTTAGAATTTTTACGCGAGTTAATTTTTTTATATGCTAGCTCACAATGCTGTGGTGACAGCCGCAATCTTTGCACCATGTCCATGGAATGTGGTCCCTACTGAGTACGATGACAACAGTTCTGGAAGGACTGGACCAGAAGTTATCGTAGCTGCTGATTGGACAGGAGCTATTAAAATCTTTATAAATAGATATTCTAATGAGAAAACCTAAAATAACTCTTCATAGGATCATTTTAAACATTCATTATCATCATTCTCTATCGTCAGACAAACTTTTGTGTAAATGTCTTTTGTTTATGATCGGCGACGTGCATGTTTGTGTCGTAAACGAGAAGAAGATTCAGAGTACTTTCCACACTAAGGAACACCTTAAAAATTACAAGAAGCACAGAAGCCACAGGGGTAAGTCTTGTGTCCATTTTTTTTTCATGTGTCAAATTTTTTCATGTATCCAAATTTCTTTTCCTCTCAATTTTTTTTGTTGTGTCCAATTTTTCATCATGAGTCAAAATCTTTTTTCTTGTGACCAAATTCCTTTTCCTCTCAATTTTTTTCGTGTGTCAAAATATTCTTTCGTGCCAAAATGTTTTTCATCTGTTAAATTTTTTTCCTGTCAAACTCTTTTCTCGTGTCCAATTTTTTTCATATGTACAATTTTTTTTCATGTGTCCAAATTTCTTTTCCTCTCCATTTTTTTCTTGTGTCCAAATTTCTATGTGTCAAAATATTTTTTCTTGTTACAAAATGGGCCCAAATTTCATGTATCCAAATTTCTTTTCCTCTCAATTTTTTTTGTTGTGTCCAATTTTTTATCATGAGTCAAAATCTTTTTTCTTGTGACCAAATTCCTTTTCCGTTCAATTTTTTTCGTGTGTCAAAATTTTTTTCATTTGTCAAAATTTTTTTCCTGTCAAACTCTTTTTGTGTCGAATTTATTTCATATGTGCAAATTTTTTTTCATGTGTCCAAATTTCTTTTCCTCTCGACTTTTTTTCTTGTGTCGAATTTTTTTCGTGCGTCAAAATATTTTTTCGTGCCAAAATTTTTTTCATCTGTCAAAATTTTTTTTCCTGTCAAACTCTTTTCTTGTGTCGAATTTTTTTCATATGTGCACATTTTTTTAATGTATCCAAATTTCTTTTCCTCTCGATTTTTTTTCTTGTCTCGAATTTTTTTCGTGTGTCAAAATATTTTTTCGTGCCAAAATTTTTTTCATCTGTCAAAATTTTTTTCTGTCAAACTCTTTTCTGTGTCCAATTTTTTTCATATGTGCAAATTTTTTTTCTCGTGTCCAAATTTCTTTTCCTCTCGATTTTTTTTCTTGTGTGGAATTTTTTTCGTGTGTCAAAATATTTTTTCGTGCCAAAATTTTTTTCATCTGTCAAAATTTTTTTCCTGTCAAACTCTTTTCTTGTGTCGAACACATAAAATCATACTTTGATGAATTTCGAAATTTCAAAAAACTTGGTAACGCCATTCGGATTCTATATTGATTGCAACCTGCTTAATACATATGTCATTGCGGTAGCCCAGTGGTTAAGGCTACGGCCTGTCAGGTTGTAAGCGTGGGTTCGAATCCTGCATGGGAAAGGTACGATTTTTCCCACCGAAATTACTATTTAATTTAAAATTATTCAAAAAGGATTTAGTCAAATAAAGAACAATAGCTTTCGACAAATGATGTGGTGGTCTAGTGGTTAACACGGTGGTCTCTCAACCCGAAGACCAACGTTAGCCTGAAAAATTTCCGCATGATTTGGAAAGACCGTAAATTGAAAAAAAATTTGAAAAAAAAAAGTTATAACGAAATTCTTGCGTTAGAGAGTACCTGGAAATTGAAGAAAAAAGCACAAGTAAAAAAAGTTTTAAAAACATGTGTCTTCTAAAGAGCCTAAAAATGAAAGTTAGACGGAAAAAATTTAACAATCTCCCGCTTTTAAAAAACTCATGTTTACTTAACTATTTTTTTTCACGAAAATTTGACAGGGTGATTTTCTCGAGACTGAAAAAATTCACTTTTTTTCACTTTTTTGAAATTCTCTTAGATTTTTTTTTGACGAAGAAGTAGTTTGTCTTGGGTTACCTGTGTCTGTCTTGGGCTACCTGTGTCTGGCTTGACACAGGTAGCCCAAGACAAAATACTTCCGCGTGAAAAAAAAAATCCAAGAGAATTTCAAAAAAGTGAAAAAAAGTGAATTTTTTCAGTCTCGAGAAAATCGCCCTGTCAAATTTTCGTGAAAAAAAAATTAGTTAAGTAAACATGAGTTTTTTAAAAGCGGGAAATTTTTTAAATTTTATTCTGACTTTTTAAATTTTCTTAGGTGACACACCTTTACTTTTACTTGTGCGCTTTTTTCAATTTTCAAGTATTTTTGAACGCTAGAAATTTTTTTCAATTTTTTTTATTTCAAATTTTTTCAATTCACAGTCTTTCCGAAAGGCCGAGAAGTCTTTTTAACTGTTTTAAAGCTTCCAAATCACACCGAAAGTTTTTAGGTTAATTTTTGTGCATTGCCAGGAGTTGAAACGTTTGTCTTCGGATTGAGAGACGAACGCCTTAACCACTAGACCACCGAATCATTTGTCGAAAGCTATTGTTCTCTATTTGACCTAATCCTTTTCAATGAATTTTAAATTAAATAGTAATTTCGATAGGAAAAATCAAACCTTTCCCATGCAGGATTCGAACCTTCCCTTACAACCTGGTAGGCCGTAGCCTTAACCACTGGGCCATCGGATTGTATATTGATACCAACCTGCTTAATATGTACGTCATTGCGGTAGCCCAGTGGTTAAGGCTACGGCCTATCAGGTTGTAAGCGTAGGTTCGAATCCTGCATGGGAAAGGTACGATTTTTCCCACCGAAATTACTATTTAATTTAAAATTACTCAAAAAGGATTTAGTCAAATAAAGAACAATAGCTTTCGACAAATGATGTGGTGGTCTAGTGGTTAAGGCGTTGATCTCCCAACCCGAAGACCAACGTTTCAACCCCTGGCAATGCAAAAAAATTAGTCTGAAAAATTTCCGCATGATTTGAAAGCTTTAAAACAGTTAAAAGACTCCCCGGCCTTTGCGAAAGACTGTAAATTGAAAAAAAATTTGAAATAAAAAATTTGAAATAAAAAAATTCTTGCGTTAATTCCCGTAGAGAGTGCCTGAAAATTGAAGAAAAATCACAAGTAAAAAAAGCTTTAAAAACATGTGTCTTCTAAAGAGCCTAAAAATGAAAGTAAGACGGAAAAAATTTCCCGCTTTTAAAAAACTCATGTTTACTTAACTAATTTTTTTTTCACGAAAATTTGACAGGGTGATTTTCTCGAGACTGAAAAAATTCACTTTTTTTCACTTTTTTGAAATTCTCTTAGATTTTTTTTTGACGAAGAAGTAGTTTGTCTTGGGTTACCTGTGTCTGTCTTGGGCTACCTGTGTCTGGCTTGACACAGGTAGCCCAAGACAAAATACTTCCGCGTGAAAAAAAAAATCTAAGAGAATTTCAAAAAAGTGAAAAAAAGTGAATTTTTTCAGTCTCGAGAAAATCACCCTGTCAAATTTTCGTGAAAAAAAATAGTTAAGTAAACATGAGTTTTTTAAAAGCGGGAGATTGTTAAATTTTTTCCGTCTGACTTTCATTTTTAGGCTCTTTAGAAGACACATGTTTTTAAAACTTTTTTTACTTGTGCTTTTTTCTTCAATTTCCAGGTACTCTCTAACGCAAGAATTTCGTTATAATTTTTTTTATTTCAAATTTTTTTTCAATTTACGGTCTTTGGCAAAGGCCGGGGAGTCTTTTGGCTGTTTTAAAGCTTCCAAATCATGCGGAAATTTTTCAGGCTAATTTTTTTGCATTGCCAGGGATTGAAACGTTAGTCTTCGGGTTGGGAGATCAACGCCTTAACCACTAGACCACCACATCATTTGTCAAAAGCTATTGTTCTTTATTTGACTAAATCCTTTCTGAATAATTTTAAATTAAATAGTAATTTCAGTGGGAAAAATTAAACCTATCCCTTCCAGGATTCGAACCTACGCTTACAACATGCTAAGTCGTATCCTTAACAACTAGGCAACCGGATCATGTGTTAAATCCTTACATATATATTATTATATAAACACCCACAGCGCCCGGTTTAAGGTTGCAAAAAAGATTTTCGTCAATTTTTTGAAATTTCAAAGGTTGAAAGTACGTGGAAATCGTTTAGAATTAATCAGAATTGCATTTTTTCATGAAAACAATAAATTTGAACACATAAAATCACACTTTGATTAACTTCAAAATTTCCGCCATATCGGCAACGGGGGACCAATAGACTGATAATCCTAATTTTCGTCAATTTTTTGAAATTTCAAAAATCGGTTGAAAATACGTCGAAATGGTTCAGAATTGATTAGAATTGTATTCTTTTATGAAAATAATACATTTGAACACATAAAATCATACTTTGATAAACTTCAAAATTTCCGATAATATATCGGCAACGGGGGACCAATAGACTCATAATCCTAATTTTCGTCAATTTTTTAAAATTTCAAAATTCGGTTGAAAATACGTCAAAATGGTTCAGAATTGATTAGATTTGTATTCTTTCATGAAAACAATTTATTTGAACACATAAAATCATACTTTGATAAACTTCAAAATTTCCGATAATATATCGGCAACGGAAAATACATCGAAATGGTTCAGAATTGATTAGAATTGTATTCTTTCATGAAAATAATACATTTGAACACATAAAATCATACTTTGATAAACTTTAAAATTTCCGATAATATATCGGCAACGGGGGACCAAAAGACTGAAAATCCTAATTTTCGTCAATTTTCTGAAATTTCAAAACTCGGTTGAAAATACGTCAAAATGGTTCAGAATTGATTAGAATTGTATTCCTTCATGAAAACAATGCATTTGACACATAAAATCATACTTTGATAAACTTCAAAATTTCCGCCATATCGGCAACGGGGGACCAATTGACTGAAAATCCTAATTTTCATCAATTTTTTGAAATTTCAAAATTCGGTTGAAAATACGTCAAAATGGTTCAGAATTGATTAGAATTGTATTCTTTCATGAAAATAATACATTTGAAAACATAAAATCATACTTTAATAAATTTCAAAATATCTGCCATATCGGCAACGAGGGACCAAAACACTGAAAATCCTAATTTTCGTCAATTTTTTGAAATTTCAAAATTAGGTTGAAAATACGTCGAAATGGTTCAGAATTGATTAGAATTGTATTCCTTCATGAAAACAATACATTTGAACACATAAAATCATACTTTGATAAACTTCAAAATTTCCTCCATATCGGCAACGGGGGACCAATAGATTGATAATCCTAATTTTCGTCAATTTTTTGAAATTTCAAAATTCGGT